CATTGGCGCGCAACTCGCTAGCACATCTGTGGAAGGGTGCCATCTGCCACTTCACCTGGACAGGTGCGAGCTAAAGTTGACAACCTGCAGACTCCATACGCGGTGTGAGAAACGCCAGGGACAGCCCCCTTCATTTTGAAGCATCAAGTCACAAAGGGCTGTCCCTCTCCCGGCCTGGCGCGCTTTGGCATCACGCTGGTCTGGAGGAAGACGAGCCTGCAAGAACACAAAGCCCGACACCGAGTGAGGACTTCGACTTTCAGTGCGCGTCACAAAGTAAACATCATAAGACCTCTATGGGACAAGCCTCGCATATCCGCCCGCCTGGGTGCCTGTCTGACCAGCTTGAAGAGCAATCAGCTCGCCTGCCAAGAGTCTCGACACGTTGGCACAGTGTCACACGTCGGATCCAGGAAGAAACCCGAAACCCGTGGCACCTGCCGTTTCGCTTCGTCGCTCAAATTCGTCCGAGTCGAGGCAAATTTGGCCCATCCGTGCAAAGAATCAGCAGCCTGACAGCCACCTTTGAGCTGAAAGGGAACTTTCCCGAGGTCTGTGAAAGCCCCCATGGAAGATACCCTCAAGACACCAAAGTCGAATAAACGGATAAACGCCACCCTGCATACGGTTTAGGTTCAGAATGCCCAACACACTGGCACTTGAAGGCTGGGGGTTCTAACGGGCCTCACCTGAGACGCGCGCAGCAGACCATTTCCCGTGCTGAACTTATCAGCATAGCGAACCAGTCACTTTCGCCAGTGGCCGCTTCTGGCACATCCACACCTGCGGCATCCACCGCATCAGTGTTGCCCACCCCGGGAACAGCCGCATCTGCGGCATCCACCGCATCAGCATTGGCCACCCCGGGAACAGCCTCATCTGCGGCATCAGCCACACCTGCGGCATCCAGCGCATCAGGGTTGGCCACCCATGGCTCAGCCGCATCTGCGGCATCAGCTGTATCTGCGGCATCAGCCACATCTGCGGCATCCACCGCATCAGGGTTGGCCACCCATGGCACAGCCGCATCTGCGGCATCAGCTGTATCTGCAGCATCAGCCACATCTGCGGCATCAGCCACATCTGCCACATCTGCAGCATTGGCAGCTGCAGCACGAGCGCTGGCCGCGTCTGGCGCAGCTATGTCTGCGGCATGTGCCTCATCGGCGTCAGCCGCAGCTGCAGCGGCATCCGCGTCCATGTCCTCCAAGCTGCAGCAGCTGCACCAGTCTGCGGAATCTGCGTCATCGTCTGCATCGGCCATATCCGCCAATCCACCAACTGCAACGTCTGCCGCGCTGTCGACCGCCTCTGGCACAGCCGCGAAACCGGCCGCATCTGCAGCCTCCGCCACAACAGCGTCGGCCGCCTCGGGCACATCCACATCAGCCACAGGAACGGCACGCTGCATGACGCGCATCACGGCCCAGTGGACCGCAGAGCCTTCTTCAAGCGGCTCCGGCTCCCTTGGCCTCCTCTTCTTCTTGCCGTTTTTGCCGCGCGTGTTGGGCGCGCTGATGTTCTTGGCAGCCATCTCCTGCTGCTGACAGTGCAGCTGCTGCGCTTTGCGGCCTCGGGAAGCTGAAACTGTACCGCCAGCTTCAAATCTGAAACCTCAGCCTGCAACACGAATGGTCTAACAGTGATCACCGCATTCTGTTCTGCTTGATAACATGAGGTCTGCAGAGGCACGCCATGACATGTTCATGTTCTCTTCCAAAGTTCATTCCTCCAGCAAGTGTCGGGGTTCGGCGCACAGATTGATTTCCTTGAAATGAGCCTTGATCTGCTTGCGTTGTCAGAAGGGTTCATTGAATTGTTTGGAGGCATCTGCCAAAGCTGTCTGAAGCTAACTCAAGGATCAGAATCTAAATTGCAACGCAATGGTGCCACAAAGCAGCCGTTCGTGTTCCAGCGAGTACCCAGGATCCGCGGGTCGTCATGACCACTTCGGTAAGTTCGCGTCTGCTGAATCTCCTCAGGCTGGAGCCGGCAAACAACAACCACAACTCCTGGATGAAGTGACTTAACAGCGTGCCCCTGGTTTCACTCGCTGTCCTCGGCAGCTTCGTCGCTCTCACATCCACCAGCATGCATGCTGGACTGCATGATTATCTTCCAACTATCCTTTCACTTGAGAAGTATGGCTGCAGCCAACCCATGAACAATCAAACGCGGTGCACGGCTTAAGGAAACTGCTCAAGCGCATGCCGAAACACGGCTAGGTGCTGTCGCGAGCTATACAAGCCGGGTGCACAAATACTGGTGCCGCCGTCTCTATGGGACCTCGCCGTGTGATTCCATTGCATATTGACAGCACTTGCAAGCTAGAAGATGTATCTGGTTGCAAATAGCCTATGGCAAGGATGGACAAATCCAACAGCTCCATGCTGAGTTGGCAGGATAGGGTCATGCGGCTAGGATGCCGACTCGACGATGTCATAAGCCGTACATCACAGGTGGTCTCGTCCCAAATTTGCAAATCCTTTCAGCACATGCACCCCCCAGGCCTTGCACAGCAATTGGCCTTCCACCTTTGAGATTGCACCGCAAGCTGAGTGCCTCCAGCAACTTCTTCAGCTGAGGAAACTCGAGGCTTGCCTCGCATGTTGGACCATGTCCCATCATGTCCCATCTGCCCGTCCCGGACGCATCAAACAGCCAACGGGCTTGCCGCCTCTCGCTGCTCAGGCCGCAGGGATGCGAACGTCTCCGGGATGCCACCGTACTTTCTCAGTTGTAGCAGCGTTCGCCACCTCGGGCACAGCCGCGTCTGCCGCATCTGCAGCATCCACCGCAACAGCGTTCGCCGCCTCGGGCACAGTCGCGTGGAAAACCAGATGCCCTCAACCAAACCATGTTGGCCCTAAACAAGAGCCTGACCGTTGCAGTCAGAGCAATACTTCGAATCAAAGCTTGAACACGGACAATCGTTTGTGATCGTTTGTGCAGCATCTGGTGCACACTGTTCCCTCTCGCCCGATTGGAGCTAAGCCTGTGGCCATTGGCGCGCAACTCGCTAGCACATCTGTGGAAGGGTGCCATCTGCCACTTCACCTGGACAGGTGCGAGCTAAAGTTGACAACCTGCAGACTCCATACGCGGTGTGAGAAATGCCAGAAACAGCCCCCTTCATTTTGAAGCATCAAGTCACAAAGGGCTGTCCCTCTCCCGGCGCGCTTTGGCATCACGCTGGTCTGGAGGAAGACGAGCCTGCAAGAACACAAAGCCCGACACCGAGTGAGGACTTCGACTTTCAGTGCGCGTCACAAAGTAAACATCATATGGGACAAGCCTCGCATATCCGCCCGCCTGGGTGCCTGTCTGACCAGCTTGAAGAGCAATCAGCTCGCCTGCCAAGAGTCTCGACACGTTGGCACAGTGGTCGGATCCAGGAAGAAACCCGAAACGCGTGGCACCTTCCGTTTCGCTTCGTCGCTCAAATTCGTCCGAGTCGAGGCAAATTTGGCCCATCCGTGCAAAGAATCAGCAGCCTGACAGCCACCTTTGAGCTGAAAGGGAACTTTCCCGAGGTCTGTGAAAGCCCCCATGGAAGATACCCTCAAGACACCAAAGTCGAATAAACGGATAAACGCCACCCTGCATACGGTTTAGGTTCAGAATGCCCAACACACTGGCACTTGAAGGCTGGGGGTTCTAACGGGCCTCACCTGAGACGCGCGCAGCAGACCATTTCCCGTGCTGAACTTATCAGCATAGCGAACCAGTCACTTTCGCCAGTGGCCGCTTCTGGCACATCCACACCTGCGGCAGTGTTGCCCACCCCGGGAACAGCCGCATCTGCGGCATCCACCGCATCAGCATTGGCCACCCCGGGAACAGCCTCATCAGGGTTGGCCACCCATGGCTCAGCCGCATCTGCGGCATCAGCTGTATCTGCGGCATCAGCCACATCTGCGGCATCCACCGCATCAGGGTTGGCCACCCATGGCACAGCCGCATCTGCGGCATCAGCTGTATCTGCAGCATCAGCCACATCTGCGGCATCAGCCACATCTGCCACATCTGCAGCATTGGCAGCTGCAGCACGAGCGCTGGCCGCGTCTGGCGCAGCTATGTCTGCGGCATGTGCCTCATCGGCGTCAGCCGCAGCTGCAGCGGCATCCGCGTCCATGTCCTCCAAGCTGCAGCAGCTGCACCAGTCTGCGGAATCTGCGTCATCGTCTGCATCGGCCATATCCGCCAATCCACCAACTGCAACGTCTGCCGCGCTGTCGACCGCCTCTGGCACAGCCGCGAAACCGGCCGCATCTGCAGCCTCCGCCACAACAGCGTCGGCCGCCTCGGGCACATCCACATCAGCCACAGGAACGGCACGCTGCATGACGCGCATCACGGCCCAGTGGACCGCAGAGCCTTCTTCAAGCGGCTCCGGCTCCCTTGGCCTCCTCTTCTTCTTGCCGTTTTTGCCGCGCGTGTTGGGCGCGCTGATGTTCTTGGCAGCCATCTCCTGCTGCTGACAGTGCAGCTGCTGCGCTTTGCGGCCTCGGGAAGCTGAAACTGTACCGCCAGCTTCAAATCTGAAACCTCAGCCTGCAACACGAATGTTCTAACAGTGATCACCGCATTCTGTCCTGCTTCATAACATGAGGTCTGCAGAGGCACGCCATGACATGTTCATGTTCTCTTCCAAAGTTCATTCCTCCAGCAAGTGTGGGGGTTCGGCGCACAGATTGATTTCCTTGAAATGAGCCTTGATCTGCTTGCGTTGTCAGAAGGGTTCATTGAATTGTTTGGAGGCATCTGCCAAAGCTGTCTGAATCTAACTCAAGGATCAGAATCTAAATTGCAACGCAATGGTGCCACAAAGCAGCCGTTCGTGCTCCAGCGAGTACCCAGGATCCGCGGGTCGTCATGACCACTTCGGTAAGTTCGCGTCTGCTGAATCTCCTCAGGCTGGAGCCGGCAAACAACAACCACAACTCCTGGATGAAGTGACTTAACAGCGTGCCCCTGGTTTCACTCGCTGTCCTCGGCTGCTTCGTAGCTCTCACATCCACCAGCATGCATGCTGGACTGCATGATTATCTTCCAACTATCCTTTCACTTGAGAAGTATGGCTGCAGCCAACCCATGAACAATCAAACGCGGTGCACGGCTTAAGGAAACTGCTCAAGCGCATGCCGAAACACGGCTAGGTGCTGTCGCGAGCTATACAAGCCGGGTGCACAAATACTGGTGCCGCCGTCTCTATGGGACCTCGCCGTGTGATTCCATTGCATATTGACAGCACTTGCAAGCTAGAAGATGTATCTGGTTGCAAATAGCCTATGGCAAGGATGGACAAATCCAACAGCTCCATGCTGAGTTGGCAGGATAGGGTCATGCGGCTAGGATGCCGACTCGACGATGTCATAAGCCGTACATCACAGGTGGTCTCGTCCCAAATTTGCAAATCCTTTCAGCACATGCACCCCCCAGGCCTTGCACAGCAATTGGCCTTCCACCTTTGAAATTGCACCGCAAGCTGAGTGCCTCCAGCAACTTCTTCAGCTGAGGAAACTCGAGGCTTGCCTCGCATGTTGGACCATGTCCCATCATGTCCCATCTGCCCGTCCCGGACGCATCAAACAGCCAACGGGCTTGCCGCCTCTCGCTGCTCAGGCCGCAGGGATGCGAACGTCTCCGGGATGCCACCGTACTTTCTCAGTTTCGGGTCAAAACAATGGACTACCAACATGTTCCGCTGCTCAAGTTTTCCGGCTGTGGCATCGCTTGACTGGCAAAGCTGACAGTGCTCTCATCCGCTGAGAAAGTCAAATTCCAAGGCGCCAGGACCGCTGTTGCTGGCGATTGCCGCATTCCTGGCAACGGATCGCAAGCCACCCAGCCACCCAGTCCCACACCTTCCATTCCGCCATTCCGGCTCACACAGGGGCAAGACAAACCACAGTCGCTTCCAACCACAGCACAACCGCAATACGACTTTCTGAGACCGTGCACTCTAGACTGGACTCTACACAGGCTCAAGTGTGGCTTAGATTTCTGGGTCAAGGTTGACTTGTGTAGCAGCGTTCGCCACCTCGGGCACAGCCGCGTCTGCCGCATCTGCAGCATCCACCGCAACAGCGTTCGCCGCCTCGGGCACAGTCGCGTGGAAAACCAGATGCCCTCAACCAAACCATGTTGGCCCTAAACAAGAGCCTGACCGTTGCAGTCAGAGCAATACTTCGAATCAAAGCTTGAACACGGACAATCGTTTGTGATCGTTTGTGTAGGATTTGGTGCACACTGTTCCCTCTCGCCCGATTGGAGCTAAGCCTGTGGCCATTGGCGTGCAACTCGCTAGCACATCTGTGGAAGGGTGCCATCTACCACTTCACCTGGACATGTGCGAGCTAAAGTTGACAACCTGCAGACTCCATACGCGGTGTGAGAAATGCCAGAAACAGCCCCCTTCATTTTGAAGCATTAAGTCACAAAGGGCTGTCCCTCTCCCGGCCTGGCGCGCTTTGGCATCACGCTGGTCTGGAGGAAGACGAGCCTGCAAGAACACAAAGCCCGTGGCAAAATACCGAGTGAGGACTTCGACTTTCAGTGCGCGTCACAAAGTAAACATCATAAGACCTTTATGGCACAAGCCTCGCATATCCGCCCGCCTGGGTGCCTGTCTGACCAGCTTGAAGAGCAATCAGCTCGCCTGCCAAGAGTCTCGACACGTTGGCACAGTGTCACAGGTCGGATCCAGGAAGAAACCCGAAACCCGTGGGACCGGCCGTTTTCGCTTCGCCGAGTCGAGGCAAATTTGACCCATCCGTGCAAAGAATCAGCAGCCTGACAGCCACCTTTGAGCTGAAAGGGAACTTTCCCGAGGTCTGTGAAAGCCCTCATGGAAGATACCCTCAAGACACCAAAGTCGAATAAACGGATAAACGCCAACTGCATACGGTTTAGGTTCAGAATGCCCAACACACTGGCACTTGAAGGCTGGGGGTTCTAACGGGCCTCACCTGAGGCTGAATTTTTCAGCATTGCAAACCACTCACTTTCGCCAGTGGCCGCTTCTGGCACATCCACACCTGCGGCATCAACCGCAGCAGCATTCGCCACGCCTCGCACAGCCGCATCTGCGGAATCAGCTGCATCTGCGGAATCAGCTGCATCTGCGGAATCAGCCGCATATTCGGCATTAGCCACAATGTGGCTGAATCCGCAGATGCGGCTGTGCCAGGGGTGGCAAACGCTGATATCAGCATTCGCCACGCCTCGCACAGCCGCATCTGCGGAATCAGCTGCATCTGCGGAATCAGCTGCATCTGCGGAATCAGCCACATCTGTGGCATCAGCAACATGCTGCAGCAGCTGCACCAGTCTGCGGAATCTGCGTCATCGTCTGCATCGGCCATATCCGCCAATCCACCAACTTCGCGGCTGTGCCAGAGGCGGTCGACAGCGCGGCAGACGTTGCAGTTGGTGACCAACTGCAACGTCTGCCGCGCTGTCGACCGCCTCTGGCACAGCCGCGAAACCGGCCGCATCTGCAGCCTCCGCCACAACAGCGTCGGCCGCCTCGGGCACATCCACATCAGCCACAGGAACGGCACGCTGCATGACGCGCATCACGGCCCAGTGGACCGCAGAGCCTTCTTCAAGCGGCTCCGGCTCCCTTGGCCTCCTCTTCTTCTTGCCGTTTTTGCCGCGCGTGTTGGGCGCGCTGATGTTCTTGGCAGCCATCTCCTGCTGCTGACAGTGCAGCTGCTGCGCTTTGCGGCCTCGGGAAGCTGAAACTGTACCGCCAGCTTCAAATCTGAAACCTCAGCCTGCAACACGAATGGTCTAACAGTGATCACCGCATTCTGTTCTGCTTGATAACATGAGGTCTGCAGAGGCACGCCATGACATGTTCATGTTCTCTTCCAAAGTTCATTCCTCCAGCAAGTGTCGGGGTTCGGCGCACAGATTGATTTCCTTGAAATGAGCCTTGATCTGCTTGCGTTGTCAGAAGGGTTCATTGAATTGTTTGGAGGCATCTGCCAAAGCTGTCTGAAGCTAACTCAAGGATCAGAATCTAAATTGCAACGCAATGGTGCCACAAAGCAGCCGTTCGTGTTCCAGCGAGTACCCAGGATCCGCGGGTCATGACCACTTCGGTAAGTTCGCGTCTGCTGAATCTCCTCAGGCTGGAGCCGGCAAGCAACACTGCATGATTCTCTTCCAAGTATCCTTTCACCTGAGACGTATGGCTGCAGCATCCCAACCCATGAACCATCCAACTTGATGCACGGCTTAGGGAAAGCACCGCTTTTGACTTAAGCCAGACCAGTTCTCTCCAAAGGCACTGCTCAAGAGCATGCCGAAACACTCTAGGTGCTGTCACGAGCTATACCAAGCCGGGCGCACAAATACTGGTGCCGCCGTCTCTATGGGACCTCGCCGTGTGATTTCATGGCATATTGACAGCACTTGCAAGCAAGAAATGTATCTGGTTGCAAATAGCCTATGGCAAGGATGGACAAATCCAACAGCTCCATGCTGAGTTGGCAGGATAGGGTCATGCGGCTAGGATGCCGACTCGACGATGTCATAAGCCGTACATCACAGGTGGTCTCGTCCCAGATTCGCAAATCCTTTCAGCACATGCACCCCCCAGGCCTTGCACAGCAATTGGCCTTCCACCTTTGAAATTGCACCGCAAGCTGAGTGCCTCCAGCAACTTCTTGAGCTGAAGAAGCTCGAGGCTTGCCTCACACGTTGGACCATGTCCCAGCATGTCCCATCTGCTCGTCCCGGACGCATCAAACAGCCAACGGGCTTGCCGCCTCTCGCTGCTCAGTCTGCATGGATGCGAACGTCTCCGGGATGCCACCGTACTTTCTCAGTTTCGGGTCAAAACTATGACCTACCAACATGTTCCGCTGCTCAAGTTTTCCGGCTATGGCATCGCTTGACTGGCAAAGCTGACAGTGCTCTCATCCGCTGAAAATGTCAAATTCCAAGGCACCGGGACCGCTGTTGCTGGCGGTTGCCGCATTCCTGGCAACGGATCGCTATTGGCTCTTGGAAACCCACTCTTATGATGTGGGTTTTTTTTCTTTAGATAGAACATGAACTCAAGCGAATCAGATATATTTTTTTCACGCTTCGCTACGTCTTGCCAACACACCCAAACACCCAGATCCCAGCAACCCGGCCACCCGGCCACCCGGCCACCCAGCCACCCAGCCACCCAGCCAGCCCTCCCCCACTGCGCGCCATGTTGGTCTATGTGCGGTTGTCATGGCTCCGAGGCTTGCCGACGCTCCGAGCTATCTTTGTTGAGCCACGTCTCTCCCAAGCGACCTCACAACAGTCGTCCGGCAGAGAGCTGATTGATGACTCTCAGAGAAGCAGTCCAGAAACGCCTTTTTGGAACGACGCACCCCCTCATTGGCATGCCCGAGCATGCGAATGTACCTCAAGCCTGCTTCGCAGGTGAAGCCTGTGCTACTGGCATCGCCCGAGTGGAATTCCACACGGGTGGTGCAAAGCCAAACTCACAAAACCCACGAGTTTCACCATGGGAGCACTCGCGCCATGAGTTTGACTCTGGCGCTCTGGCAACAAACTCAGCCTCTTACCGTACTCTTTTGTGTCCTGTGGGTACCCTGCCGCTCAAACAACTGCAAAATCCTGGACTGGGTGACTTGAGGCTGACCAGAACTGAAAGTCTTCGATCGCTTCGATGCCTTTCAGGTGACACGCATGACACGCCATCTCTTAGAGAAAGCTGACAAGTACTATACATCCATATGAAGGAAGCTTGCATGAACGACAAGTGTCGCAACCTGGCATAGGCTTCCGTCAGGGCTGCCCCGGAAGGCGAGTGAGGAGCTTGTAATGATGAGAGCCTCGATGCATTGCAAGCTGCTTGTCCACTCGAACACTCGTATGGAAGACTGAGGTCCAGGCAGCTCTGAAATTGTTTGTATCTGCTCTGTGGCGAGCACCTGACAAATTCCAATCACATGAGGCCCCTTGCCGTTTTAAGCAGAGCCAGGTTTTGGTTTCTATGGTTTTCTGGATTGTTGGCCTCTTGTTGTGGCAACGGGCGATGACAGGCGCAAGCAGCTACGCACAGGTGGCATGCTGTGTGCCGGGCAAAATGCCTTCCCTGCTGCTGACAGTCTCACCTCCGCACCAAGATGTATGCTCTCAACACGGCTTGCGGTGCCCTTTGTGACCCTTGCGCGTGGCCCTGTCTAAGTTGATTGCCCGCATTGGCATAGTAATGGTGCAAGGAGCTCACCAGTGGCACAGACCTGCAAAGCGTGAGGCGAAGTTCAGACTATGCGCTATAAGCCGAGGCATGGACTCCTTCTCATCCAAGCCGTCCAGAAACCTGGCCAGGCAGTTGCACGAGAAACTCCGAAACTACCATGAGCGGACGCTGTTCACCGGTCCGCAACTCAATCGACTCAATCCCAGCGGTTCCAGCGCGGCCAATGGGCAAACGTGCCGGAAGAGCGAAGCGACCTGGCCAGGCCAACAGATGCAAAACGAGGCCAAACGAGGCCAAACGAGGCCAAACGAGGCAAAAAGCCTTCCGGCAGACATGGAACCAGGCCTTCCGGTAGCTGCTGCGCATGGGCCCAAAAGGAATGCTGTTGCAGGATACCTCCTCCTGTAATGAGCGAGTCTCACAGGTCAACAGGGGCAGTCATGGCAGTCCTCAGCGCGGGCGGGCCTGGTGGCGCTGAACTCGAAAGCGCATTCATCCCACGCGCGTCTCAGGCACATGCGCACCCCACGATGGATCTTGGCCATCTCCCTCCTCAAAAGAAGCGTGAGGTATGGGGAGGCATGGGGAGGCATGGGGAGGCATGGAGAGGCAGGAACGCTCTGCCATCGCTCTCCAGAACCTTGCAAGCTGAGGCCTGTGCAACACGCCGCACTGTTGGCATAGATCGATCCCTGACCGGGACAAGCCCCAGAGAGGCTGGCAAATCAAGCAATCTTATCAACAAAATACATGGGCATCCCGGCATCCTACAATCCCAATTAATCTAGCAGTTAGCCGGCCCCTACCAAAAAACAACGCAATCCTTCAGCAAAGGGGCGGGGCGTATTCTTGTGGTTGGCTGGGGTGGCTGTGCCGGTGCTTGAGCATGTGGGCCGGGACTGCGTGCGCGTTCGTGCGCGCGCCTGCGTGTGCGCCTGTGCGCCCGTGCGCACGCGCGCGCCTGTGCGCCTGTGCATCTCTGCGTCTGCGCTGCACGTCTGTGCATCAGTGCGCCCGTTCTTCTGTGTCTCTGGGCCTCTGTGTCTCTGTGCGTCTGTGTGGCTCATTTGAGGCCTGTGAATGCTGGGCAGCTGAGTCTGTGAGGCCAGTGCCTTCCGACTTGCAATTAAACTGGGAATCTGAGACTATGGTCCAATGCCCTCCAGCCTTTTCAACTTCTGCACCAGGCTCTGCGACTCCTTTTTCAGCTCGGCGTGCTTGGCTTTCGCTGTGTCTCGAGATCTGCGCATTGCGGGCTGGCCGCCCGAAACCCTTCTGCAAGGCTCCGCCCATGCTTGGCGATCAAGTATCTCCAATGTTGCCGCACAAGTATACAAGTCAGGTCTCTGCAAAGGCGCGTTGAGCTGATCCAAACCAAACTTTGGACATCGACGTCACCGCGTGCAACTCTTGCTGTCATCCCACGCCTTCCATTCCACCATTCCCGGTGGTCCCCGTTGGGGTTCGGCTTCTCTCTGACTGGGCCAGGCGTTCAGGGGCAAGAAACTCCAGCCGCCAAGCTCAGCGCAACCACAATGCGACTTTCCGGCTACAGTGGACTCTACAGTGCACTCTACAGTGGACTCTAGGGGTGCACTCTGGCAAACGGGGGCTGGCTCAAGTGTGGCTTGGATTTCTGGTCGAGCTTGACTTGTATTGCTGCCCCAGCTCCCTTCAGGCTCCAAGCTGCTCAGGCTGGGGCCCCAAATGCCCTCAACCAAACCGTGTTGGCCCTAAACAAGAGCCTGACCGTTGCAGTCAGAGCAATACTTCGAATCAAAGATTGAACACAGACAATCGTTTGTGATCCTTTGTGCAGCATTTGGTGCAGACTGTTCCATTTCACCCGATTGGAGCTAAGCCTGTTGCCATTGGTGCGCAACTCGCTGGCACATCTGTGGAAGGGTGCCATCTGCCACTTCACCTGGACAGGTGCGAGCTAAAGTTGACAACCTGCAGACTGCATACGCGGTGTGTGAGAAACGCCAGGGACAGCCCCCTTCATTTTGAAGCATCAAGTCACAAAGGGCTGTCCCTCTCCCAGCCTGCTGGCGCGCTTTGGCATCACGCTGGTCTGGAGGAAGACGAGCCTGCAAGAACACAAAGCCCGTGGCAAAATACCGAGTGAGGACTTCGACTTTCAGTGCGTGTCACAAAGTAAACATAATATCCGCCCGCTGCCTGGGTGCCTGTCTGACCAGCTTGAAGAGCAGCCATCAGCTCGCCTGCCAAGAGTCTCGACACGTTGGCACAGGTCGGATCCAGGAAGAAACCCGAAACCCGTGGCACCTGCCGTTTTCGCTTCGTCGCTCAAATTGTCCGAGTCGAGGTAAATTTGGCCCATCCGTGCAAAGAATCAGCAGCCTGACAGCCACCTTTGAGCTGAAAGGGAACTTTCCCGAGGTCTGTGAAAGTTTCATGGAAGATACCCTCAAGACACCAAAGTCCCAAAACCGGATAAACGCCACCCTGCATTTGAGGGCTGGGGGCTCTAACGGGCCTCACCTGAGACGCGAGCAGCAGACCATTTCCCATGCTGACTTTATCAGCATGACAAACCAGTCACTTAGTGGCCGCTTTCAGCGTTGGCCACCCCGGGAATAGCCGCATCTGCGGAATCAGCCGCATATGCGGCATCCACAGCATCAGCATTCGCCACGCCTCGCACAGCCGCATCTGCGGCATTGGCCGCATTTGTGTCAGCGGCAGCCGCATGAGCGCTGGCCAATTCTGGCGCAGCTATGTCTGCGGCATGTGCCTCATCAGCGTCAGCGACAGCTGCAGCGGCATCCGCGTCCATGTCGCCAAGCTGCAGCAGCAGCTGCACCAGCCTGCGGAATCTGCGTCATCGTCTGCATCGGCCACATCCACCAATCCACCAACTGCAACGTTTGCCGCGCTGTCGACCGCCTCTCGCACAGCCGCGAAACCGGCCGCATCTGCAGCATCCGCCACAGCAGCGTTGGCTGCGCGTTATGCAGCGTGCCGTTCGGTGCAGCGTGCCGTGCCGTTGTGTGCGTGCGCGTTATGCAGCAGCGTGCCGTACAGCTGCTGTGCTTCGCGGCCTCGGAAGCTGAAACTGAACCTCCCTCAGCTTCAAATCTGAAACCTCAGCCTGCAACACGAATGGTCTAACAGTGATCACCGCATTCTGTCCTGCTTCATAACATGAGGTCTGCAGAGGCACGCCATGACATGTTCATGTTCTCTTCCAAAGTTCATTCCTCCAGCAAGTGTGGGGGTTCACCGCACAGATTGATTTCCTTGAAATGAGCCTCGATCTGCTTGCGTTGTCAGAAGGGTTCATTGAATTGTTTGGAGGCATCTGCCAAAGCTGTCTGAAGCTAACTCAAGGATCAGAATCTAAATTGCAACGCAACGGTGCCACAAAGTAGCCGTTCGTGTTCCAGCGAGTACCCAGGATCCGCGGGTCGTCATGACCACTTCGGTAAGTTCGCGTCTGCTGAATCTCCTCAGGCTGGAGCCGGCAAACAACAACCACAACTCCTGGATGAAGTGACTCAACAGCGTGCCCCTGGTTTCACTCGCTGTCCTCGGCAGCTTCGTCGCTCTCACATCCACCAGCATGCATGCTGGACTGCATGATTATCTTCCAACTATCCTTTCACTTGAGAAAAGTATGGCTGCATATGGCTGCAACATGCCAACCCATCAACAATCCAAAGCAATGCACGGCTTCGGGAAAGCACCACTTCTGACTTAAGCTAGACATAAGCTAGACCAGTTCCCTCCCAAGGCACTGCTCAAGAGCATGCCGAAACACTCTAGGTGCTGTCACGAGCTATACCAAGCCGGGCGCACAAATACTGGTGCCGCCGTCTCTATGGGACCTCGCCGTGTGATGGCATATTGACAGCACTTGCAAGCAAGAAAATGTATCTGGTTGCAAACAGCCTATGGCAAGGATGGACAAATCCAACAGCTCCATGATTGACTCCCATGCTGAGTTGGCAGGATAGGATCATGCGGCTAGGCTGCCGACTCGACAATGTCCATAATTAGCCGCAAATCACCGGTGGTCTCGTCCCAGATTCGCAAATCCTTTCAGCACATGCACCTTCCAGGCCTTGCACAGCAATTGGCCTTCCACCTTTGAAATTGCACCGCAAGCTGAGTGCCTCCAGCAACTTCTTGAGCTGAAGAAGCTCGAGGCTTGCCTGGCATGTTGGACTATGTCCCATCTGCCCATCTGCCCAGACGCTGCCGCCTCTCGCTGCTCAGGCCGCAGGGATGCGAACGTCTCCGGGATGCCACCGTATTTTCTCAGTAGATCGAAAAGCGGGGCATGCAAGCTACATCCCCACATTATCTTTGCTGTCCCAGATGCGAGATGCAAGTCAGCCGCAGATCCTGCACGCGCAGAAAGCAACGGTTTCAAACGCAGCAACGCAGCGTCCGTGTTCCGTCCTCGAGAGCCGTGGATGGCGCAAAGAGCCGCACACCGTGCTCGAACTCCGTGGTAGTCAACTGCGCTGAGGCATATCTGCTGTCTTGCAACAATGTTTCAAGCCAAGCAATAAAGCCAATATAAACTCCGGAAAGATCAAGTCATACCAAATGCCTGCCCAGTATTGTGTACCGGTTTGCGCAAGCCGGGCCCCAGAACCGACCGGGGATGTGTCTTTATGCGCGTGAAAGTCGCCTTCCCATCTCGGTTCACATCCATCAGGTTGAACAATGCCTTCGTATCCTGCTCGGAAAGCTGCACCTGACAGAAAGTCGCCAAGAAAGCAGTCTGCAAGTTTGATCTCCCCCCCCCCCCTTCCCGCTTCGTTCGCGTCAATATCGCCAATGCTGAACTTCCACACCACATGGAAACACATTCATGAAAACCAAGCAAGACAGGAAGCCAATTCCATGGCCTAAGAAACCCTCTGCGCAAAAATGAAACTTGCCTGGCCGAGCAACTCCTGGTACTCTTCGGGCGTCCTGCCTGTCACAAGCGCGACACTTCCCCAAAACCCCTTGCCCCACACCGCTCCTCATCCTGAAGCGTAAGACAAGTGGTACAAAAGCAAAATTGGCCGAATTTGGACAACATCACGCCAGCATAAGCTGGAACAGCAAATACAGGGACGCTCACAGGCCCAGAAATCTTCCGCACATTGCGCGCCATTCTGCAGAAGGACGAGGACAACCAAACTCTCTGCGAAGGACAAATATACTCTGATCCTCTGTGGCGCTGTGCTTCCTGAGCCTTTTGCTTGACGGCTACCCGCAATTGCGCGCCATACTGCCAAATGGACCATCTGGGAGGGCGGGACTTTCCAGTTTTGACAAGGCGCCGCGGGCATACTTTGAGCATGGCTTGCGCGCGCAGCGCGAGTTTGATCCCCAGGACAGCAAATTCCAAGCGCGGCGTCTTAAAGGGAAGCAAGGGTCGACGGCATTTGGGGCGTCTTAGTTGGAAAGAGCTTGCTTTCAACAAACCTTGGGTCGTGTTTCTGACTTGTAGTCTACCTAGGGTGACCCTCCAAAGACTTTCGATGGGCCGTCTTAGTTGGAAAGAGCTTGCTTTCAACAAACCTTTGGTCATGTTTCTGACTTGTAGTCTGCCTAGGGTGACCCTCCAAAGACTTTCGACGACGGCAACTCCAACCCTGGTGTTGGGCTCGCGTGTCTCATTTGGCTTGCTCCGCAGCAGGGCCGCTAACATCGGCTGGGCCACGCCGGAGCTTTGGTGGATTTGCTTAACGCGCAGCCTCTCAGGGCCGATGTTATGGTGGCTGCTCAAAAATGCCGGGCAGAGCGGCCAAAACAAGTCTCACAACAGAGTGCTCCAGCAACTCTCTTGCCAACATCTGCATAGATCACACTGCAACATTGGCACTCGCTTGCCGGATTTTTCCGAAAGCAGCCCAAAAGGTTGTGTGCACACAGAGTTGCGAGTTGCGCAGCTTTGCGCTTGCAGCTTAGCACTTTACTTTGCTTGCGCAGCGAATTCACAGCGACTGCGCGTAGCCTAGCTCACGCACCCTAGCTCACGCGGCGTGACTTACGCAGCCTAGTTGCCCGCGCAGCCAGCGCGGAGCGGTCGCCGTCGCTGCCCAGCACAGCCATTGCGGAGCGATTGCGCTGCGACTGCGCGTAGCCTAGCTCACGCAGCCAAGCTCCTGCGGCGTGACTTATTACACAGCCTACAGTAGCCTACGCAGCGTCACTGGCGGGATGAACCCTCTGCGGGGGTCGCGCGTGTCGGAGCGCGGCGATGTGCGATTTTTTTCAACGTTGCAAACGAACCCTCTGCGGGATCGTGCGTGTCGAACCGCTCTCGCTGGGGCGCAGTTCGAACTTTACGTTGCCGACCAACCCCCTGTAGCGGGGGGTCGCGCGCGTTGGATCGCTCTTGGCAGCGCGCGGATTTCGCCACTGGCCGGCGAACCCTGCGAGGATCGCGCTCTGGCCGCAGCGCCGCTGGCCGATGAGACCTCTGCGCGGAAGTCTGATCGCTCTCAGTGCTGCCCCGTGCGCTTACTGTCACTGATAGTACGAAAGTAGCTCTGGCTCGAAATGGCAAGTTTCTAGGTACGAAGGTAGCGCGCGAAGTGCACTTCTCCAGCTGTGTCTCAATGGCAAGGTTTCAGCGCAAAAGCAGTTCCGGCTCGAACGCTACGTCTCAACATCGCCTCGCCTCACAGCACCTCTCAACATAGCCTTGCTTCACAGCCGAGCCTGCGTAGCTTTCCTTCACAAAATATCTCAACATAGCTTTGCTGCGCAGCGCGTCTCAACAGAGCAGCGAACTGCTCTGCTACGCGCAGCTCTGCTCTGCTTTGCACAGCACTGGGCTTGCGTCGGCCACGTGGTTACAATAGGCGTTCGGGAGAATCGGGTCTGGTCGCTATTTTGTTGAATTTGCTTCCCGCGCCCCGGTAAGACTGCAGGCAGGCTGCAGCGCCGGGACCTGGCGGATCGGAAGAGCGCAACAGCCGAAGCTCCGCTGCAAACTTCAGGACGCTGCTGCAGGCTGGCAGTTTGCTGCAACGCAGGCAGCTTTGCAACAGCACCCTGCAACAGCACCCTGCAACAGCACCCTGCAACAGCACCCTGCAACAGCACCTTGCCCAATTCTGAAAATCGCTCTGTGCAAGTTCTTTATGAGGTCCTCTATGTAGGCCAGCGCAAGAGAATCCAATGAAAGAACCCTTCGCAATGCTTTCGGGCAACAAGCAACTCATTGCCAATTGCCCGGCTAATGTGCAGAGGAGCGGCCGTCATCCTCCGTCTGGTTTTCTGCCACCAGATCCTTTGGGCAAGGCACATGGGCTTCACAAAGTCGACGATCTATCCGCTTCGAATCCCGATCTGCGCCTTGAGGAAGTTTTCGGCCTTCTCGGCACCCATGCCAGAGTGTCGCGCAATCCAAGATGCCTCGAGTGTCGTTGATGGCAACCAACAGCCACAGCTGGATGTTGTACATGGCAAATGTCTACGAGTCTAAGCGCACGGCACGGCGCGACCTGGCCCACAACTCAAGGCTCAACTGATGCAGGTGTTTCGCAAAGCGAGCTGGTGCCGCTCCGACCGCGAACACGGCTCACTGCTGTTGGGCGTCTCCTGTCAGCTCAAAAACAAGTGGCGACAGCCATCCTGGCGGCGCAGGAAGAGCAGCACATATTACCCAACAGTGTAACAGTTATAATAGTATATCAGTATATTATATTAAATTATATTGTTATACAGCACAATATGGTCGGAAGTTGCCTTTTGCTCGCTGCACGGCTCCTTACCCTGAGCCACGAGGGAATGCCGCTGATAGAGCGAGTTTCGCCTGCGCGGCTCTGACAGACAAGTACCGTCAGATCAAACCCACCCCGCGGCTTTTCTTCCAAAGAATTGTTTGCCATGCAAGGTCGTAGCTTGCTGTTGGCTGCCTTTCCCCTCTCTGACACTTCGTTGAGCATGGCTTAGCGCTCAGGTCGCTCCAGTGCCAAACCCCGCGCCTTGAGGGAGCAATCTCCACAGCCGGAGGCGGCTCCAAGTCCAGCACCTGTCCCCGATGCGAATTTCAGGCACAGCAATGCAAGTGCATTGCGAACCAAAAATGAACTTGCCAAACTGGCTGCTCAAAATTAAACAGGAGGGGGTACGCGGGTTTGGGTCCATGTTTCCACTTACCAAGGTTCCATTTTGGTACCGGTTTTTTGAGCCACTGCCAACTCCTCCGAACTCTGCGCATCTCACCTCATCCACCTCCACGCCGTCATTGTCTTCGCTGAGAAGGCCACGCATACCTGGCAGTGTACGGGCCCAAGAGATATGGCTAGCCCATTCGAAGCTCACTTCGAAAGCGCTGTCGGACTTTCCGTCGGATCTCATCAAGGTAGAGATTCGGCCTACATGCAAGCAGCTCTATCGATTACGTGGGTGTTCTTATCACGTTCATGCTAGGCTGGGACTGACTCAGCAACAAAGGTGCGAGACTTCCGCATTTGATTGTGTCCGGGCGGAAGGCTGAGGCCAGGACTCGGAAAGAGTCAGGGCAGTGACGAACTCGTCTTTACTGCGTCGCCAAATGCACAAAGTCAGATTCATGCCTCGCATATTATGCCTTGCGTCGCCCTTTAGGGCTAAATAGCTAAGCACTCATACAAATTAAATTCTATGCCTTGCATAAGGGCGTGTCGTTTTAGGGGGGGGCCCTAAATGCTGATTGTCCTTTTGGTTTCGCTTTAAACACCCCAACAAGGGTAACCTCAAAAGAAAGCCATTTCGTCAATTGCAATATGGGTCATATTGAACTTGACGAATTCCATAGAGTTGGAGCAAAAGTAACAAGGCCTTGCGCAAAGGCACATGTGCGTGATGAGAGACTTGGGCTTGCCCAAAATATCAATATTGATTGCCCATGTGTTGCCCGTAAGTCACACGTCGCAGGCCTGATCTCCAGGCTGCCGTCGACATCAATCAGTCGAAATACTTTAGCTGCTTCGTGAGTCGTCAACCTTTGCATTGAGAGCTCCGGCGCTGCGATTTCGTGACACTCTCTGTGCTGAATCTTTGCCGCCAGTAGAGTAGCGTGGGGCCAAGACTTCCACGCGGGAACAGCGTAGCGGATGAACTCGCCGATGTCCAATGAGTCCTGGCCACACGCGCAGCGCAGCGCGATGTCGTGTGACGTCGTGATTTCGGATTCCCAATTTGTACTTGTCAAAGGTGGTCCCCTTATTTACCGATGCCCCCGTTGAAAGGGGAACCACCTTCTGACATTGGAAGAGCTCAGCACAAGTCATGAAGCAATGAAATTGCAAGATGCAAGCTCTTACAAGCTGAGTAGCAGACACCTTGATCCATGTCCAGGGCTGCAAAACAATTCGAGAGCGACCTCAGGGGCAATAGAAGCAACGGTGTAAGGCAGTGAACCAGGCAAGAATCAAAACAGTGCTCCCACCATACTTCAACGAAGACAGGGAAGCGGCAACTATCCGCAAAACCCCGAGCTCAAGGACTCGCACTGCCAGAAGCTACGCCATGCTTAAGCTCCTGGCCCGAACTTCCTCAGGATCTTTTCTCTCAAGTCCTGCACCAGCATCAGCTTGAAAGCATCAAAATGGAAAGCAAAGGATTGCGCCTCCAGCAGCAATGAAGGTGAAATTGCACTCATAGCAGCTGCCAACATTTCCAAAGTGACCTTAGAGGTGTCCGTTTCCGCTGTGGCGCGGCTCTTTCCATGTCTCCTTTGATTAGTGGCGTCCAGTGTCTCGCCCAAGAGGCCGGCTGTCTGATTGAAGCTGAACGGGTCGCGGATGGCTGTGAAAATGTTCTGCCCAGCGATGCCCGAGTGACGAATTCGAGAGATTTGTATTGATCACATGCAAATGAATGCCCAGCATCCAGAGTTTTGTTGCGATGCTAAATGACGGCATAAAACAGGAGTTGATGTCTCCGTCGGTTTTGGCAAGGGTAACTCTGTAACTGGCTTTCGCAGCCTGCCGGCATACATTTCAGGGTGATCCCGCGCTGCAGTGGTGACGTCTTCCACGCTTCCAAATCGTTTAACAAGAACTTTCAAGCAGCGGTGTGCCTCAATATGCCTCAATGCTTGGGTGTGCTGCAATATTCGACGTAAACACCCATGTGTTTGCACTGCGCTAGTTCGACAGCCCAAACATATCGCAGAATCTGCTCGGTGCCACTGTGCTGTCCGCTATTCCCTCCTTTTGTGAGCAAGCCTGTCCCCGCCCCTTTGACAGCTTCTTTCCCAGTAAAACCGGGCAGCGGAAGGAAGGCACGGCCTTGTTCCCCAACCCCCAAAAGGATACCCAGCGTTATTTATTAGGATGAAACAACCTCTTGAGATCCTTCGGTGCCTGGAACCTCTTTTTGACCTCACTTGGGCCAGCAGCCTCTAGTGTTTATGAACAAAGGGGTTTGCTTTTCTGGTCCCCGTTGCTCGTGCACGTGATGCCCGCCCAGATCTGCGCTTTTACGTCGGCTGGCAGGAATCTGGCCTGGTGCTCCATCTCATCTTCCACGCCTACCATCGACGTTCTGCAAGCCGTGCAAGCACAAAATATCAGAAAAATGACAAAAATGACAAAGATGAAAAATAGTCCTTCGTTGATGTCTGCCAAAGGAAAAATATATATGGAAAAAAGTCAAAGACGTTCAGGCGCCGCCTACCCTCGACAGCTGTGCTCCGAACTCCTGCAGCGTGAAGGACCTTTCACCAAGAACACGAGCCAAGTCGGCAGCTTTCACACTTTGAATATGTTGGTCGTTGAACATGTAAAATGAATGTTCAAACAAGTAAAATGAATGTTGCATGAAACCTCAAAACATTCATGTTTGAACCTTCAACTTCAAATTGAATTGAGCTCTCGCGGCAGTGCCTACCCGGATCTTTGTTGAGCTCCATGACCATGAGGGCCTCGCGCAGCCATAACATCTGGAAGCCTTTTGAACACTGGCTCACTGGCTTATCCTCATAAACGGAAAGCACTGCGACATAGGACTTGAGATCCATGAAGGTCTTCGCATGCCTTTCTGACTCTAGCTATGCAACACGTTTTGTTTTTGCCTTTCCCTCTTCCATGGTATATTGGTTCACGCGGAGCATGCCTGCCGCATGGATGGGTAGCCCAGAGCTACCCACTTCCGTCTCAAATCCTGACAGGCGGGCAGGCATTCCTTCGCACGTCGCTTTTTTCTGTGTTCGATTTGAAGTTTTAAAGCGTTCCACATGTGCCTCGAGCGACTTGACTGGCGCCGCCGCTTCGATGGCGGTGTGGAACTCATCCAAGGAAACGCAACCTGAAGCCACTCGCTGCTCGCACGATGGCTCAAAAAGAATGCCTGAAATTCCCCTTCGTACTTCAAAGAGTGTTGATCTTGCCACTCAAATGTAGCGCATGCAAGACAATTGGCTGAGACAAGCCCTGAGCACCGAACCATTCTTGTCATGGTCAAGAAATTCGAAAATCTTTGCATGCTCCTTCCAGCTGGGCAAAATTGAATGGAAAGCAACAGCCGAATCGGCTTTAAGACGCCGCATCAAGACACGAAGCCCGAAGCGGGTGCACGGCATTTTGCAAGCTGCAAGCTGATTAGCTAGCACTCGTCTACCAAGCGAATTGACTTGAGGCACGAAGCTCTCAAGCTTCTGCACGCGCTGAGTTGCGTCTTGATGTTCTATGCCCAGCCAAGCTCTGCACACTTGGCATAATCGAAACGACAGGGCTGTGCAAAGTGTATCTGAGTTGACGGATAAATCCATTGATCCGGTCTCAGGATGCTTGCATCTTGACAAATGCAAGCTCTGAACTTGCTGTGAAGACTGCCGCTTTCAGACCTGCACGCGGTTCGGCGGTTCGCACGCACACCAACGCAAAAAACAGCCGCGCGCGACACATGTCTAGCGGTTTTTGCAACCTGCCCAAAGCCCGCACTCTACAACCCAAAGGAAAGGAGATACTTTAAAAGAGGAACAAAACATGAAAAGACGGCGCAGGCGCGCCATGCGAAGCTGGTAGTCGCCGTTTTGGGTGATATATCGCACCCAGGGCAGCGCCTCAAAGCGGTCAGTTCCGGCAAATTTTCACCGATGCATGCGGCTATGCGTCAAAAAGGGCAACCTCGCCAAACATGTGTTCGTATTTAGTCCTTATTATCATTGAACTAGTAAAAATAAAGCGCATAGGGGGGGTGGACGATTCTCAGATACACGTCGGCTTGGCAGCACCTGATAGCCAGACTTCTCCACGATCTTGAGGTACCTGGCAAAGAGTGAGATCTTGTTGCGGTTTCCCTCCCTCTCGTTTGGGTACTTCCTTCTGGGGCAGATTCTAATGTCAACGCTCTTTGTTTGGTAGGCGCCTGAGGTTCAGTTTTGGATTGATTTATGGTTGCGGTTGTGGGGGTTGACGCGCTGCTTCAGGGGAGATTTAGGGGTGCGGTAGAGTGAGTGAAGGGCAAGCTCAGGAGTGTTTTAGGCGGGGGTTAGGGCTTAGGGTGGAATTAGTGTGCAAGGGTTAGCTTGGAATTGCCCGTAAGGTTGGTTTAGGGCAGGCTTAGGTTTGAAATGGGCTCCGGGTGGCTTTATGGTGAGTTTAAGGTGCGGTCTTAAGGTGGGTTTAGCATCTGTCAAGGGGTGCTCTACGGACGGTTCAGGGTGTGATTGGAGTGGATTTAGGTTAGACTTGGGTTGTTTGCTCGAAAACTGTTGTTGGGCTTTGGGGTGGACATGGGTTGGTTTGGTCTGGGCGTAGGGTTGGCTTGAAGTGGGTTTGGGACTGGCTTAGGGTAGGTCCGGTGTAGTCTTTGGTTTTGTGCTCATCTTAGGAATTTCAATGGGGGTGGAGCACGGCTCTTGGGTGAGGGGGTATTTGTCGGCTCGCCTTAAGGTTGGCTTTCCTTGCTTGGTGGACAGCTTGCGTGTGGGCATGGTTGCCTGCGTTGTTGCTCCAGAACAGCCAGGGATCGGGATGTGACATTCCCTTGTGAGAGCTCGCGCGTTGCAATTGGCAGCAGCTACGGTGTATATTGATCAGGGGTCAACAGCACGTAGTTGCCCACTGCTTCGTTTGCTTCGCTTTCACATCACCCAGTAGAAACTGGTTGCCAGCCAGGGTTGGACTCGTTTGGTCACGGGATGGCAGGCTGAAGTCAGAACCTTGGCTGCAAACCACTTGGGATCGTTCAAAGTAACTGTTCATTCGGGAGGTTCCCTGGCTTAGGCGATATAGCAGACCCAACAGAATGCATAAAAGGCAACAGCGGGAAGTATCTTCCCAAAACCTAGTGCCAAATGGAGCAACCATCTATAATCCAAGGAAGTTTAGTAAGAAAACTTCCGTAATACGAAAAGTTGAATCACAAGATCCGGACGCACTCAGAAGTGAAGTCAGTCGGCACGGAGAATCGCGAAGGGTACCTCTGTTCTGCGTGCGGGTTCGCCACGGTCTCGCCACGGTCTCACCACGGTTTCGGAATGTTGCCCACTGTAATGCTCGCGCAGACGTGTTCGGAGGTCTATTTTGCGTGGCAGGCGCAGCACTTTGGCAACCTGAGGTGCAGATTTCGTGGCAGGCGCAGCATTTTGTGCCCGTGCAAGGTCAAGGACAGATTTCGTGGCAGGCGCAGCATTTTCGCAAGGTTGAGTACAGATTTCGTGGCAGGCGCAGCACTTTCGCAAGGTGAGGTGATAGATAGATAGATAGATAGATAGATGAATAGATAGACAGATAGATCAGCAAGGTCGAGTACAGATTTCGTGGCAGGCGCAGCACTTTCGCAAGGTCGAGTACAGATTTCGTGGCAGGCGCAGCACTTTTGCAAGGTCAAGTATAGATTTCGTGGCAGGCGCAGCACTTTCGCAAGGTCAAGTACAGATTTTGTGGCAGGCGCAGCACTTTCAGAAGGTCAGGTGCAGATAGATAGATAGATAGATAGATAGATAGATAGATCAAATGGAAAGAGAAAGAGAAAGACAGAGAGATATACAAAAAACGAAAGAAAGAAAGAAATCAAGAAAGACAGAAATGAAGAAATAAAGAAAAAAGAAAGAAATCAGGAAAAAAAGAAAGAAAGAAAGAAAGAACAAAATAAAGAAAGAAAGAAATAACAACAGAAAGAAATAAAGAATGAAAGAAATAAAAGACAGAAAGAAATAAAGAATGAAAGAAAGAAAGAAAGAAAGAAAGAAAGAAAGAAATAAAGAAACAAAGAAATGAGAAAGAAAGAGAGAGAGAGAGAAAGAAAGAGAAAGAGAAAGAGAAAGAGAAAGAGAAAGAGAAAGAGAAAGAGAGAAAGAGAGAAAGAGAGAAAGAGAGAAAGAGAAAGAGAAAAAAAAAGAAATAATGAAAGAAGAAATAACGAGAAATATAAATAAAAGTAAATGAAGAGATAGAGAAAGAAAGAAAAGAAAAAGAATGAAAGCAAGAATGAATGAAAAGAAAGAAAGAAAGAAAGAATAAACAAAGAGAAATAGAAATAAAACAAACAAACAATAGACAGATAGAGAAAGAAAGACAGAAAAAGAAAGAGACAAAGAAAGAGCGCAACCAAAAAAATACAAGCCAAGCTCTTCCTATAGGCACTTTTCTCGCTTTAGAAACTTTCGTCCACCGGCTTCGCCGGCTCTACTGGTGCCTCCCACTGCTGCCATTTAGACAAACCTGGCCTGACCGTCACACCCGACACGGTAAAGTACGGGATCTCGAACTTCACAGACATCGGTGCCTGCACTCCCAGGCCCATGGGTCAAAAAGCTCTTTCTCCTTCAGAATCGGCTTGAGAAGCACCAGGTAGACTGGGGAGCAGGAGAGTCATGTGAGCCATAGTTAAAGTATCAGGTTCCCACAAAGGACATGGAAAAGAGAGTGCCCCTCTACCACACTGTGTAGACATTGTAGACTAAGGGACGGTGCAAGGGAACCTCGCGTGCTTTGGCCCGGCATTTCTCGTGCTAATCTGTCATGATGCGCGCTGGGCACCTGCATTGTGATGGGACGCATGGGACATTGATGACATCAACTCGCGAACTCGCAGGCAATGCAGGGCTCTTGTTTCAGCTGCTTGAGCAAATGAAGATTGATTTGCGGAGGGGGCCCCCCTCCGTTTGCGAAGTAAGACTTGCAGAAAGTGCCTAGCCCGCTTGAGAGAATTCAATGTGCGTCCCCAGCCCTTCCATCTGGAAGGCTGCCTTCATATAGGCATCCCTGTTGTCAGCACCAACAGACGGGAGGCCAAAGTTCGCTGTCATGATGAAGTCCTTTTGACCTGAGCTGTCCATGCACAATACTCACGCTCATGTGCACTGCTTCACTGCGTCCCCGGCCCTGGAACTGCTTGATGCTCCAGACTATGCAGTCCTTTCCAAATCGCCCCGCCAGTGAACATCCGATTCAATCCCCACTAAAATAGGTTCCAAATTTTGGGGATCACATTGGTTTTTACCGAATTTCTGGACACTTTGAAGCTCATGGCTCTTCTCCAGTCCTGGTCGGGGATATATCTCACCGTGCCGATGGAGGTCTTGAAGGACGGCGAGTCCACGTCGGACGGCACCGGAATATGGATCTCCACGTTGTTGGCCACGCTGCGCCTGAAGCCCAAGCATGCCAACATGAGCCAACATGTCACCTGGCAGAGAGGCCATTTTTTTGCAATGTGCGCAGAAATATCCTGGGGCTCCTGCGACTTGAACTGTGACTTAGCCTTTATCATGTACCTTGGTGTCAAGCGGATCTACTTGTAGAGGCAGTCTGCAAATGAGTAGATGCTCTCCCAACAAAATTTTCACATGCAAGCGGCTCAATCCGCGATCGCGAGTGGCCCGGATCCACGACAGCCTAGAGATCTTGCAAAGTGACATAGACTCGTTTGCTACACAAACACCTAGCCTCGACCCAAATCAATGGCTTAACGTGGGTGTTCAGCCGATAGCTCATAAGCTCGAACTCGCCGTCAGGCCTTGCAACTCACATGAATCAAGCACTACAAGCAGCTCAGCATGTGCACCGCCCAGAATATGTCTCAGCCATCCACGGAATGAAAGAGATTGTCCGATCATTCTCGAAGCGCGCAAGCTGCACACACTGGTGGAACTTGATGTCCTGTCAACTTGCCATCGAAAAAATGAGCTTGCCACAGGCAACGTGTACCCTGCATGCTGTTGCATTCCAATTCGATATTGAATTCAGTGCATGCTTACCATCCTTGCCACCAAGCAAACCCTTTTCTGCACGAATCAAAAATGGCTGGCAAAACTGCTGCATTCCAATCACCCGCGCAGTGCTCTGCCTTGCATCCTGCCTCCATTTCCACTGACTTGCCTTTGGCCACCGGTCTTCCAGTGGCCTAGTCTATCAGCGGGGGCCAAGTCAACTGTCCCAATGATGTCAAACGCGGGGCCCCGTCTCTCTCCTATATAGGGGGATCCACAATGCGTACAATGCATTTGGAAGTTCTTGATTGGGTTGCATGATGTTTCAGCAAGCAAGATCTTCTCACAAAATGGCGCAGGAGCAGTGAGTACACAACCGTACAGAATCAAAACAAAGCATGAAGCAACACAGCCAAAGCAATACACATAAGGACGCAACAGTTGGGCGGAGCATGGCGGATACATGCGCGGACCGCACAACATTCTGCATCGCCTCAAAGAGCAGCTTGTCGTTCAGACCAAGCTTCAGTTCGGGCATGCCAGACAAATATGACCTGGGCCGATAGCTTGCCACCTTCACTACTTTACATTGCACACTGCACACACAAGCGATCAGTAAGAGTGTGGCTTCATCTTCAATGCCCCCAAGATCTCCGAACGCAGAACAGACCCGTTTGCAGAAACCAGGAGATTGAGGCGCTCCACCTTGGACAGAAAATGACACAAACCAGGCCACGAGCTCAGATCGCACCTCTGAGCCGGGGCCCCTGGCCACGTCAAGAAAAATCTCGTTCTTCTTGTGCTTGATGCCATCAGACCGCCAGGACCTGAGTGCGAAACTCCGAAACTCACCTGCAGCCTCTTGCCTCAACTGTCTGAAAGAGACTCTTGGTGCCCTGCACTGCGTTGGTCACCGCTGTGGGCGGTCTCATCTGCTCAACGGAGAGCCTGTTTGGACAATGGAAGACATTCGAGCTTGGTGTCAATCAGCTACTCTTGGACGCCAGCTGATGCGATTGAGTCTTGATGTACTCTCGCAGAATCTTGACCTGCCAATACCCAAAGCCCAAAGATTGGAATTCCTGTCATCTTGAACCCCTGGAAGCTGCGTTTGTTGCTTTACTGGAACCACCTGCCCATCAACCGCTTTTTGACCTGACATGCCGCATTGATCCCTGACATCAACACAGGCCTCGGTGGTCTGAGGGTACCCGTTGTCCATCATCTCATCTAGGAGCTCATAAGTGATCACAAAGTTGTCCTCGCCATTCACACCAACGCCATTCGCACCATCCATGCAATTGCTGCCATTGCAACCCATGGCCATCCCAAGCTTCGAGTCCTTTATGCTCTCCTCTTCGAGCTCGTTGAAGTAGTCTCTCAGGACCTACACTTGTTACACGCATTTCGCGTAGAAGAAACGATATGTCACGTAACCTGCGAGGCGTTCCGCTGGCCTCCGCCAGCCTGTAGAGGAAGGCCACGATCAGCGTGGCATTCGAGTTTCGTTGGGTAACAGCCTGGCGGAAAACGGGAAGCTCAAGCTGAGCATTTTCACGGCGCACTTCCAGTGGCATTGATTTTTTATTTAAAAAAAAAAATGTGGGTCGTTTTGAGGGCGCGGCTAACAGGTAGAGATTGTTATACCTCAGCACCCAACATGTGTTTGTCGGTGGCCTTGTCTCGTAAGGAAACACCTTGCTCCCACCTCAAAGTGCATCTCCCATCGGTGCGTTGCTTGATGCTAGCCATGAAGGAACATGAACTGTGTTACATGAGGCGGGCATCTCGGGTCTGGCAGAGGGCAAATCCATCAACTATCACGCAGCCTGGCAAATGTTGGCAGTCAAGTTGCTGAATCCAAGCGAAGCTGATGCCGTCCTGGCAAGAAAGGGCGTGTCACAGCTTGCTGAACGCAGCTTGTTGTCAGTCCTTCTATAGAATAAAACCACATCATATGCTAGGCGGATTGGAGGCTTCACTTTGCAAGTACGAATATCCGCCACGCGCTGCTCAAAAAAATCCTTGCAGTCTGCAACTTGATGGCTTGGTGTGAAGCTGGCTTGATAGGTTAACTCCAGGCTATAAACTTTACGGCAATTAGACGCGAGGGTCTGATACGCTTTGGGGCCTAAGGCTTTTAGTAGACCTAGGGATCTCTGGACAACGGAGCTGCTCCTCCGAGCATGGGTGGGTGCGTGCATGCATGGGTGGCTGGGCAGGTGGGTGAAGTCTGTTGAGACCAACCTGAGGTCAAACCTCTCGCTGCTTTCTGATTTGGAGCGTGCCTATTTGGGTTGACTCGCATTAGAATTGGCCAAGTGTCTGCAATCCAAACACCAGGTCCAAGCCATTTGTCAAGCCTGCATCTGCTCAAGTCATTGGCTGTCGGGTCCTCGCAAAACACCGGCTTTATGGCGGCATCCTCCGCATCTATCACGTGCTGCTGGAACCTGGTATGCGATGGAAAACCCAGGAAGGACTGCAAAACGGTCCGGTGCCTTTCAGTGATGTTCATGGGCACTTCGCCCCTGTAGTTCCGACCTTGCGATCAATATGTGCCCGTGCACACAATCGCTTCGCCAAGAAGAACACTGATTATCACTTTGCCCTTCATGTCCATAATGAAGACCTCGGTGCATTGCAAGTGGCGTGCGTTGGGATTGCCATGTCAGAACCTGAGCAGCCCACTGCCGATGCCCCAGCCATGGTCTTGGGGAGGCGGCTGGCGAACACCTGTCAGAGCCCCTGGGCACTCGACTCGGTATTTCAACTGGCACCTGCCTGTTTCGGCCCGCAAACATGCAAACATTTTGTCAGAAGTACAAGAGGTAAAACTCACAGACCCGCCAGCTTGTACTGCGATGAACTAAAAGGGCGCTCCGTTGTTCAGTGTGTCCAGTTGACGCACGCACACGCACAGACACCTGCGCAGACGGACGCACACACGCACACACACACACCCACACACACACACACACGCACACACACACACACACACACACACACACATGTACGCGAGAAAGCGCATGCATTCTCATTGTTGCACCAAGGTGCCGCGGTGTTCCGTCCAGTATGCTACGCCTCCCCTTTCCCTACTTGAGCAGAACATGAGGCGGCATGCATAGCGCATCACAATACAACAACAGCAAGCACACCGCCAGGCTACTGAAATGTCCACTCACACACACTCGAGCTGGACCAAGTCCTCTTTGGGAAGTCCAGTGAAGTGCCGAAAAAGAAAGCGCGAGAACTCCTGTCAGCGATCCAATATCCTTCGCCATCTCTGGATTCAAAATCCATGCAGTCAGGATGCCCTGTAGTCAAGGTAGACTTGATAAACCAGGGATGCTTTTGGGGGGAATCAACCCCTCTAAGTTTACTGTCAGTCTGTCTTGGGGTAGTCAAGCATAGAACCCTGGCTGTCCTTCTTTGAAAGTTCTTTGGTGCCGCCATGCGGTCCATGTTCAGACGCGAACCTCCCGTCACAGGCCACTCTGAGCAAAGCTACGTACTGCTTGGCGCAATGCTTGGAGGACTGTGAGATGCCATGCAAAGAATGCTGCCAAAATGCAAGCTCCCTCAGCGTCCCGCATTTCAAAGGCTGACTTCATGGTGGAGAACTTGTCCAGAATCTTTTGGCGAAACTGGATCAACCTGCGGTGTTCAAGCGAGAGCTGAATCTCAACAAGACGTTGCCTCGCAGTGATCCCTGATAGACATACCCGACCAACACAACTTGGCTTGGTATCCGCTCCTTTCTATACAAGCAACCTACCCCTAACCCCCATCCCCCAGCCGACCCCAAACATGTCCAATACATATTGTAAATCACCCAACACGGAACCTCCCGAAGCCAGATCCACTCAGCGAAACTTTGCTAATGCGCTTAGGGATCACTCTGGTCTTGCTCAAGAGTTGCATTGTGAGCGCTTTGCAAAGGCTTGCCTTGCATGACAAGGTTTTCACTGTTTTCACTAGGGTCTCCATTGGGTGCCCTTCAAAAAGTCTTACTCAAAAGCTGTACTCTGAGCGCTTTTCCCTCCAACCAAAGGGTTGCCTTGCAAATCAAAAGGGTCACTACTAAACGCAGCCTGCAAAAGTTCTGGCCCAAAACCCGGGGACCCTAGCAATAAAACCCTCGGGGGGAACGGTTTTTTAGGGAGAGAGGATGAATTTGATCTGACGCATGCGTTGGCCTTTCCAATACGTATGGTCCGCATGGTCATCATGGCAGGGCTCCTGTATGAATCAATGAATTGGGAAGAATCAATGGGCCCATTGCGATTGCACCCTCGCGTTGAATTTCTTCAATTTCATTCAAAAGGGTTGTGTTCTCATCAAGACAAGTCCGCATTTCAGTTGTGGGTTCGAGCACGGCCCCATTACTCATGCACAGCGCGATGGCAGTGATCAATGTTGGCACACAACAGCAAAGTCATAATGTCCATCTTAGAATTGAGATAACCCGCCACGATCTGCACCTTTTGGGATGTGAATGCAAGTGTTCCACTGCGATCGAGAACCGGCTCGGTGTGCACAGCTTGGTGGCTCTGTTTAGCACCAACATGCCCCCAGCAGTTGTCACCACCCAATCGTTTCCCCAATGCATGCCGCAGTAAAAACAAATGCAGGCTTGGTCGATTTCAACTCTCACACACTGTGTCCAAGGCTGAGGCCGGCGACTTCCCGGCGGCAAAGACTTGTTGGCGTTGACCTTTGGAACATCGCCCGGAGTCATACGGTGCCGCACACTCAGGCGCCAGCAAGAGCAGCACCTCGGTCCTGAAACAGCTCGGGATTGGAACATGGAATTTGAACAGCAGTGCATAGCAGTGCATAGTGGCGTATGTCAGAGCATAGCAGTGCAATATAGTGCAGTATAGTGCAATGTCAGTCTTGGCGCTGGCACGTCTTGGCCCCTGGCAGCTGACGAATGAGCAAAGTTCCTGAGCAGTTGCCAATGGGCGGTGAGCATTGCAAGGGGCTTGAACGCTTGGCACAAGGGCATACCCGTGTCTTACACGGCTCCATGGCTTTACCCGTACGTGCAACAGGCGTGAAGGCAACACATTCGAACTGACAAAGGCTGACCTAGTCAATTGACTACATTGGCAAATCTTGGCAACCATGCTCTGAGGACGAAATCAGGCTTCAGTGCGGCTCTGGCAAGCACGGCGAGATGCCAACGGGTGCCCTGTGCATTGCAAATGCTAAAAACCTTGCAGAACTCTAGGGCCATCACTCTTGCACGGTGGACCCAGGCTGTTTCCGCAGCTTGTGCGACCTTCGCAGAAGCTCCAGTTCCAGCGCAAATATCGGTCTTGCGCACATCCACATGGCGCCTGCCAAGTTTGGCATCATCTTTGTCCCTGGAAGGAGGTCGTCGAGGATAAATCCTGAGTCTCACCCCAGGCATGATCGGCTCTTTTGGATTTCCTCTGCAATTGAAATCATCTGTGGAGCTATTCTGGCCCCGGAGCGATGCAAGGGACAGCCAACTTTCAGGGACAATGCTTTGACCCGGGTCCGAGTAACCATGCAAGATACCCCCAAAAGAAAGGATGGCGAATGCCGGCTGCATTTGAGGTATGCAACGAAGAAGAGCACCGAAAAGGAATTCTTCCAACCGCTCCTTGCCGCCTTTTCCCGGGGTGTAACGAGCAGGGCTGCGTGGTCTTGGAGTGTGTAAGAAGAAGGGCACCGCGCTGATACATGCCCCTCAAAATGAAAACATCTTCAATATTATTGGCACTGGGTGCGCGTCTCATCCAGCAAGCTTGCCGTCATCTCCTGTTTCCCAAGCTGTTGCAAAACCTCTTGGCATTTCTCACGTCCTCGTAGGGCAACGGCACCGTCTTCTCCGCCTCTTGCCTCATGCATGAAAGTCAAAGCTCGAACTGCCGCGTTTGCTATGCGGCCGCCAATACATCACGACCACAAATCGGCCCCTCAGCAACTCTACCAGAATGCACGCTTGCAGCCTGGCAGTGTCTTGGTCCCTTTCCTGTGCGGACAACAGCTCGACATGTCATGGCGAAGCGCTGAAATCTGAGAACATCAGGAAGCTGCAATGCAAACTTTCTCTCCATTCCCAGACCGGCAGCTGTCCTGCATGTCTTGACGGCCCTCAACCTGTGCCGCTCCGGTTTTTTCATTCGACTGGAAAGCCGCCCCGGCGCCTTCATCAGGGGCAGGCTGCCATCACTGCGCACCTCAACCAACATTTCTGGGAAGCGATAGCAAGCGATCAAAGAATCAAGGGGATCTGCCCAGCCTTGTTGAGATTCCCGCTCTGCAAACACACCTCCGACACCAGCATATTGATACAAACAAAAAGGCATGGTAGTACTAACAACCAAACTCTAAAGGTTTTTTTTAAAGTCCAGCGTGACTTCTCGCAGCATAACAAACATCTCGAATAGTTCGAAGCTGGATGTCAAGTGCTCTTACAAAGGGTTGGCACAAGAGCTTCTTTGCCCAGCTTCGTGCCAAGATTCTTATGGCTTGGCAGGGAGCCTGCGCAAGTCAGCCCAAAGACCATGGCCTGCCAAAGCTTCTGGCTGTACATGGGTGACGGAGTTGGAATCCTTGAAAAGCAGCGCCGCTCCTGGGTACCGAAAAGCTCCAAAAAATTGAATCGGCAACCGCCACAACGGCGGTTGGGCCTCATTCACTCAACACAGACTCAACGCCTGGTGATTTTTTTCCCGGGCTCCTCAGCGTTGAAACGGCCGCTGCCCAAAAGCCTCCGCCTGGATGACCGTGCTGAGCCATCGGACCTGATCAAATGTGCGCACGCTCACAGATTCGATCGAGAATTGCCAGGACGGAACATCCATTGACCCATGCGTCCAACCAAACTGAATCCAAGGTGTGGGCAAATATGTCGGAGCTGTGGACGGCGGCCCCTCGATTCACTGCTCCAAATTTGCATCCTCGTGCACTTCGTCAGAATTCAGTGCAGCGAAGCAGCTCGAACATCCGCGCGCTTGGTTGGCAATCCTGGCCTTGGCAACATTTGCAAGCGGCATCTACTGTTAAGCTCCCTTTGGGTAGCCGGCAGCAAGAGCAGGTCATCCGTTGCCATGTGCCCATCACAATGTCCATGGCGTTGACATGGCGACGCGAGGCAGGCAAGAACCACTTGCAGCAAACTGCCTTGAGCAGTTGTTGTGAGTATCCAACAGACTTGTGACAAGCAGAATGGTGAAGCTCCGGCCAGCAGGCCTTTGCGTGCGATCCTTGTGGACAAGTAATTGTTCCCTAGCATGGAAAGTAGCTGATGTTTAACCCACGGCACGAGTTAATTGATTTCACAAGCCCTCTTGAGTCAGGCGTCGAATGCACAAAACAAGCTGCAACTATTCAAGCTACGGTCCAACACGGTCAATACTTCAAGTAGGATACATGACAACATCGGCCGTATGATGGAAGTCAGTAAATGTATGAATTGCACGAAGAACCCAGGACTCGTAGGCCGGGCGGCATGTTCTGGTTAAGAGCCAACCACGTGCCTCCCCGGCTTGACGGAATCGAACTTGACAGCCATCGCTACTACGATTCACACCGATCCATCTCTTTTCTCCGAATGTCAGGCTGGAAATTGTTCTCTCTAACGGAGGCAATGGCCAGCCTGTCACTCGTAATCAGCGCTCATGCCATCTCATGCCTTTGGCATTGACTTCCTTAGCAAATTGCGACTCAATCAGCTCACAAGCCCAGGTCGGTCTGAGCTGACCGCCCTTTGGCAATCATCTTTCGCTTGACATCGTTCGTGATATTCTTTGCCTGCACAAACTGCAGTTGGCCAGATTTGTAGCAAATCATAGCTGGCCCTTGGATGCCATTGGTGAGGCCGCCACACGAGTCGCAAACTTCAGCGTCATGAGGGTCTCCTAGAGCCAGGTGGCAGCCAGTCGCAGCATTTGCCAACGCCTCCAAACTGATCTCTGATGGCGTCCTCGAAATTGGAGCTGGCGGGCGAGCAGTTCACAAACATCAGCGTCTTCGACCTTGGCCAAGCTTCAGGTCCCAGCCCGGAGCCCGGGCATGGCTTCAGGTCCCAGCGTTCCACCCAAGGCATCAGACCTTCAGCGGCACCAGAAATGCAAGGCGAGGCACTACCTGGGTCTGGGGATCAGGCATTACCTGGGTCAGCTTGTGGTTCTTGTACGGCACGTGTGCAGAGCCTGCACGGATGCGTCAACCGTAGGGTCCAAGCACAGACCAGGCAACTTCGTGTCTCGAATTGTGACTTCAGAGGCAAGCGATTTGACCACAGCTGGAGATTTAAGTCTGCGATTTGTGACAGTTTGTGTATGCGAGTGCGAGTGTTTCCAACTCCTTGATGCAATCCACTGCAAACCATGGGCCTTTCACGAGCGCTTCCATAACCTCAGTCCAGCACACACACACACACACACAACACTACGTTGATCCTTGTGGATTGTAGTGCCGAGGTACGTCCCCGAGCGCTGTCAAAGACCTCAAGCCGCGCTTGCAGTCAAGCAGCCCGACTCGTGCAACACGTGTATACTCGCCGTATTCTCACATCATCTCACATCTCTGGGGCAAGGACTTGTTGATCTCGATGGCCTCTTTCTGTGCTTCACCAGAGACCTTCCAAGTCGCAAGACATCATAAAGAATCAAAAAGAAGCATCCGCAAAAACAATTGAACCGAATTGAACCGAGTCTGAGAAGGGTGAGGCATCCAAAAAGCTGATTTAGTGCCAAACAAAATCTAGAGATCAAGAAAACACTTATTAGGCACCATGTTTCTGCAAAGACTCGAAACTGCAGCATCAACAAATCACATAGTAGGCATCAAACACACGTTTGTCGGGCATGGCTTGGCTTTCGTTGTTTAGACTTTTTTGGGGCGAGATTACTGCGGGTTGGTTTGAGGTTGTTTGGCTTTGGGTTTGAGGTGGGTTTTGGGGTGGGTCCCAATGCCCCTCAAGTTTGCTTCTGAAGCCTAACACATTGTTATTTGATGCCGCAGTTTCCACACTTGTTTCTGTGTTTTGCAGCAAACTGGTGCTACGTCTTTTCCTTCCCTTTTCTTTTCCTGCGTCCCTGCTCCTCCCTCCCTCCCTCCCTCCCTCCCTCCCTCCCTCCCTGCCTGCCTGCCTGCCTTCGTTCCTTCGTTCCTTCGTTCCTTCGTTCCTTCGTTCCTTCGTTCCTTCGTTCCTTCGTTCCTTCGTTCCTTCGTTCCTTCGTTCCTTCCTTCCTTCCTTCCTCCTTCCTTCCTTCCTTCCTTCCTTCCTTCCTTCCTTCCTTCCTTCCTTCCTTCCTTCCTTCCTTCCTTCCTTCCTGCCTTTGTTGTTTCTTGACGCCCAATAAGTTACTCATTGAGGCTTAATAAGTGTTTGTTGATGCTCTAGAAGTGTTGTTTGACTCCTATCCCGTCTGAGAAGCCCACATCCGACTTCTTCAAACGCTCTGAGCCGGCTAAGTCGCATAGGAGGATCCTGGCGGGTCCATGCAAGAGTTGCCAATGCTTATATATTTGCAACAGCACGAGTTTATGTCGTTAACTTATTCCTGCAGTAAGCAACAGGTGTCCATCGGGCAAACGTGCCCGCGAATCTTGCCACTCAACTTCTGCCCCGTCTGCTTGTTCACTCCAACAACTCGGATCGTGAGGATCAGGTGGGAGCGCGAACCTGACTGTGGCAAACGCTTCCTGCAATCTTCTTGCAATCTCCCAACATGAACCGTTTCCGGTCCATCCAGAAATCAGCATGATCTGGGTCAATCGCTCTCGCTGTTCATCTTGGTGGCACCTGGGCTGGCAGTGAAGCATCAATATGACAATGACAAGTTCAGACTGTCCGCATTGGTGTTTTCCGTTCGGCAACAAACATCAGCAGTCAAATCATTCAGAAACGTAGGAGTGAATCAAAACCGCGCAGCTTCCAGTCCGGAATGGCACTGGGTACAGTGACCCTGGAGACAAAACCGGAGCAGGAGTCAGAATCGTCGCATCTCTCAGTCTGGGGCATACCGTTCGCATCTGGTTCCCTCGCCTCGGTCCCAGTGAGTTCGGGCTAAGGCCGCGAGGCTAAACAAACAACTCCAAGCTCGAGGCTCCAAGAGGTCGGACAAGGCCTGGACCGTGAAAACGCACAAACAGTATCAGGAAACTTGGGACTTTGCTTGGAGAGGACCCTGCAGGCCAATGTCAAGAGTGCGTCTAACGCAAATTGAGTTGCTGCATTCATGCCTGAGCAGTCTTGCACTCCTCCTCAGACAAGTGCTCTATTTGGACGGCGCCATTCTGCGAGAGGCGGGGTTTGTCTCTCGCTCCAAGATGTGAAGCAACGGAAGCTGCACAGCAAAGCATGCCTTTCCTGATCTGTCCGGACGTTCAGCTTTTGCTCCACGGTCGCTGACTGACAGGTCGAGCGTCGAGCCGCTGTCCAAGGCTCATGCTTAGGTCGTCGCCCCAGGTGTTTGACTCTTCCGCTTCCTGTGGCAGTTTACAAATGCGACTATTTTGCGGCGTGTCCTTGTGTCCCGCGTGCACCGCCGCAATGCACTGCAATGCACTGCAATGCACTGCAACCAGGTAACGGCCCACCCTTTTGTGTCAGTAGGTCCACAAGCCTCAGCCGAACACACCCGGCAAGGGACCCGTATGTCTTGTTCCTCTGAACGAGCCACTCATTGCGATAGAGCTCCATCATGGAGGCCATAATCTGCCGCCCAAACCATGAAAGCAAACTCTGAAGCCCAACGCAAAGCAAAAGGCGCGCCGTAAACTGCACTCGGTCTTCTTCCTGCTTCAGCAAGCGGTACCTGATCAGGAACAAACTCCAGCAGGACAGCAATACCGCCAAAAAGCTGGCTGCACAGTTCGGCGATCGTCCTGGGAGCTGTGCCCTCGCCATCACCCTTCCCACCTTGGTACACTTGGCCATGGGTCAAAATCCAAATCGCACCCCCAGTGAACATCCGATTCAATCCAACCACGAAAATAGGTTCTAAAATGGGTGGTGACACCTACCCCAAAATGGGATCCCATTGGTTTTGACCCACAGCCGCTTGAAGTTGTACCTGAATAGAGTGAACACTGTCTCCTATAAAACCAGCTGGTGCTCTCTGGAATCACGTCTCCTGACTTAGCTCGCTTCCGTACATGGTGTAGGTCCTTGGCTTGCGGATCCTAGCGCGGCTCGCAAGTGCTCGAGCGCAGGGCTTTCCAGCGCCGGTCTGCCCATACGCAAACATCGCAACCTCAGCACAGCCAATTTGCGGTTGCAAAGTCAACACGACGGTGTCCTGAATCCTCTCTTCAGGTGCCAGGGGAAAATAGGGCAAATCTAAGCTCTTTGCATTGTATCCATCGATGGCGGACTGCACCAAGTCCTTGCACGTGTCAAAGACCTCCGCCTGACAAGTCACAGAAGTGACGAGAAGCTACCTACACCGATGCCAGCAAGTCCTTGCCTGTGTCCCTGGCTTGAACACGGCGTCGAAGTTGAACTGATCCGGCTCGTTGGGGAAGCTCCCAACTGAGACAAATGGCACCAACTTCCCAATGTGTGGCGAGCACAAGCTCAAGTTCCAACTCGCTCTGAGACTGTCACCGGCAGGTCTCTGCAGTTCCACTGTCATGGAGTCAACCAGCTGTGAGACCTTGCGATTTGACAGGGTTTCATTGGGAGAGCTGCAATCCATTTGGTTCCAGTGGGGTCTGCACGTCAGTATTCTTCAGGTCCTTCTCTCGCCTCATCTTGCAAGAGCAAGGCGTGCAGAATGCGGGCTCTGGCAAGCGCTGGCAAGCGCTACAAGCATGCCGGCAACGCTGACTTAATGGTCGCATGCGGCAGAAAACCCGGATCGACCCCCTCAGGTCTTCGAGAGTATTGTGCAGCCTCCGCACAAGGAAAAAAAGAGAAGCGATCGCAGCGAAGCACAGTGGCTCATGAAAACGCAGGATGCAACACAAATGGCGCGTAGCTGCGTAGCTTTGCTCTCTGGAAAACGCGAGAGCTGCGGCAGCGGCGGTTTGCGACGCAGCTATGATCCGCCTCCTTCGGAAGGCATCTGCTTGGCGGAGGGCAGCAGAAGGGACATCCACTGCCTGGATGATTGCCCGAAAAAGGGCATTCGAAGGTCGGACGAATTCAGAGTGTGTGAACAAAAAAAATGCTATCCATTGGGAAAGAAAGGCCATGAGAGCCTTGGCGGCAATGAGAGCGTTGCTCAGCTCCTCCTTCGCCATTTCCACTGCCTCCATGCCTGGCTATGGGAAGTGTCAACTGTCCTGTGTGCCCGCAGTCGGGAAAGTTCCGGCCAGCGATCACATGGCAGCTCCGCTTGACTTGTCAACTTCTTGAACTTTTTCAAGCACTTTGGCCACCTGGCGAGTGAGATGTCCCTTGGGGGGTGGCGTTTGACTCGCTTCTCTGGTTGCATGCAAGGCAACTTTGGCAAGCTGACAGACTGTAAAAACCTCACACCTCAGCCAGTCGAAACATGCGCGACCACTGCTCGTGCCAGCAATGACTGCATCAGCTCAAGTGACAAAGGATACAGCCTCTGGGCGCCAGCTCACCCCCCCCAAGGCCAGAAAAAACATACAAAGCATATCAAAGCATATCAAAGCATATTAACGCATATCAACGCACGCAAAGAAATGACATGATGCAATGAGCGGATCACATCCGGAGGCCCCGCCTCGGCCCTGCACATGGCTCTTTGCTGCTCCTGGGCCAACACCTCCTTGGCACGTGCATACCTCGGAACAGCGACAGAAGTGTGCAAAAACGCTCCAAACGTGATGCACAAAATCTGATCAGATCATCATATCATATGATTTAGCATATTAGAATGATATGTTCCTTTGCTGTTTAGCATGAGGCAATGTGATTTTCTACAAATCGATGATTCTGACCGAAATCATTTGATTGCATTTGACCGCCTGGGACCAAGACTCTGTCTCCTCGAGCTGAACCTCCTTGCCCTTTTCTATGGCCTGCTCCAACCTCATGACGCCGACACGCTGGCACACTAACGAGCTTCTATGCATCTGTTTTTGTTTGCACAGGCGGCGACACGTTCAGGTCTTCCAAGGATGGGCCATGGTCTCCGGAACCTTGAACCTGAAAGGAAAGGACAGAGAAAAAGGGGTTGCAAAACGGCGTTGCAGTTGCAAGCGGCAGAAGCGTTGCCCTTGCCTTCTCCAACTGCGTTTTGAGCAGCTCGCGGGCTTCGTGCTTCGGCCCCTTCGAACTCGTAAACGCATTCGGCCCATGCGACCCAGTCACGGTGTCTCAAAGCTCGTTGCACGCGTTGCACGCGTTGCAGACTTGCCTCCACTTTAAGGACCTGCTCTGCATCGCTGATGGCCGTGGCATCCACACCGGCTTCCTTGGCCTGAGCACTTCTTAGTCTCAATGTATTCCAATGATTTCAATCTTTCGCCCACATTTGACACTTGCCATTTGCCGCATTTGCCATATGTTTTCAGTTGAAGTCTTGAATAGGTACCTCGTTCTGCCTGGACCTGCCTGCCTTCATTGGCCGGCCTGCTGGAGAGCAAACTTCAGCAGCGCCACATCCCTCGACTCCTTCGCCTTCTTCAACGCTGCCTGCTCACCAGCATTCTTGAGCGTTGCAAAAAGAAATCAATGCGATGGAGCGAGAGCTCAATTGCCAACTAAACCGCAGCGTTCACCCGGGCGGCGATGCCCGCCTCTGCCGCCTCCTTCGACTCCGCTCCACGAAGCAGCTCCTAGCTCAACTGGAAGCAAGAGTCCGCGAAATCCTCAGGAAGCTGATCCTGCCTCGAAGGGTGCGAGCTCTTGAACCGGGAGATTGGCAGTTGTTGCGATGGCAATGGCATTGCGGAGGGCGCCTGACGGTTGCAGGGTCCGCATGTGCCCAAGTCCGCACTATGCCAATGCCCAAGGTACAATACTAAACTACACGCACCGCGAATTAATCGAGAGCAAGCAGACCCTCCAGCTGCACAAGCTAACTGTCAAAATCACTCGTTTCTTCGATTCGAAGAAGGAAAGCCCGAGAGCCTCGTCAGTTTTTCCCCTGTTTTCCTGGTTCTCCTTTTCCTAAGATGTGAGGCTTCTTTCCTTGAGGCCGGCGCTGGGGTCACTCTCCTCCTCGGCCTCCCGCAGCAGCTGCCGCGCCTGACAAAAAAAAAAAAAACGAGGTCCGGCCTTCAACGGGGGAAACAAAATGAAAAAAGCAAAAATGGCCATGGGTTAAAAGCCCGTACCCCCAGTGAACATCCCAATCCCCACTAAAATAGACTAAAACGGGTGGTGCACCTACCCCAAAATGGGATATCATTGGTTTTGACCCACAGCCATATGAAACCAGAAAAAGCCCTCAAACAAGAAGCAAGAAACTGATCTGAAACCATCCCTCTGAGCAGTTCAGGATCGGCCTGCATGGGAGGCCCACTTTCTCGAAAGGAGTAAGAGAATAAGACATGAAAGGAAAAGACAAGGAGATACATAAACAAGAAAAGGAACAGATCAAAAGTTCAAGAAATAAAACGGCTTGGTGAAAAGAGCTCGGAGAGAAGCTTGGCGAAGCAGAGCTTGCCTCGCCTTGGCCCGGGGCATTTCCTGATCCAGCACCTGAGCACCGCGAACCAAAATGATCCAAAATGAGCCTCTTGCAAGGGGATCACATCTTGACCGCGCTGCAGCTCCTTCTCAGCCACACCTCATTCGGAAAACATCAGCGTGGTCTCAGGTGCAATTTGAGAGGAGGACCTGTTTCCCTTGCCCTCTGCAAGGCCTGTCAGCACTCACCAAGAGATCTTAACTCAATGTGCGGTGTGCGGTGTGCGCCTCTTGCAAGCCTTGGAGGCCCTCTGGGTTGCGGCTGCCGTTCCGCTGAATCCTGGCATCCGAGACATCCGACGCGAGAAATCTATCGGGCCTTTTTCAAAGAGCGCCGGAGCGGCTCGTCGATCTTTTCCAGCAGGTGGTCGAAGGCATCGTCCCGCTCCTGCCCGCTGACGGAACAACGGCAATACGGGCGAGCGAAAGGAGCGTCCTTCAGCTGCTTGAGCCGCTCTGAAGCCCTTGCCATCAAGTCTTGATCCACCTGAAAGTTTCTTCGTTTCAGCGGTCACCCGTCACCGGCTCTGAGCGGATCCGCCTGCGCCTGTTTGGCACTTTCGAGGGCAGCCTGGTGCATCAGCGTGCTCCAGGAGTTCGCAAGCCGTACAGCACAGCTCGCACCTCGAGGTCTCGCACCATGCTGCCGCTATCCTTCGTGAAGAAACGGAAAAGGCAAAGATGGCAAAGATGGACAGAGATGGGAAGGCAACGGATGCAACAAATGCAACGGAAGCGCGGGAAGCGACGGAGACGGGTCCGCGACGGAAGCTTCGCTTTGAGGCCGCAGCGAGGACGGCCGTCAGCCGTGCCTCGGCCGCCTGGCGCCGCTCCTCCTCCTCGGAGAGACCTGGCGCTTCGCGCCGCGCAGCAACGCGAAGCGATGCATTCAGCGGGGCCAGCGCGGCCTGGCTCGGCCAGCTGCACGGCCAACGAAGCTGCCACTTCCTCAGAACTTCGAAGTGGGCTGGAAAGCAACTTGTGCTCAACGAGTGACATGCGCATGATTGTTGGGACCCTTCTGCTGCAGAAAATCACTCTAAACTCCCGGAGCCTCTGTAAGATTTGCTGAAAGAATGATTGGTTGGTTGGTGAAAACACGCACCTTGCATGCCAAGAGCCGGAGCTTAAATTGCCCCAACTTGGGTCCACCTCAACATTGCTTCTAGTGCTGCAGCGGAGAGCCATGGGGTTGCCCGCGCCAGCGACTTTGAAGCACTGCCCGAAACACAAACCCTATAGCGGATACCCTAAACAAGTGAACTTGTCCTTGACCCCAATTCAGTAAACCCCAAAGTCACCCGCCTGCACTCTCCCAAACTGGTCAGAGCCCTCAAGAAACGAAGCCAGTGCAAGGCAGATCACTGAATCACTGAATCACTGAAGGCCTGGTGAAGCAGAAGGGGGCTGGTCGAGGGCTCAACCGATCTCGTAATGCCACACCAGGTTTGCTGAGCCAAAGACGAGGTCAGCTTGTTTGACAGTCTCAGTCCTGGCAGGCCGGAAACCGATTCATGTCTCCATGTAGGCAGGGCCACGAGTCCTGACTCGCTTCTTTCTGTTCCTGACAGCCTCAGCCCAGAACAGACAAGTGCTGGTTGCTGGGATGCAAGCTGGGTTCTGAACGGCCGATTGCGCATCTTCCTACGAGTCTATCTTCTTTCGACTGCAAGCCGTCTTTAGGCAAGTGCCAATGTCAATCAACACCCCACCTCCAAATCGACCGCTCCAGCCTAAGCTTGTGAACAAAATCAAAAACGCCAGCGCAGTTACGAGGCATCTGCTGCAATGAGCTTCTCTACGACCTTCATGTGGTTGAAGTCTTGCGCATAAGTGAGCGCACTGTTCCCCTGGACAAGGGAAACGGCAACATGCCATGTGGCCAGACTTGCGACTGCCTGATAGTCTAAAGCATTTGGATTGGCTTGCTTGTCCAGGAGAACCTGAGCAATGAAACCAGGCCCATGCATAGACAAATCTCTTGAGATGGCTGCTTGTAATCCTTCGGCATCACCGGTTCCAGCAGCAAACATCAACGCCTCGGCGGTGCATCTTTTGCCTGGTGCATGAGAAAGAAAGACACATGCTGGACAAATCCGCCGACCCCTTGTGACCAGCACCGTCCACATGAACGGTGACACTACGTCATGATCATCACCATCGTGATCATTATCTTCATTGTCAGCTTCGTTGGTGCATCCTTGGGGATGCGTGGTCATCTTCATCGTCACTGCTGGTGATGGGGATGCGTAATTACTTGTCATGAGGACAAGCACGTTAGTGTTAGAATGGGATAATACTTTCTATATCTCACAAAGGCCCTTGTAAGCATGGAGGCATCAGCGTTTTCATGGCATCTAGCATTTTAATAGCTATCATCAATCGTCCCTGTGGAGATGCAAGAAATGTTGGGATGCTATGACATGTTTGATTGTTTTGACACATAGGATTTGGATGTCACACTAGGCACTGGGTTACTTGTCATGAGGGCAAGCACGTTGAAACGTTCAATTGGGATGATGCTTTTGTATATAAGATCCGGATGTGACGTTAGGCACTTGTAATGCGGGGGACGCGTACTTATCATGAGGACAGGAACTAAAGACCCGCAGGAAAAGGAGCGTCCATGTCAGGAGGAAAGCCCGGAGGGCTACCTTCAGGCGCCTGCTATGGGGCGAAGGATTGGTGGATGTGTTCAGGTGATTGTTGGCCATCTCTCCCCGCAGAGTCCAAGAACGAGCTCTTTCTTTTGGGGGGGGGGGGGCGCCCATGGTGGAGAACATCCCCAGCATCACCTGCATCATTTACATCTATGGCAAGCGCTGTTGTGGATTATGCAAGGGATGCGGGGGATGTGTCCGCAATGGATCGAAAGTGGATCGAACATGGATGGACGATGGATGGAAAATGGAGAAAAAAAGATGGAATATGGATGGACAGTGCATGGAACATGTAGGCAACATGAATATTCAATGGATGGAACATTGCTGGACAATGATGGAAATGGATGGAACATGTATGGAACATGGATGTAACCTTCATGGAAAATGCATGGACCATGGATGAAAATGGATGGAAAAGGCATGCAAATGAAGGGAAATTCAGGGGAAGGACTGCAAATGAAGGGAACGAAGGGAAGGGCAGCTGGCTGTGTCGCATCAGCGTGTAAATATGCACACTGCCGTCCACCAGGAGCAACCGGCAAACCCGGTCAAAAAAAGGAAACAGGGCAGTCTGTGAATTTGACCAAAGCAACATCTTGCATCTCTCAGCACCCCAAGCAATACGTCAAGCACCCTGCCGTGCATCCATTGTGGTCTCGAGCTTCACTCATGGCGCCAGCCCCAAGCAGCTGCTGCATGATCTCTGCCTCCAAGGACAGAAACGAAAGCGCCAGCAAAAATGGATCCACTCTCAAAGGGTGGTTAAAAAGGGAGCCACCCCCAACCATAATTTCAAGAACCCTCAAAATGCTCACTTTGTTTGACCTAGCAAATATTGCGGATTCCGCGACAGCTTTTCGCCATGCCCTGCCTGACAATGCTTGGCAGCATGGTGCAGTGCAGTCTTTTGAGTGTCGTCCATGGCATTCACATACACCTCGGCAGCTATTGCATAACTTTCAGCTCCAATACATTCCCAATTGCAAACATCAAGGTACCAGCCTCGCCCTTCTTAAGCAAGTATTCCACCTCCAAGACTGACTATGCAAAGCGCCAGTGATAAGCCGCGCATGGGAAACTTGGGTGCCAGACAATGGACAAGTTGCCGAAGGCCGAAGCATACATCAAAGGAGTTCGTCCACGAGCATCACAGCAATCCAGATTGTCACGCCGCCTGAGCTTGCCACCACTCCGGATCCAACGGACACGGCAGGGTCCAACCGGAAGCCCCCAAAGCATTCCAGTTGCGCTCTCCAGGCCCCTCTCCCGCCCCACTAGCCTTGCAGGAGATGCAGGCGACGTGGGTGATGTCGGCGACAGGTCATCACCTCAAGCGACAAATGGCTCTGCCCTTTGCAGTGCCACACAAGGCGTGCTGTGTTTTGGAAAGTGAGAGAAACTCCAAACAGTCTCCTGAGGAGCACGCTATCTTGCATCTGAATTTGAGCCTTGGCAGTTTCCCGATTTGCGGAACAGAGTGGCCTTGATTCTGCGCTTGCAAACGCAAGGGACACGATCCCAAAAGTTATCTGGCCTCCGCAATCTCCTGGAATTTGGAAAAATCGCCGGACCTTGTCACAGTCACCGCATTGCGGGAGCATGCAATTGCATTGCATTGCGTGCGTAGGCGGCGCATGCGCGTCTCCCTGGCCCCACTTGCTACTGACAGCCCTGCCTGGCAGATGCCAGCAGGCCCATTGCCTGGAATCCAAACGATCCCCGTGCAGCAGGCGCCATTCGACCAATATCGCGACCGTCCCTCTGAGTCGCTGCCAGGCTGCGGTATCTCTCTTCTTCTTCAGTGAAAAGGTGTCGGAGTGATCCAAGGGCACAGGGATGGCCTGAGACTCAGAATGACTCAGCAGTCATAAGTGTCAGAAGTGCAGTGCGCTGCAGGCTGTCTTGTTGGCTAAGCTCGGATCTTTTGAGTTCCGCCGCTGGTCTGTGGTAGCCATCCTGCCCGGTACAGGAACTGCACCGTCGCCGGAATTCCAGAAATCCGAAACCATCTTACCGACGCTAGGGAAGGGAGACTGGGATGGCTAGTCCAAGCAAAAAGTACGTTTGGACAACATAACATACCGGCATCGTTGTCTCGTCAGTGATTTGGGGATTGCTGAGGTGTACCAAACGTGCGACTTGCACTTACCCAGGTACATATCACAACATATCACAACATGATTGCAGGAGTGATTCAACGTATAAACATAAAATGCCATATTATTCATTGCAAATGCTGCTATTGAATTTGCTTTCTGTATGGCATCTAAAGGTGCCGCTAGCAACGTTCGAAAAGGTGAATCGTCGCAATTGACGTCTTTCGGGTAAGAAGGCTTGCTTGGCGGCCCTACCACCTCTGACAGTTTGAGGCCCGCTCGCACGCACGCCGCAGCTCAGAGATTTGCAGGGAGTCTTTGGCACGTGCACCACAAAAACCCACGCAACAGCGGTGACAAGATTTGCATACCAGGTATCGCGGTATTGGAATCGCGGTACTTTCACGGACAAAAGGGCACAGGCCCCAGGTTTGGAATTTCGCTGGGGTTCAGGAGTAAGGTGCTAGCAGTGGTTGTGCTTAGTCGTGCAGAAAGTGCAAGTTGCTTGGCACGTGAGTCCAGTTCTCGAAGCCAGCAAAAAACAGACCGGGGATTCAAATTGGTGAATGCTCAAGATTCCACAGCTTGTTTTGGCGTTCCGAGGGTCGTTTGGGAAAGACATAGAGCTTTGCGAGAAGGCGGCGCGGGCGGCTTTACGCCTCAGCTTAAGGAAAACATCGACTTCTGAAAGTCATAAGACTAAGACTGCAAAAATGCAAACACGCAAAGACGCTAAAATGCATGCGAGGCTTCTTGCTTTGCATATTGATTCCATGGATTGATCGCGGCCTCACCAGCATCAAGCCCTTGGAGTCCGACAAGCTGACCTCGATCCGGTTGCGATCCAGCGCGCCAGACGCGCCAGACGCGCCAGGCGCTCAGCGCTGCACCCAGCCCTCCAACTGCTCGGCCCTGGGTGTCAAAGGAGCCCCCGAGATGATTTCTCCGGTGTCCCTGATAAAACTTTTCAAACTGGCTCGGTGTCAATATTTTCTCCGGTGAAATCTTGGCTCATCCGTGGCTCCAGTGCTTGAAGGCTATGCTGCGCACTGGCACGAAATCCTCGCGCGCCTGGCACGCGAGATGTACCCAAACTGTATGAGTAAGCACTTACAATCGCAGCTGCCTCTCTTTTCATTAGCACATTCTCAGGGCGCTTGGCTGCAAATGCTGGCCGACAAGCGCAGCGCGCCTCTGCAAAGTGTTTGTCCTCAGGGAACTTGGAACATGCCTAAATGCAGTGGAACTGTGCAAATAATCGTGGGTGCGCTGCATGGCTCATGCTCATCAACGCATGTTGATATCTCAGCCTGTGCTGAGGCCCTTGCGCGCTGACAATTTCCAGGACTGTTATCCTGCAGAGCCAATGCAATGCTGATCCATATGTCCGGATATGCTTCGGCATCTTGACTGCTGATGCTCCTGGCTCGTGGCTGTAGCTGCCCTATGTACTGACCTTAGTCAGGAAATGTCAGGGACATATCTGGCAAGCGCCAGATATTTGTTCGCCAATTTGAACGCACACCCTGCTGAGGTTGGCACTGCTCAAAGCCTCTCCCGCGCGGACAGGCAGCAGCCGAAGCCTCAAGGGTTCGTAGCAAAACGCAAAGGGAACTGAAATCAATAACTGCTTCAGGGTCCTTCAGGGTCCTTCAGGGTCCTTCAGGGTCCTTCAGGGTCCTTCAGGGTGCTTGGGCGTGTCATAGGGCCCAACGTCTCCAGCTGAGCGCCTTCCTTCACCTGGGGCGCAGCACCAAAGCCGCGCTCAAGGCGGCCAGCTTGCGCCTGATCCAAAGAGCTCAGGCCAGCCTCACGGAGTCCGCGGATTCCGTTCCGAGTGACTGGGCTGCGCGCACCCGTTGCATGGCCTTCTTCGTCTCAGGGCCGACCATGGCTTGGCCAGTGGTGCTGAGAGTGATCCAGCCTCACAGGCGCTGCGAAACCCCGAGCCTTGCGAGTTTTGAGTTTTGGGGGATCGACGTGCGCGCGTTCGCGCACCCCGCCTTTGGGCCCAGTCGCGGGCTCCACCAGCGCGCGGCGCATCTCCCCAGGCTTTGTCTCTGCAGCTCGCAACACCTCACAGGAGACGACAAGGCTGTGGGTCAAAAATAGGTACCCCAATTGTTGGAACCCTAGTAAGTGGAAACATGGACAAAAGCCTGCGGTCCCCTGGTGGCTTAATTGTGACACCAAGACGCCAAGCCTCTGCCTGCGTGCCCGCCGTGCCCGCCTTGACGGGAATCCCTGCAGCGAGATGACCCAGGAGCTTGCTGGAGAGACACTCCTCCTCGCGGATGGGGACCTGAAACTCTGAAAACTTGCCAGCTGCCAAGCTCGCGCTTTGTGCTCGCACTAAGCGCAGTGCCATTCTCAAGGTCACGCAGCTCGCCCCCTGCCACTAGGGACAACATGCTGTGCTTTAGCGTAAGCTATGGCTAAGGGAAGCTTCAAAAGCAGCTTCAACCATTGAATGCCGAAGGGGGCCGATGGGGGGCCGAAGGCCTGCCTCAGCGAACGCCCCATCGCCTGGCGCCAAGCAGTCCTCGAGCAAGCCAGACGCCAGCCCCTTGCCTGCGCTCTCGATGGGCGCCATGGCTTCTCCCAGACCCCTCTCCACCCTCTTGAGCCAACGACACGCGACACGGAACAGTGCAGCAGCCTGTACTGACTTCATCAGAGGCCGTGCCCAGCACGTGGATCCCTACGCCACCAATGCGCCTTTTTCCGCGCTGTGGCCACAACCAGCACGGTGGAATGCCTTGCCGGCAAAAGCATGCCTGTGACAACTGGACGCAGACGTGCGATCCAGCTGAGCACTCGGAAAGCTTCAGAGCTTCACCGTCGAGCATAAACAGCAGCCAAGGTGCAAAGACGTGTTGTGCCACCGTAATTCAAACCAGTAGCCTGCAATACACAAGCACGCTCTGCGAGACAATGTTGCGCCTGCCTGTTCCCAGTGCCCGCTTGATCCCTGAAATCTCCTTGGGAATCGTCATCACCTCATCACCACCGAAGATGCAGCGCACAGCTTTGTAGTTGACATATGGCCATGGGTCAAAATCCTCCACCCCCAGTGAACATCCCAATCCCCACCAAAATAGGAGCCATATCGCTCATCCTAGTCTCCGGCTGCCACAGAGTGCACCAGCCGCTTCCGGAAGAGCAGTCGACCACCCTGCCATCTGTGCGTCATGCGCGCAAAAAACAGCCAAGCGATCAAGTTGAACGGAAAGCGCCTTCAAGATGGAATGCAAAGGCCCACTCATCTGACTCATCCACAGGAGGATACGTCCCTGACCAAGAACTCACACACCGAAAGGCCGAAAGGCGACTGGAGCATCCACGCCTTGCAGGCAAAGGGGTACTCATCTTCCAACGTGCTGCAGACCTCCCGGCTCACAACTGCACCGTCGTTTTCTCACAGTCTCCGTGCTAAGCCAGGTAATATCTCAAGTTCAGCTGTTCAGCTGCGTCAGACTGTCCACCAATCGTGAAGCAAAGCACTTGAAAGGTCAGGGAAAGACACAATGAACCACATGCCTATGGGGAGCATGTCATGGCTCGAGCAGTGACGCCAGATTTGGGCGAGGCTTTGATTATGTCGGCCTCGCAGTCCACGCACTCGGAGCTGACCAGGCATACTGCCCGCGCCTGAGAATCCCGCGCCCCGCGCTATGGCTGACACGCGTAGACGGTGCCTCCATGCTCAGCTGGCCAAGATGGGCAGTCCTGCCGCGTTTCATGCCGCGAACTGACGCTTCCACCAACTATTCTAGAGCATGTTGATTCCGAACTGTCCTTTGCATGAGACGTGCGCTTGATGGGCTCTTTTCGTACGCCCTAACATTCACCTTGGATCAAGCGTGAGGCAGTCTCTCAAATACAGACTGGGAAGCTGTGCTAGTTAAGTAAAAAGAATGCGAGGGGCAGCGAGGCATGAAACCGTGACCATTTACACCCTCATTGCAGACAAAGCAACGTGATGGAAAGCGTGGGCAGCCGAAGCAGCGCATGCCCCGAACCTCGACAGGACGAAGGAGCTGAGAAGCAGCGCATGAGGAGCCCATTCAGCGCATGAGGCAGCGGCATAGCTCCGACGTCAACCACGCAGTCGATATCTCCGTCATGGATCAAGTTCTGCAGACGTATGCAGTCGTTCTCGCGAATCAAATCAAGTTGCAAACGGTATGCCTGCAATTCCTTGCAACCCGTGTCGCCACCTGGAGGGCGAGCGCTTGTTGCAGTGATAGAGTCTGTTGCCATGTTATCAGACCAAACCACCTTTGACGGCACTTCAAGTCACAGTTGCAGCTGAGGTGCTGGCATGTATCCTGTGGCAATGCTCATGTAACAGACTCGGTCAGGCGAGGCAAGCCGAAGCTTTCAGCTGTCCTTGCTGCCGTGGAAGCAGCCAAGTCACCACGCCACAGCGGCGGAGTGCAGAGCATCAGCCCGGCCACCTGATTTGCCAAGCACCCGGGCCCGAGGGCAGCTGCACTTTGGCCCCGCCTGGGCCGCGGTTGGCGACAGCAAGCGCTCCAGGAGTGGTAAGACCTTCAAATGCAAAAAAGCCAAAGCGACTCTTTCACCTTCACGTGCCATACGCCGAAACGTGAATTGCGAAATAGAAAGGTCCGAGCAGGAAAGGTGTGGAAGATCAACCTGTTGACACTCGGCACCTGCGCAGCCCGACTCCAATCTGCGCTGTGCTTGACTCTCTTTGTTCACCAATCTACAACACAAATCAGCACACCTCCCCCAAAAGCTCGGAGATGGTTCTCAGGAGCCCGTCGTCCAGAGCTGACAGCCTGACTCTCTGACTCTCTGACTCGCCCCTTCTCTTTGCGCACCTTTGGCTCCGGCCGGCACGAAGGCATGTCACTCTCGTCGTGCTGCAGCTCTGCCTCTGTCCGGAGCGGCTGTTCAATCCACCGCGCTATGCGAATCGCTTTCGCCCCGCCTTGCGAATCCTACGTTCTACTAGGTTCTACTACCTCTACGTTTTACGCTTCTTTACGCTTCTTTACGTTTCCACGTTCTACGTTTGCTTTCGCGACTTTGTGGCCTCGGCCTTAGGCTCCCCTTAGGCTCCCGGGCAAGGAGCAGCTGCGCCGCAGGCCGCAGTGCGGGAGACACGCCCTGGGCCAGCCGCTGCAGCTCCGATGCCAGACCTTCCATGTGTCACACCGTCGAAGTCAACGTGAATTGAAGTGACATGTGGCTGTGGGTCAAAATTGTGTGCCGAAAATGGAACCCTGGAAAATGGAAATAAGCACTAAACCAGCGGTCCCCTAGTGGTTTAATTCTGCCCCATGCCCATGTATCTTTCAAACGAATTGAAGTGAATAGAGCCTATCTTGCACAAATGAGTGACTGCTGCCGATTTGTTTGCCGAGTTCTGCTTCAAATGTCTCCCGTCGCAAGCCTCGCTCCTCCACCTCGTCCAGAGGCACCTGCATGCAAGTTCCAGGCCCTCTGAGTCAAAGTCCACTGCGCCTCCGTCTCCCGCATTGTGGCGGCAAGAGGTTCTGAACGAGAAGCATATCGCCATAAAAGTCGGAAGAACCTGCAATTGGAGCAAGTGCATCATGGGCCTGCAACATGAGGCAAAAACTTAGCGCCTGCCATCAGCTCCTGCATCATTCCACAATCTCTCGCGCTCCTGCACAGAAACCAAAGACCCTCCGTCACGCACACATTTCTCGACTGGTCCAAGCCGTGCCTCGCTGACAGCAGCAGGAACTTCAAAAAATAAGTAGAAGGCCTTCACAAGCAAGGGCTCGAGACAAGCATATGGCCAGCAGACTTAGGAAGCTACTGCAACATGGCAACCCACCATCCTTGGCAAGCAGGAGCAAATGCCAGCCGCTGCGTGCCAAGTCCGCTAGTGAGAAAGATGTCCTTAGCAAATCAGAATATGTTATTCAAAGTCCCCATGAAAAAGGTTGCTGAAAGAAGTGCTTTGATGTAGGCAGCTCAAACGCATGATCTTCTTAGACTTCCTACTGCAAATGTCGGAACCGTGCGTGCAGCCGTGGTTCAGAGCGAGCTGTAGCATGCCCCAGGACTCCTGCACATAATAAAGCTCTCTGAGGTCCATCTCAGCCTGGCCACAACTGGAAACGGACGACAGCACAAGCACATTCTAAGGGTTTTTGTATTGCGCCCTGGGAATACACCCACTGGGAAATGACCCCATTCAAGCGTAGGGAAAAAATCATGTTGTGTTCGATTTTTTGGGCCATTTCCCAATGGTGTAATCCCAGCGTGCAATACAAAAACCCTTAGACACATGGCCTTTCCACACGGAGAGGCGGGCCTGTCTGTGTTCAGTCCACAAAGCCTCGACTTCCTGGGAGCATCGACAGCTGGTTTTTCAAGTCCGCATCTGTAGGATTATTCGTGGGCACAAAGTATGCATGATGGCACCACCAGCCACACGGCCTGCAACGTTCTTCCTTCCACGATGTCACGCGTGGCATGTCTCTTGCACTTTCGAAACCATTCACAGTGAGAACAACAATAAGGCTGCAAGCCTGCAGAGTTGCCTTTAAAGTCTTACTTGTTCTTGCCCCGACCTATGATACTGTTTACTCTTTGCAGCTCCAATACATTGCGTTGCCCCTGACTTGGACTGAATTGTTCCTGACACAAAGGAAAGAACCCCTCAGGCCAACCATCTGCTCTCACCAGTACGTGCCCAGCCCACATATGTTCACTTTTGCCCTTGTGTGTGTGTGTGTGCGTGTGTGTTCGTGCTTGTCTGATCTCTGTCAATTCGCCTGTTCATCGGCTTGTCATTTCTGCGGACATGCTATGCGACAGCAGCACAGCACCTCCCACCCTATGCCTCTCTGAGCAAAACGACTTCAGCTGAGACTCGTGAAAGAAGAGTCGAGTGGCCAGCACCCCCAGCGGGTCCTGCCAATAGCTCCTTTCTGGGTAGCAAAAGCAACCGGCTAACGGCAAGTATAAGGCAAGGAAAGGCAAAGTCACGTTTTGCGGCTCTGCCCAATTTTTCGCAGATGCAGTCGCTGGATCACAGGAAGGCCAATTTGCTCCTTGGATGTCGGATGTCTCCGACGCCGCGCAACGCGATGCTTTCTCATGGCTGCCAAGCGTCGCAGGTGGCGCCGCCACTGGCAAAGTCTCATGCCACTCCTGGATTTGTCTTGAGATTCAACAGAAGTTGCACAGTCATCAAATCCCGTACCCCAGTGAACATCCCAATCCCCACTAAAATAGACTAAAATGGGTGGTGCACCTACCCCAAAATGGTACCATTGGTTTTGACCCACAGCCACCTGTCAGCAAATACCGCTTCTTGGACCCTGCCGGCTGGTGCTTACGGCTAAACCCAGGGCTCGTCATGTTGACAACTCCCAATCCAATTCGCACGGCACTCCTTGCAATCGCCGCCATGAAGTTTGACGGTGCAAGAGACCTGTCAAAGAACTACCGCTTGCATCCGCTTGCAATGCAGCAATATATCGCAATGTCAAAATGTCCAGCACCGCCACATCTTACGGGTGCCACGGCTTCACACCTTCCAGGAGTCCATCAAAGATGTCTGAACTGAGCCAAATCGTCTGAACTGCCGAGTCTTGTTCTGCGCGAAAACATGTCAGATCGAGGTCAAGATTTAGGCGCCGCCTCGCCAGGGGGATCTGAGCAAGCATCACAATGTTCACCAGGCTTGCAGCCCTCTGGGGGCTGGCCCAACATGTACCTTAGGAGCAGCTTGCCCCAACAGAGGCAAAATGCAAGCTGCTATATTGCCAGTGCTACTTGCGCTTGTCCGAAACATCCAGCGACTCGAGATTCAAAATCGCAATCCGGCTCCCCAAGGACTCCAACTGAATCCAAAGTTGCTTGTACGTGTGCCAACCAGTGCCAGCTGCTGGCGAAAGGTAATACATCACTCCGCAGTCCTGGAGCAGCACCACATGACGATGACTCTCATGCAATCAGTGAGGGCAATGCAACGCTGCAGCAGGATTCGATGAAACGCTGCAACGCTTTTTGAAGATTCTTTGAAACGCGGCAGTCTGCGTTGCGCCTTGCTCCAATGCAAGGTGGGCTCGGTGACGTCGCACACGTAGTCGTAGCCGTTGTGGCCTCATGCCAAACACATGTTCATATTGCAAGGCACAAACAATGAACACATGTGATCTCATGCATCAGTATTGGACCACCGCCCACAGCCGCCCGTGGGACGAACTGCATTTTTTTGGTGTCTTTGTGGTTGACTGATTTTTTGGTGGTGGGGGGGGGGATGATTGCGTCACTTCTTCGATTTCGGTTGGTTTTGGACCCAGCTGTTCGTCAGATCATGACGCATTGGGTGTGGCGGCAGCACAAGTTGCTGATGTCTCGGAGCTTGAAACCGCTGGTGTTGTGGCTGACTTCTCAAGAGCCTGTGCGTTGCCTGCAACCGAAAAATCGACAAAGATTTGGGGCATTAAGGCTTTGGGTGAACAACATATTAAGGACCCGCCCTCTCTGGAATTCCTCGTGCGGGTCCCAGGCAACATGCAATCTCCAGCATAGCAAAAATGCTGCTTGACAGACAGTTGGGGGCTGAAAAACGGAGCTTTGGACAGCAGCGTGCCAATGGGATGTGGGAACGCAAGGAATTCCCCACTGGCTCGGCACATTTCAAATGAGGAACAAACAGTGCTCTCCTTTCCCCCATGTGATTGCGGCTTGGAAAGGCTGCTCCAAAGCTTAATTACGCACGTTGTTACACGGGTAAGTACGGGCGGTGTACCTCAGTAGTTGTGCTCGAGGGGCAGAAGTCGTGGAAGTCTCTGCTGCAGTGAGTGTCACCTCCGTGGTTTTGAACGTGGTGCTGGCCCTGCAGGAGGTCCTGGGCCAAGGCGAAAAGAGCCCGGGAAAACATGGCAGAACACATTCGCCGAATGCCGCATGCCAGGCCTTCCCCACAAGCTTCGAGTAGTTGGGAAGTCCGAAGGCCGCCCAGTCAGCATCTTGCGAAGACAATGTGTCCTCCGTGTCTTGAGTCTTCTCAACCGGAAAGGTCACGTCAGCTTCAGTCACTCTCCTGAAAAGATGTCAGGCTTCGGCTTGCACCGCTCGAAGCTTCTGGCTGGGAACCTGCGCTAGGCTAATGGACCAGAGGGCCAAATCAAATCAAACGGGTCATCAAACTGAGCACTGAATGAGTCAATGCTGATCCCTTGCTTCATTTCAGCGTGCCTGGTTTATACGCCAAGTCTGCATGAAAGCATACACAAGCACGAGACCTCAGTCTCGTAGAGCGCATTGCGGAACATTGCCAAAGGCCAAGGGCACAATGGCGTAGTCTGAGAAGCAAAACGCTGGCCATTGCATAAGGTGATGTTGCTTCACCAGAACAATCAACATCAGCAGCGCTGTTAAACTGTTTGAAGGCATCTGAGCGTGTGGCATTCATCGCAGAGCGCCGCCCTCCGGCTGCGCTCGCAAGCGTCTCTCTTTCTTGTGTTGCGTGTGTGTGTGTGTGTGTTGAATGTCCTTCACTTCTGATTGGGTATCGTGTCAGGTGCGGCTGATGTTATCTTCTTTGCCGAGCGCGGGGGGGTCCATACTGAGCGGACGAAGCAACATGCGGATTGGTCGCACCAGATTCGACAGCTTGGCTCCTTGGAAGCCGCCCAACTGCTGACGTTGCTGAAGCAATAGTGAGACGTGTGGAAGCCTGCCACGTAGACCTGTCAGCTTCGATCTTTCCCGCTCAAGCGACACTGCAACCCGTCCTCCGGAATCAGCCAAAATGCTCGTCTGACCTTATCAGCTGGCAGAGAAAGGGCGTCCTGCAGGGCACATGAGACACGATCATCTAGTTGCACTTCAGCTGTGCCATCGTTGAAGTCTTCACACAAGTTTGACGTCGTTAATGCACGTGCGCTTGTGTGTGCCTAATTTCTGCACAAGTCCACTTGCACTTGCGCAAACGTAAGCATCTCTAAATGCCAGAGGAAAAATAGCTGTGGTCCGCAAATTCCGCCGTTCAACGGTACGGAATGCACGCATCATTGAAACAAGTTAGGCCGGTCGTGCCCCCCAGCTTCTGCACTTCGAGCGGTTGGACATGGGGTTACTTCTCCATGGCAGTACCGATGCATCGGCACGCACGGGGCAAATGTCAGATATGACGTGCATGAAGCGGTGCTGCTGCTGGGAATCAGCTGGGCTGGAATCGCTCAAATGACTGTCCCGCAAGAACTTGATGCTTCATCTTTTCTCACATGACTCTCGTTTGCCATAGTTTTGTGCCGAATACTAAACTCAACAGACGTAATTTTGACGGTACTTCACCTGATGATTCCTGCATGTGCGACTACACCTTTAATTGGCACGGATTGCTACAAAGGGATGTCAAACATTGAAGATGGGACGCTTGGCTTCGGGGCGATTTCCTGGCAAGCCTTTTGATCTGCTTCTTGTGCCAAGTGCTTTCATTGTGAAGGGGCAGCGTACGCCCATTGCATAGCCACGAAAAAAAGAAAATTGTTTTCTGCAGGGCATAAGAAAATTGGATGGTTGACATTGCCACCGACCCGCCATTTCACAGAAACCAACCCTGACACTCCGTAGCAAGCTGTCCAGCGAATGCACATGGCTGGCAAGTGCTCGTCGAAGATTGTCGAAGTCGAGATCATAGCAGCAGCAGTGGGCACAGGACTTCCAGCAGTCACCTTCTCACTATGGGCATCCACCCTACCCGGTACATCTCTCTTTGTCCGAGCCTCTCTCAGTGTTGCAGCAGGACAAGTAGACCTGCCAAGGCCGCAAAAGGCTGAAGGTGTTTGAAAGCTGGACCCTGCTGGATGGACGCTGGACCCTGCACCTGTGCCCACGTTGAATGGCTTTCGCCAAGACTCGCAAGATCAGCGATCAGCATGCCATTGCGCCAGGCCAGCGCGCTATTCTCTCATGGCACCAAATGGTCCCGTTTCTACTCGTTGAAAGGGCATAGGCTTTGTGTCAAGCAACGGCTGACTGAACTGACTGAAATTGAGTAGATCAAGTGCTGGAACTGAAGGGTCGCAACAGGAGACAGCATCACCAAGCGCAGAGAAACTGGGCACGTCGCGTGGATGCAAAGGGCAGGGCCGGCATGCGCTCAAAAACCCTGGTGCACCGTTCTGCTTGCAAGCCACTGTGCACCTGACGTACTGCGGCAGCTTTGGCCGCCCTTTTGCTGAAACTTACTTTCACATTTGCCGAGTGCAAACCAGGAGCGACATGACTTTTCAGCCTTTGAGCAGAGCTTCTCCGGCTGCGCCTACCACTTGCAGGGCTCCAAGCTTCAGCAGCTTCTGGAACAGCTTCATCTCGCCTGTCTTGCGAGCTTCGGCGAGCGCAAATGGCTGGCCCTGTGCGGTCCCTTCCTTGAACAGACCCAGCGCAAAGAGAGCTGCCGGGATCTGCTGCCGTGTGACCGGGACCTCCACCCCGTTGATCACCAGACCGACGTCTCCGATCAGCGCGGCTCGAAGTCGCGGTGCTCGGACGAGCATAGTTTCTTCTGGCAGCTTGGAGGCGAGCGCTGACAGCTTCACTGGGGGACTATCGGGGCCCAGATGGCTCCGGATGGCTGACAGCGACGCAAAGAGATCCGGCTTGTCAAGGAATTGCACGTGATGCGCCGAGTGATAGCGCACCAGCTGCAAGGCAAATCCAAGCGTCTCGCTTTGTAAAAGCTCGGCTGCTTCCAAGAAGGGTACGACACGGCGACCAAATTGAATTTTCCGAGAAGCAAGTGTGGCATCTGCCCGCAAATGTGCCAACATCTTGGCAACCAACTCTCGCTTTTCCTCCTCCAAACTTGCCTCGTACCCCTCGGGCAAGTCTTCATTGCAAAGTGCAGCGGTTAGGAGTCGTGTGGACGTCACATTCGCAGCTCCAGTGCCCGGAACCCTGTGTAGTTCAGGCAGCATGGGAGACAGTCTGCTGAGAGCGCGAAATAGAGCAGACTCCGGGTCATCCACTTGAAAGTCTCCGCTTTCAATGAAGCCTTGAACGGTCAGCTCTGGCCGGGCCGCTTTGTGCATCATGGCGATGATCAAGGCCAGCCAAACATAGTATTGCCGTTCCAGGTTGACGGTCAAGTGCATGGAGAAGTCGGAGTAAGTGGTCGCCTGATGCAGGGTGCCATAGGGCAAATACATGACGTCGCCACCGCGCATGGTGATGGTGTCGCAGGAAGCGTTGAGCTTTTGCAGCGCCTGCTCCGGGTCAAGGTTTGGTGCCCGCCAGCTGGGGGCATCGCAAACGCGCCAGGTCTTGGCGCCGGCCAGTTGCACCATGAAGGCGTCCATGACGTCCGAGTGCAGCCCGTAGCTCCGCGAGTGGGGCGGGGTGAAGTACATGTAAACATCCACGGGCAGATCGCAAGCAGCATAGAGGTCTTTGGCCAGTCGCTTGCCAGGCTCAGACCATCGCTGCAGAGAGTTGATGACCATGGAGTGTCCTTGCAGAAAAGCTTCTTGGATGTACTCCACAGGGTTCGAGCTCAAGGATTTGAAGCTGCGCCCTGTGGGATGTGCTAAGGTCTCGATGACGTCGTCATCTCGGCCACGGAGCTTGACCCACTCCGCCACGTGGTCCAGGCTGATGGGCACCAGTGGGGAGGGATGTGGAAAGTGCGCCCACTGCTGTTCGAACGTGGCAGCAAAAAAGGCATCCCGCCCAAGAGGAGAGATCCAGTCTTCTAGCACGTCTGCACGAACGCTCACAAGCAACCCTAGCCAAAGCATGCAGATTCTGGAGACTCAAACCCCTCCCTTCGACTCCTTCAGTGCTCTTGTAAGCCGTGCCCCTCTATGCAGTAAGGTCACCCGGGCGGCACCAACGAAACAAGCAGCGGTTGTAGGCCGAGCGTTAGGCACCGCAGTTTGCCGGACGCGGCTGCTACAGGTTCACGGAGACAAGCAGCTGCACTGGAGAACATGACCAGGTTTCTGCTTGTGCCACAGCTGGCAGCGATAGGGACTGAGTGCCAAAAACCCAGAAATCCAACAATGGATCAATGCCGGGCGGTTCAGAAATACATCAATCAAACTGTGCTTATCCAAGGCTGTAGAGTCCATTGCAAGGCCTGCCAACCTCGGCATGCCCACGTCATCGGCTGTGTCTCTGTACTTTGCAACTTCCAAAGCACATTCATTCACTAAGCAGGAACCGAAAGTTTGTAAGGAGGCGCTAGACAGAACATACAAGCAAAACTGCCCACTGCTACTGACTTTGGCACGCACAAAGCTGCAGGCGCATTATACATGCTAGGGCTGCTTGCCTGGCAGGCACACAGCCAAGCAAGGCGTGACCTCAAACTTGGACTTGTCTACATGCTGCGTTCCCGGAATGCTGGTCACACCCTGCCAAAGACGGATCAACCGCTTGTTCAACAAGCTGCTGCCGATGTTAACGGGGCATAGCTCCTTGTCAGCTATCGCCAGCACCCTTTCAGGGTCTCACATCATAGCAAACGGGGCGTGTCACGAAGAGTTATCCTGTGCAGAAAGAAACATCGTCAACATGGCCTCTCTAGAGCATGACAATCTCGGAAAGGAATCACCTAATAGCCTATTGCGCACCACAGGTGCATCAAGTCGACCGATCCGCAGCTCTTACACCTTCCAACAGAAAAGCGCTGTGAGCCCCTAAAATTCCCCTCAAAGCCTCTGATTCGGCAGTTCGAACTGCAGGCGATGAAACCCACTCCAAGCGCTGCGGATGGGAAGCTTTTCTGATCTTCGGGTTCAGGTGGCGACCACCACGGAGGCAGATGCTGCAGTGCCTAGGCAACCCATTGGTTTTGACCCACCGCCATATTTTAGATACAGAGGCGGATGCAACGACAAGGCCGAGCATGGTTCAATGACTTCTGTTGGTGTTCTCGTGTCAAATGCTTGGAAGCTGGTCACACCGGCTTGTTGAATCTGCTGCCTGCAAAGCTTTTGGTACAAGAAAGCACTTGATCTGTTTCATGTGGTTGAGCACGTGCCGCGAAACACATGAAAGAATGATGTCCAGACTCAAACACTCCAACTTGGTGCCGAGCTTTCACCCACCGAGTTCACTGCCTTGACGTAGTAAATGACTGTGGCACCTTTGGGGCATATCATCTGGCAAAGTCTGCCCAGAGATCCAGAATGTTTCAGGACTCTGTGTGTGTGTGCTGCGTGTGTTGCACGGCCTGCATTCTGGAGAGTATAGGTGTAGTCCGTCTGAGTGTTCACGACCTGCAAATCGGCCAGTGTCACAGCTACGTTTCAATTCACTCTCGCGCTGTCACAACAGCCCGCCGTCACGCTGTTCGACGCGAAATTGTCATTGCCTCAGGCAGGACTTTGGCTCTGGCCCGCTCAAACTGTCTGACAAGGCTTAAGGCTGGTGCTGACAAGATAGTTCAGAACAACAGAGTTTCCATCGAAAGCATTCGGACTCCATTGGATCACAACCTGCCACTTCACGAGTGACAGGTCCAGAGTCAGACTGCACAGACTCGACTGATGGCCTGTTGAGAAGTCGTGCTGGAAATTGAATCAATGGTCGGCTGCCCAGGAACCTCACAAGGCGCATGTGGCACAAAGAGTACACCAAGGGGTACACGGTGTACGCCACGTGTGCGCTCAAAGGCACCTCTGCGCTGACCAGGCCGATGGGTCCATCCCAGGCAGATCCCAATCCTGCACTGTTCACCTCGGATCGTTTCGATCGCTTCGCGTTCGAAGCGCTCGGAATTTCCAGGGTCCAAACCGCGCGCATCTGGAAGTAGTATGTCTGGCCAGAGGCCACGGCCTGTGCAAAAACAGGGAATGGACTTCTGTGACTGCCATAGACACTTGTTGCCAGGGGAACGACAAATGAAAATTGGTTCATGACCAAGAAAGATGTTCCAATGGAGTGACATCCCAGCGTCCCGGACCAGGCCGCCTTCGAGTAGAATGTGTCCGTGGATGAGCCCAATGTTTGCTGTGTCATTGTGCCTGTGGTGGGACCAGCATACACCTGCCGCGAGAAAAACAAAAAAAGAAGGGCATGCAGCCCAAAACAGCACGCATAGTATGCGTCACATGCCCTCTCAACAGTCCGTGCATCTCTCCAGCCTCATACGTAATGGATCCCACTGCATCACCGCCCGTGTCACCGGCTGTGAGAGCATCCCAGCCTCATCAAATGGATTGGTATGATCTGGTGCGAAGCCAAAAGCATTTCTCTCAGACGCCAGCCGATTTTGATCGTACCAGTCACTGCAGTGTCAGAATGCCTGCACTGAGCCCAGCCAAAGTTTACACAAGAACTTCAGAATGCGTCTTTTCCGCGCACGCACACATTGGGGGTATCATATGCCATGTTAGCTCCTCAACTCAGATACTAAAATGAATGGAACCGGACCCACTGCAAGCTGGTGGACTCGCGACAAAGGCTGGACGCTTCCGGCAAAGTGCTGTCAGGAAAAGTCCTGTTCTACAAGAATGTTTCAACCAGGAGTTCTTCTACCTGCAGATCGATATCGGGATATCTGTCAATCCGGCAAACGATCTGGCAGTTCCAAAGAAAAAAATCCGCCTGCCGAAGTTGGCCGGCGTGTTTGGAGAATCCAGCGTGAAGCCGCGCGGGGCGTCCGTCAATGAAGACCACTCCGACCTCAGAGACTTTGCAGCAAATGCTTTCACCAGGCTTGGGATCAACTCTCTGAGGGCCACACCATGTGCCACTGCCCATCTTGTTTACGCCCCTCGCCCGGAACTTGAACTGGTTCGCCCTTGGAAAAGAAGCTCAATGCGCAGTCAGGTTCAGACCCTTCGTCCAAGATGAACACTGGCGCAACGTCCCTTCAGCCGCTCAGTGCACGGCGCAGTCATACCAAGCCCTGTGAGAACCACCCCGCTGGTCGTCGTGTAAGGCGAGGCTTGAGCACCGCCAGCATCCCAAGTCTGCGGCAGCGATTGCCGGGATAGCAAAGGCCAAGACAGGAATCCCGCGAATCACAGGAGACATGGGTTTGCGCGCTCCAAGCTGGTTGATTTGTTTGGTGTCCGTTCTCATATCCGAACAGGCATAACCTGTGTTAAGACGACAAACGCCCATGCCGTGCCGTGCTGCGACATGCTGCCTGAGTGGTTCCACCCGCAACGTCATACATTTCTCCCTGATAGTTGTAGATGAAGGCCCTGGGCAACGGCAAATTGCGATCAGAGCTTTGGCTCCAAGAGACTCTGAGAGCAAGACCCGTTACTGGAGGGTGCAGTCCACGAGAAAGTCAAAGAAGGCGTGGTAGCGGAGGCAGTGTTCCTCGAGGTCGCAAAAAGGGCAAATGCGAACGAGGTAGCTTTCCTTCTCTTGAGCACCAGGCGTGAGGTCGGTGATTTGAGCAGGCGTCGCCGCTGCATACAAGGTCGCCGCGTCTGACAAAGTGCCTTTGCCACGGTCAAGCGGACTGAAGGGCGAAACATGATTTGATGCTCCTTGATACTCATCGTCTGATCATGCTGACTCATGTTTGCTAGCCAAGCCAGAGCGACTCTCAACTGTTGGAAGACAGCCCAAAATCCGCCTTCTCCAATATCATTGATGGCAAGCATCCGGACAGAGTACCTCAACGTACAAAGCGAGTGCCAACAGCATTCGAGGAAATGTTAAAACTTCAGAAAGGGCGCACAATTAACTTGGATGCTCTTCGGGATTCTTCCGTGTTTTTCGTGGCTGCTAACTTATGGTACAAAAAGTCAAAGTAAATTTGGGCACAGTCGATGCAAGCTTCAAGCAACCGGCTGGGCCTAGGGTTGGTTTAGGGTCGGCTGACGGTCGTTGAAGTGGGCTCAGAGCTCTGGCTTCGGGTGGAGCTAGGATGGGTTTGGTTTTAGGGTGGGCGGTATGCTGGGTTTGGAATGCGCATAGGGTTAGCTTAGTTTAGCGTGTGTGTGTGTGTGTATGTAGGGTTTACTTATGGTTGTTTAGGTTGGCTCAGGATTGAGGTTCGGGTTAGCCGAAGTTTGGCTTCGGGTTGGTTTAATCAGTTCGGGGTTGGTGTTTATTCACACTGGGAGAGCTAGATGTTACAGAATATTTGGGACCCGGAATACATCCCAGGCTACAAAGGGTCCAGTTGCAAACCTCCGTGTCCAACCTCAACTTGTTAACTGCGGTGGCGGAGCAGGTTTTTCGAACACAGTATGTCCCTTGGCGAAGAAGACTTCTCCAGTGAAACATTGGCCGCGGCCTTTGCAAGTCGACAAACCACGGAATGCCGTCACAGGAGTCACTTGTTTTCTCGAGGAGCGCAAAGACTCCCCTAACGCATGGTCGAGTTAGTTCAGATACGAAGATCTGCACGGGACTGGATTACGTTTACAGCGATCGAGAAAGAGAGACTTGGAGTTGCTGAAAGCAGGCCCTTGAATACCGAGAACTTTTTGAGAACGAAAAGCTCGCTAAGCCAGTACACAGCTAACGTTTGTCACAAGCAAACCAATCGTTGGTGGTGGTGGCCCTGGCGTTTTTTCAGGCTTTCTGCCAGTTTACGCTGCAACCAATCCCCATTTACCAAAGTGGTCCACGCTTATTTTGACTGTGCTCATTTGAGCCCATCGGCAACTGTGCACATGATTGCTACCAGAACAACTGCGCTCAAAAACACTCCAGCGGGTTGGAACACGCTGTGCTCCCTTCTGATTTCTTCATCTTCTCCAAAGCCCAAAATGATTCCAACGCACACTGCCTTGCAAAAAAAGCCTGCAAAAGCCAGAAAAGCCATGTTCCGCTTATCCGAACACACAGAGAACAAGAGAGGCGAGAACAAAAAGAAAACTGTATCGCCCCTGCTGAAATGTGCAGAAGGGCACGTCTCGCCCGCGATGAGGCCAGTAAGGGTGCAGGTTTGCGGCGCAGGCTTGGTTTCCATTCCACAGGTCGCATCCTCAGCGACTGCCCATCCTCTGGGCCACTCTCTCTCGCTCTGAGCTCTCTTCAGCAGCAGAGTTGATATTGGTGCCGTCGCCGTCGTTCCTGAAAGCCTTGCCAGAGGAGCAATTCAAGACACATGCTTCGACGGGTGCAGGATCAAAAAATAATTATTTACGGGATCACAAAGAAATTATCGACACCCGGATCAAAAACAAATTATTTACAGGATCAAAAACAAATTATCTGGCCTGGGGGTGCAAAAACGCTGTAATTTACATCATTTTCGGGCAACAGCGCGCGCATTTTACGGCTCCAGCTGGAAAATGGACAATTTCCAATACAAGCGCAGTACGCGAAGGTCACTTTGGCAGCTCCAGTTCGAAAATCACAACTTTTCAGATACAAGCGCAGTTCTATCAACGAATCTAGCATCGGTTAAATGCCTGTAGGGTTGGCTTAAGGTTGTGTAGGGTTAATGTAGGTTGGGTTTCGGATGGGTTTGGGGTGGGTTCAGGCTTGGTTTAGGGACGGTTTAGGGTTTGTTTACGGTGGGTGGATTTAGGTTGGTTTAGGGTAGGTTTAGGTGTTGGTTTGCGGGTTTAGGGTGGGTTTAGGGTTGCTTTAGGGTGGGTTTAGGGTGGGTTTAGGGGTGGCTTAGGGTTGGCCTGGGAATGGTTTAGGGTTGGGTTAAGGGATGGTTTAGGCTAAGTTTACGGTGGTTTAGGGTAAGTGTAGGGTAGGGTTAGGGCAGGTTTAGGGTTGGTTTAGGGTTGGTTTAGGCTGGGAGGGTTTGGGGTTGGCTTAGGTTGGTTTAGGGTTGGTTTAGGTTGGGTTTAGGGTGGTTCTAGGTTGGCCTCGGGTAGGTTTAGGGTGGGTTTAGGGTGGGTGGGTTTAGGGCTGGTTTAGAGTTTAGGGTCGGTTGAAGGTCAGTAGGGTTGGTTTAGGGTGGGTTTAGGGTTGGATGAGGTTTGGTTAGGGTTGCTTTAGGGTTGGTTTGGCTGGGCTAAGGCTTGGTTTAGGGTGGGTTTAGGTTTGGTTTGGGGCTTGAAAGTTGTTTATGGTTTTTGAGGAAAATTTAGGGTAGGTCTCGGGCAGGTTTAGGGCGGGTTTAGGGTTGGCTTAGGTTGGTTTTGGGTCTGTTTAGTGTAGTTTTCGGGTGGGCTTAGGCTGGGTTTAGTGCCGGTTTACGTGGCTTAGGGTTGGTTTAGGGTTGGGTTAAGGGATGGTTTAGGCTAAGTTTACGGTGGTTTAGGGTAAGTGTAGGGTAGGGTTAGGGCAGGTTTAGGGTTGGTTTAGGGTTGGTTTAGGCTGGGTTTAGGGTTGGCTTAAGGTTGTGTAGGGTTGGTTTCAAGGTTGGTTTAGGGTTAATTTTGGTTGGATTTCGGGTAGGTTTGGGGTTGGCTTAGGTTGGTTTAGGGTTGGTTTTGGATTGGTTTAGGGTGGGTTTAGGTTTAGTTTAGGGTCTGTTTAGGGTGGGTTTAGGGTGGGTTTAGGGAGGGTTTTGGGTTTGTTTGCGGTGGGTGGATTTTGGTTGGTTTAGGGTAGGTTTAGGTTGGGTTTAGGGTGGTTTTAGGTTGGCTTCGGGTAGGTGTAGGGTTGGTTTGCAGGTTTAGGGTGAGTTTAGGGTTGCTTTAGGGTTGGGTTAAGGGTTGGTTTAGGCTGGGTTTAGGGTTGGCTTAAGGTTGTGTAGGGTTGGTTTCAAGTTTGGTTTAGGGTTAATTTTGGTTGGGTTTCGGGTGGGTTTGGAGTTTCGGGTGGGTTTGGGGTTGGTTTAGGATTGGTTTAGGGCGGGTTTAGGGTTGGTTTAAAAGTTGCGCAGGGTCGGTTTCAAGGTTGGTTTGTAGGTTGGTTTTGGGTTGGTTTAGGGTGAGTGTAGTTTGGTTTAGGGTTGGTTTCGGGTAGGAGAGCAGGCCAGGAGACCAGCAGACCAGGAGACCAAGAGACCAGGAGACCAGGAGACCAGGAGACCAGGAGACCAAGGACCAGGAGACAAGACACAGGAGACCAAGGACCAGGAGACCAGGAGACCAGGAGACCAGGAGACCAGGCGACCAGGAGACACGGGGACAGGACACCAGAAGACCAGGGACCAGGACCAGCAGGAGACATGGGGACCAGGAGACCAAGGACCAGGAGACCAGGAGACCAGGAGAGCAGGGGACCGGAGACTAGGTCTTAATAATTTGTTTTTGATCCCCTAAATAATTTTTTGTTGATCCCCAAAATAATTATTTTTTGATGCTCATCCCTGCTTCGACCAAGTCGGTCTGATGTCTTAGGCAAGAAGGGACTCGGGCCTTGAAGCCCACCGCAGTGCCGCCTTGCATGTTCGGCACGGTCCAGGCCTTGGTAGGGCGTAGGGCCAGTTGTGCATCCGCTCGCAAGAAGTTCAGGCACCGCGCCAGCACAATGGTTGTGCTGCTACCTGCCGATGCTTCCTGGTTCGAGCGCACGCTCTCTACTCCCTCTCCCTCTCTCTCTCGGTGAACTCACTCCAGAACCACATTTGCTGGCTGTCCTGTGTAGGCGTAGCCATCTGAGCAGGCTCTCCAGCTGCCTGACCAGGACTGAGAGGCACCCAAATCGCTAACCGTTTAGCCAGCTTCGGCAATAGAAACTCACCTCGAAGCCTGGACATGAACCCCTCCGGCCTTGATGCTTGACCAATCGCTTTCAGTCCAGCCACGGCCATTGTAGGCTCGGAGCTTGAAGCCATAGATGGTCCCAGACACCAAGCCTAAGGGCAAGGAACCGACCAACTGAGGTTGCGAGGTGATGCAACTCAGGTTGCGACCAGTTCTCTGAAACTCCAGAACGTTGGCAACAAGGCCTCAGATTTGCATGCATCAATTTGCATCAATTTGCTTCTTGGATTCGATGTGACCATATGTGACCACATGCGATCCCAACTAGGGAGTCCCGCTGCTGTCAAGCGGATCCGTCGCATCGCCAGCTCCTGCCAATGATCCAAGCACATGACATGATGACTCATGACATCTTGCGGTACCCTGCCTGGATAGATCTCCCCTTCCGTCACACCGTCCCCATTCGTGTCGATGTACAAGCGGTACCTTGTCGACAACACAGAAAGGTCAAGGCTGTGAGGCGATCCAATGGCCATGGGTCAAAATCCTCTACCCGGTGAACATCCCAATCCCCACCAAAATAGACTGAAATGGGTGGTGCACCTACCCCAAAATGGTACCATTGGTTTTGACAGCCTGGAGTGGCGTCTTTCGCGTAGGGTCACCCGGTCATCGGGCAGCCGTTGTCGGCCGGTGCAGCCCACTGCACAGTAATGGTGCTCGATGTGGAAGCCTTGCGAGCCTCGGTTCAAATGGCAACCATGGGAGGCTTCAGCCCGAGGATAGGAAACACATCGTCCATCTAGAGCGCATTGATGTTGGCAGAGTTGTGGCGGTTCAACTTGTTGTTCCGCAATCTGTTTTGGCTGGTCTGAATTTCGGCCATGTACTTAACTGAACTAAAATGGGTGTGGCTCAAAATTAACGAGCCAGGGTTGCGCAGGTTTTAGTCTTTGGTCCCACTTCACCAAGGTCTCATTTTGGTACATGTTGTTGTTTTTCGCCACGGCATGCCACAGCCAAATCGCTTTTTTTTGCCAAGCCAAGCCCATGCCGAGCTCCGCGCCGGCGCCGCGGGCTTAGAGGGCGCGCCGCAGGCGCGCACCGACATCACGGCGCTACGGTCCGACTCCGCGGCCGTGCTGACCACCGTGACCTTCGGAGCGCATGGCGCGTGGCGCGCGTGGCGCGCGTGGCGCGCGTGGCGCGCGTGGCGCGCGTGGCGCGCGTGGCGCGAGGGTGCCCTGAGTTACGCCCCCTGGTCAGGAAACCACGACTTTGGGGGGGGGGAGGTAGGGAGGGAGGGAGGGAGGGAGGGAGGGAGGGAGGGAGGGAGGGAGGGAGGGGAGGGAGGGAGGAGGGAGGGAGGGAGGGAGGGAGGGAGGGAGGGAGGGAGGGAGGGAGGGAGGGAGGGAGGAGGGAGGAGGGAGGGAGGGAGGGAGGGAGGAGAGGAGGGAGGGAGGGAGGGAGGGAGGGAGGGAGGAGGAGGGAGGGAGGGAGGGAGGAGGGAGGGAGGGAGGGAGGGAGGGAGGGAGGGAGGGAGGGAGGGAGGGAGGAGGGAGGGAGGGAGGGAGGGAGGGAGGGAGGGAGGGAGGGAGGGGAGGGAGGGAGGGAGGGAGGGAGGGAGGGAGGGGAGGAGGGCAGCCCTATTTTGAGTTACCCAGGGGGAAGCTAATTGAGAAGCCATGGAGAAGCGAAGGATGGGTTTCCATGGGAGAGGTCACAGGTTGCCAGGCAAGCCGAGATCGGTCCGCCAAGTCAGCTTCCGCATTGGCTACCCAAAAAGGAAGAGAGCCCGAAAGCCCAAAAAGCCCTGTCTTTGCATTCAGGGTGGGCAGCGAACCAATGTCTGACATGCCCTGAACCGATGTGAGGCATTTGCAAATCAGAAGTGGTTCCAACATGTTGCTGCTAAGCGCAGCCTTGGAGGTATGCTTCCGATTTGTTTCTCTTAGTTCCATGTATGCCAGATGCCGGCCTCCACCAAGTAGGTTCGGTCAGTGACAAGGCCTGTGGCAGTGTAGTACCGATAAGACCTGGCAAGAAAAGTGCAACGATTCCAACTTGGCAACGGTTTGCTGACGATGAGCAACGCAGAAATTGCACAGAATACCGGCCGAAACCGACCGAAACCGACCGAAACCGACCAAAACCACGCTGGGGGCCCGAGCGTGTCTGTCACCTTGCCCCTGTAGGTCAAAGCTCCACCAAGGCCATCATTCATGTAGACCTTCGGCAGTGCTGACTCACTAACGCCGGAGTGGCAGTCAACCAAGAAATCGCAAAACGACCGCTTTGATGTTTGAGCCTTGAAAGATACAAGTTCTGCGCCGTTCAGATTGCCTGCGCACATGCCAGTCGGCCGATACTCCCCGAATGCTTGCAAATGGAAAGCGCCTTCTGCGAAGCTGATGGTCACCTGATCGGGTCGCTGGTATTTATGGAGAACTGGGTGGCTCAAACATCCATTGAAGCTGCAGACTCGCATGCGTGTGCAGCCGAGCCGTTTGCGGAGTTTGGAGTTCCCACGAAGGAGTCCGTCCTCAGAGTGACAGGATCACACAACCGACGGCAGCACATATTGTTCCTCCCCGTTTCACCCCTGATCAACAGCAAGACGCAACTCTTCAATTCCCTTGGAGCTGTGCCATTCTTGCGCTCAAATTGGACCCTTTGCGCCCTCGGGGACCCCACACAGTCGGAGCATCGGGTTTGGTGGCGCAGAACATGCGCGAAATCGGCGAGTACCTGAACAGCTCCAAGTGTATGGGGAGTTATAGGTTTTGCACCACAAGAAGCTAGGTTTTTTTGCTAGCTCTTAAATGATTTGCTTGGTCTCCCTTGATAATATCAGGCTCGCAAGCCTTCTGCGATTGCGGTCTGGAAGCAATGTATCCTAACTGGATAGTAAAATATGATAACTGGAGTGAGAATGAGATGGAAATCAGCATCACTTGCAAGAGTAAAATGCTGGTGCTACGCGAGCGTGCAAGTATCACGGTATCTACAGCCGTGATGTGACCTCTCGAAAAGTTGGTGGCTTTTTGGAAGCGGCTGTCAGAGGCGCACTGACCGACGCCGGCGCCGGTCACGGCCGCGACCTGAGATCGTACGCAATGAGCGCACGGGCCATTTCGCCGATGCCCCGGGGGCCGAGGAAGCGGCCCGGAAGTAGATGAAGTTCAGCGACCTATCCTGACCTCGGACGAGCTCGCTCGAAGGACATTGCTTGCGCGAATCTTGGCACGCGGCCATTGATGTTGGTGCAGTCTACCGTCACCTGCTGAGTGCCTCAAACGTTAAAGCTTCGAGTTGGCACAGCCATGCAAAGTTCGGCAAGCATCGAGAGGCGGACCGACAGCCGTTTGAACTGAGGGGAGATTGACATCAGGCCAGTTGGAATCGGCGTAGCCAATGGCATAGTACATGTTCCTGCAGGGCAAAAAAGCAAAACATAGTTGCCGTTGCGGTGCGTCTGCTTAAGCCCCTGGCCATCCAGTGATGGGAACGCCACCATCTGAGCCTAGAGCGCAATGATTTCCCAAACCAATGGTGAAGCAGCAAGTCATGGGGCCATGCCTGGGAATGTCCAGCCCACCTTGGCTTCAGCTCGTGCCCATGAGCCCTCAATCCCGCTCAGGTGCTAGCCGTAAGCTGGTTGTTGTTGGCCGAGGACACGTAGTATGGCGAACTGGGAGGATCCGCATCAGCACCTTGAAAGCTCTGAAAGCACTCGCATGGCTTCAAACATGCATGCAAGCACGGCAGGCCCAGTGCGTCAGCCCTCCAAGCAGACCCAAAAGTGAGGGGCAAGACACGAAAAGTTATTTTTCGCGAAGGGTGACACAAGCGCGGCTTGGACAGCTCTAGTCCACACTCATGGGAGCCGGCGCAGCCTGGCACAGAGAACTGCCGCAGCTAGAGCTGCTCAAAGCCTTTTTGCGCCTTAGCCTTGGGTGAAGACTTTGGCCTCAGCCAAGAATTGAACACTTCGAGCGGACGTTGGAGTCAGCATGGTTCTTTAAGTGTCTGCATATTTCTGTATAGCTATGAAGCGCGCGACTTTGACTTTGGTGTCTTTGGAGCCTTCAGAACTTCCAGTCTTGCCGTCTCGGTGTCTCGCGACTCTCGGGCCGCCTTGGCTTTCTCCTTGCCCATTCGGCGGCGGTGCTCCGCCTGTTCGATTCGCTCTGAAATCAGGAAAACCAATCCTCGACATCGAGTGTTTTCACTCAGATAGCGGAAAGCTGTTGGGTTCTAACTTCTAATACAGAGAAGTGATTTGCGAGATTGACGGCGGGGTGCTAGGGGGCATGCAGTTTGGGGTGCTGGTGCAGTTGTTCGCTGTCTGGGGTCTATGCTGTGCAATTTGCTTTTGAAAAGTTGAGTGGCCGGCCTCTTTTTCAGTTCGCTTCGTGCTCCTCAGGATCAATTCTCCAAGACGCCTAGCCTGGCTGCAAATCCCGTCCTGCTCTTCTTCTTTTGTGTCAGCCTCAAACCAACTCATTCAAATCCGAAAATCCGAAAATCCGAAACTGTTCTGAGTCCTTTTCAAGTCCTTTGAGTGCTTCGAGCCATGAGGTCCCCGCCTCTTACCCACATTTCCCAGGTTTCCCTTCGGCTTGCCTATGCTCACAGAGGCTCACGCATGCTCACGCATGCTCACGCATGCTCACGCATGCTCACGCATGCTCACCCTCAGGCCCTGGCTTCTCTTTGCCATGCTCAAAGCTGCTGAGATGCTGCTGGATTCTGCTTGTCCACTTGGCACATGAGCAACAGAAATACAAAACCTACTCTTGGTGTCCACGCATGATCTGCCAGAAGCTTGAGCCAAACATGCGGGACCATGCACCGCCAGCAAAAGTCCACTGCAAATTGAAATCATCCCGCACATGCTGCTCTGGCGGCGGCGCCCACAGTCACGGAGAGGACCGGCGACTCATCGCTCTGCCCGACTTCAGACACCACCTGGCGAGTTGCAAGTCAAGTTGCTCGAGGTATCTTGAGTCACATTGAGGTGCTTTGGCGCTTCCCTGCCTTCAGCTTGAAGCGATAGTCCAAGCCAGCTGTCAGACCAGCTGCTGTGTATTGTGTCTGCGAGGTGGAGGTCACGTACACCTCGTGAGGCCGGTCAGCAACTGACCGCTATGCACAAATTCATGGACCTCCGTGAAGGCCCCATTGAGACCATCGTCGTACATGATGAGGTACCTGACATCCAAAGCTCAGTCCCTTTGCATCGCGCATCGGAGCAGACTTGAGGCTGGTATGCCAATCTCAGAGCCACACCCCATCAGCACGGCGTTGTTCAGGGTCGTGGGGAGATACCTTGGGTATGCTTCAGTATTGACCCACGCACCGAATCGTTCAATTCATTGCGACAAAGGCTGAGATGGCCACGAGATAGTGACCGAGCTTGACGTGCCTGACACCTGAACCGAGGTTGTAAAACATTCGGCCGAATGGACTTCAAAGAAATCGCAAACGACAACCCATCGGACCCATCGGCTGTCCCGCGGCCTTTGCGGGCACCGCCGGAGCTCCTGGCTTCTCCGAGCAGCGCCATCGGTAGGAGTTGGAGGGCACGCCGGTGCCCGCGGCGTTGACACCCGACACCTGACCCGCCAAAGTCGAAGCGAACGAACTGCACTTTCTCTCGTATCAATTTAGTCTTCTCTCGGCTCAAGGACCCCATGCCAAGGGCTCTAAGAACACATACCATGCAAGCGCAAAAGTGGGCGCGAACACAAACCCACACAATGCCAAAAGAAAAACATGTTCCCAACGTAAAAGAACATCAGTGTTTAGCATAAATCCAAATGTTTGCCTTCCAAAAGCGCCAACAAGGCCCCAAATACATTCTTCCAACCTCATCAAGACCTTGGCAAATGCTCTGGAGCTCCAGACCCTCAAGTACACGTACTGCAGCGAGACCTGGGCTTGAGGTGAGGCCTGTCTGAAGCAGTCAAAGTGAAATGAACTCGAAAAGATACGAGTCTGACAGCTGAGGCCCGAAACAGTTCCGCCGCCCCACTTGGTGTTGTCTGTGCCTCATTTGAAAGAGATGAGCGTGTGAGCGTGCGCGCGCACGGTTGTGCGCCTGTCGCGCCCGTGCGCGCTGCCCACACGCAAGTAGGTGCATGTACGCGCACAGGTGCATGTGCACGCACGCACGTGCCCGCGAATGCGAGTTGGAAAGGAGGGAGAGGGGGGGAGAGAGCTACGCCTTCAGGGGAGAGAGCTTCGGCCAAAATGGCCTTGGGCTTCTGTTCACAGGTTGTGCCCCTGCGGCAGCGCCTGCAGCCACCTCCGCGCCGGCACCCGCATCTGAGAATCTGCGTCTGTGTCAGTCTCTGTGTCTATCTGACTCGTTGGCTGCCGAGTGTATTCGCGTGCTTGCGCTTGTTTTTGTGTGTGTGCGCGCGTGTTTCTGTGTGTGTGTGTGTGTGTGTCATCTGTCGCTGCACTTGAACAGGACTTGCAGCATGTCGCTTTGAAGCTGAACAACTTTGGCAGCGCCTCTCTCTATTCCGCTCATGAGATAGTTTCAAGCCAGTCAGGTCGCCAAACAATGATTCACTGAACATGTTGACAAATGCAGTTGAGTCACAGTCGATAGCCTGTGTGTAGGTCGATCCACTTGACACACTGTACCTGCACAACAGAAGCTTCACTGGCTTGCAAAGCAGCACGAGTCCATAGTACTGAGGGTATATCCATGCCGAATTCTCACGCGCAGCAGGGTGAACTGTGCGAACGAGGGCACTGCGGACTGCTAGCATCACTCCAGGTGATGCCATCCTGCGCAAAGTTGCTAAAGCCCAACCACTGCGTCCACACTCTCTCCCAGCACACGGATCCAATTGCACAATCTGGTTGGTAGCATGAACTGTAAAGGAAACAGCACGGCTGTGCACCTGCGACCCATAGACCAGCCAGCCAGTGACTGGTGATCCGCCATCTGATCCTGACAACATTGAGCAATTCGCCAACTACCAGGGTGTGCTGAGGGCCGCAAAAACGACAAGCTGGAGCAGCTGGATTGCTAGTTCCAGACTTGAACTCCACCACTCCACCACTGCCCAGCCTGGTGTCCAAGCCAGGTCGATCTGCGTATTGGTGGAGCTGGACACAGAAACCACGGGCGGGTCAGGTGTGGCCTCAAAGCACAGCAACTCGCGCCTTGCTTGGGTGTGAAAGTGCAGAACTTGCGTATACGCAGTACAGTCGGTCAACTGAGAGAGCAGCTGCAGACACATACGTCGCAATCGGGGATGACGCGCTCGTGCCCACTTCAGAGACCACCTGCTTGGACAGCATGCGCTCTAGTCAAAACACAAGCAAACTTCCCAGTGGCAACTGGTGTGGCTGACGCAAGTGACGGACGTGTTTCCCTCCCACCTGGACTTTGAAGCGATAGGACAGGCCAGCAGAGAGACCATACCTGCACTCACAGCTGGCTGGCTGCTTCATGATGCAACTCTGGTGTTACATCTCAACTTCTCAGTAAAAGCCCTGCCGGAAATTGGCATGAATCTGTGTATTCCCCGTTTCTCTTCAGGGTGTGTTAACTTTTCCCACTAAAAGTAACAAAAGAAAGTCAAAGGATAATTGTGTGACCCATAACAAGTCAAGATTCCCATCGTTTCAGATGCACCTTGAGACGGCCACGATCCAAAAAGTGGCAAAGGGCACTTGGTGAAGGTTCGCTGAGTCGTATCCGTGATGGTGTCAATCGACCAAGGGCCATTGTTGCCGTCGTCGGTGTACACCTCCACTCTGATGCAAGCTTTAAGGCTTCAAAGTTCTGATGGCTTCTCTAGACTGGTTGATTTGTGCCTTGAAGCCGGTAAGGTATGCCCCATTCAGGCCTTAGGTGCTTCTCTCACAGTGCATTACCCGTTCAGCACGATGCGACTGAGGTGTTGGCCGTTCGTGTCGAAGCTGATGGTGATGGTGGTGGCGGTGGAAGCGGTCTGTGGCAGTCAGGATTGAAAGATATCTGTCATCCTGCCTGAAAAACCATCTCCTCCGCGATGCAAAAAAAATAGCTTAGCATACTTGTTTGGGGACACCCTTGACAAACACTCAAACTCAAATCGAATGAAAAAAGGCCGGTAGCCCACTCTCCCATCTGCAAACCTGGGGCCACAGCTCTGCCGGGAGCCAAGGGCGTGCCAGGAGCCTCGGACACATTGGGTGCACAGGCCGCTTCACACGTAGCTTCCTACAAAGGCCCGCATCCCTCCTGTATCATTTACAATCCTGTGGGTCAGAAATAGGTACCCCAAATGGAACCCTGGTAAGTGAAGGCGTGAACTAAAACCCGCGGTTTTTCTTGACCCATACCCATCTCGATGTGACTCTGTGACGTGAACTTCGCTTCTTTGGAGCCAAGGAGCCGCTGAACACCGACTCTTCACCGCCGACGACATGGCACCCTCACCAGCGCTGCTCACAGCTGCCATTTTCACCCAGAAGTACCTCGGGCGGCAAGCGACTCACAGCTTCAGTCACAGACGGGTGAGACGAGTGAGACGGGTGAGACGAGGCACTGAAAGGCGCGGTTGACACCTCCGAAGTTGGTGCAGTCCAGCGAGTACGAGGTGAAGGCTGCGGCCAAGGTGTCCTGGGCAAAGGGCAAGGCATGAAAGGCAAAGTATCTTACCTGGGGCACAGGCGGTTGCCGATGATGGATATGTAATCCCGTCATCGGAGGCGTACACATTCCAGCTTGTGATTGGCGTGCCACCTGGACGTGCGAATCGCCAGGAAGGCTGCGATGCACCAAGCCGGCCTGTCGAGCCCAGTAGCTGCGCGCTGTAAACAAGTGCGCTGTCGGAGGTGGACACCTGGAAAGCTCCAAAGAAGCTCCAACCAAGCGGAAGTTGCGAAGGGCCACAACACATCTGCAGCTTCAGTTGTGTGTTTAGTCTTGTCCATTCCGCCCGCACTGTGGCTCGAGATGGATGGAAGCAACTGATGCGCCCTCAGCTTCTACATGTGAGTTTTCAAGACGTCAAGCATGTTCATTTCATCCGCTTTCCAATGGTGTCATTCATCTGCCCATCGCTTGCTACTACCGTGGTCTTTCCCTTCTCCCTTGAACAACACAGGGCTACCGCATCATCATCTCAACCAAGGGCATTCATACGTCACAGTTCATTACTTACGCAACAAAATCACTGATACTGTCTGCACTCACTCAAATCACGTCGAGCTGGAAACTTTTCCTGGCCAAAACGCCATTCATCCTTATGACCACGTCCCCTGTGTATGCTGAGAACCCACAAGCTTGCATTTCATCGAGCGACTTTCAAGACTGACACAAACAGAGACAGACAGACTGGCGTAGACTGACACAGACAAATACAGACTAACAGAGACAAACAGAAGACCCGGACGGTTGTAGACTGACACGGCCAAACACAGACTAACAGAGACGAACAGAATAAGACAGAGACAGACAGACACAGACACGGACTGGTGTAGACTGACACAGACAAACACAGATCGACAGAGACAAACAGAGACAGACAAACACAGACACAGACTGGTGTAGACTAGCAGAGTAAAACACAGATTGAAGGAACAGACAGACCAAGACAGAGGCGGACAGCCCGACAGAAACAGACAGAAACAGAAAGGGAGAGGCGCAGAGAGGCACAGAGAGAGGCGGAGAGACAGAGAGACAGACAGACAGAGAGACAGAGAGGGAGGGAGCGAGACGACAGTGTTTTGCCACTCAACATGATAAATTCCCGCGAAAAAGACCGCGGTTGCAAAAGAGAGACAGACAGAGAGAGAGAGAGCGAGTGAGAAGGGAACATGAAGGCAAACTTCAACATTATGTATCAGCGCCGAAGACGTGTCAAAAAGATTGAATGAATATTTCTGAGTGGGAAAGATACTTGTCACAGTTGTCAACCTCATACAGCAGGCTAAGAGATGACAGCTCTGAGGGCAGCGCGATGGAAACCACCGGAGCATCAGGGGCCGAGGCAGCCACAGCTGACCTTGTTGAAGTTGTTTTGAACTGAATGTCGAGATTTGTTCGACTGAATTTCTTCAGACATTTCAGAAACTTCAAAAGCAACACGTTGGATGCATCATGAATTGACGAATTCTCTGAGTTCTGCACAAGATCGAGGAAGTGGCGCTCTCGCCGGTTTCCGACACGGTCTGCACACGAAACCTGGCAATTCAACAAAAGCCCTTCCAAGGGATCCCCATGCACCCCATGCAGTCAATGGAGTCTTAATCACGCCTGTAGGTTTGCCCTGCCGAGACGCCCGTCTTGGTGTACTGAACCTATCCAGATCTGGGTCAAGCCAGCGTGCCAACACACTGAGTACGTGTCAACACATCTGGCCTGAAGAGTATCCGTCAGCAGCACGCTGGTGAAGGGTCCACCTGCTCCATCGTCGAATTGCACCTGCCCCCATCGCTTGATCCCTGAATCTAGCTGTGTAACGGCAACGGCAGCCTGCTTGACATGCGCAACGCCCGACACTTCTGCTTGCCTTTCAGACTATTTGCCTCCACTGGACCCCACCTTGGTGCCCTGATGCAAGGCATTGTGCAGCTCGCTTGTGGTGGGGTTTGTCCTCAGGCCATCGAGTCGGTCGAGTCGGAGGGCCTCACGAGCTCGCGAGCCCCTGGCCATCCCACGGTGACGTGAGAGGAGCTGGAGCTGACAATGGTGGGCTGCGCCGGGGTGTCTGGTGCTGCAGAGCATCGCGAGGCCAGCGTTGCCTCAGCTCCCAAAGCTCCCAACCGTTCTCCCCGTCGCATTGATCTCTCTGTCAAGTCCCAACTGGTCAGGACTGCCGGGCACAAAATCCCGCACAAAGTGCAGAAATTCAGAGGACAAAACTGCTGGGCGTTCAGCTGAAAGTGTGCCAGTGCCAGCCAAACTGTAGCCAGCGACTTTCACCTGAGGCAGTTTGGCCCGGAATTGTGCGATGTCTGTGTGCAGCTTGGGCTGTTGCCCACAACATACTCTGGCTCGCAGAGTATGCAGTGCAGTCAACCATGTACCTGGGCAAACATCCAGCTGCAGTGATGGCAACATAATTGCTAAGCACGTGCTGCGGCTCACTGCATGATGTTCACATTGGCGACAGTGTGTGATGGTGCAGTTTCCGCAGGCCAGGTTTCCCCATCTGTGGACACATACACATACCAGCCTGGCAGGCAAGCCAAGTATTCCAGCCGACTGAGCCCACGCAAACATCACAAAATTCAACTAGCCACTCTGGGCACAATGGGTTGTAAGCAGGCATCGGCATCAGCGCAACCCTGCTTGAGGCCTGCCTTGAATGATGGCCCCTCCATTTGATCCCGAAAACCTTGGCAAAGCACTCATTCCAACGAGGTCACCAAAAAAAAGCAAACTGGCAAAAGCCAGCCGGCGCATCTGAAAGCCAACTCTTTGCTTGATGCCCTCCGCGAAAATCCCGCAACTGAAATGCCAAACTGTGTTGTGGCAGTAACAGCATCTGCTCGTAGGCATGCTGCTAGAAAATTCATTGGTAAATTGAAACAATTGCCACGAGTCGGGTGTTGCAACCAGGAGCAAGAGTGCGTGAGAGAAAGAGCATGAACCGAAGTTTAAACAACTAGTTTGAAAGGGAAGAGGCATCTGTGCAACACCCACTTAACTGCGTAAACTGAAGTCTACCAGCCAATGATGAAGCTGATGTGTCCTTTGTGTGCTTACGTAATTGAATCCCACCATGTGCTGTCTCTACGAAGATCCCCCCTCAGCACTTGCCGCCGCGCTCGACGTTCGCGATCTTGGTGAAACAATGTGCCGAAACAAATTGCGCACAATTCAAATGGCTGTACCTAGTACACCCCCTTGGAACAGGGACGAGCCCCTTTGAGGGGCAAGCAACTTAGCGAAACTTGACATGCGGCATTGGGGATGCCATGCAAAGCTGCAGCCAGCCTCAAAGCTGATGGGCTCTACACCACCTGAGCAAGCATCATCATGTAATCAAACCAGACTCACGGCTCACCTTGAGGGATGTCTGCGCATTTGCCCACGGACTCCTTGTAGTCCAAGACCAACTGGCCAGGACTAGAGTCACAGCCAGTCTTGAAGCCAGGCGGGCCTTGCCGTCGAAGTTTGCGGCGTAGTACTTGTGCCTACGAGCCAACTACTCACAGCGTGCAGCACCGCAGCACTGCAGCACTGCAGCACAGCACTTGAGTTCCTTGCTTGCCAGGGCCACCTCCTGCCTTGACGCGAGACCGGCCATCTTATTAAAGCGAGTCGATGCATACTGAGCATGGGGCCGTCATGGGCTCGAATCGTCCCGAACCAGCAGAATGGATAAACGCCCTCGGGTTGAACTCGCTCCGTCGGAGTCAAAAGCAAAAGAGTCTTGAGACCGCGGCTTGCCGGCTCCGCATGGCGCGTCCGGATCAAACCTATCAGATCAGCTCGCACTCGCCAACACTCTCCAGTGACTCTCCCAACTTCTGAGCGCAGCACACAATGACCCCTCGAGTAGAGCTCATGACTTTGCCTCAGAAACTGTCCCTGACTTGATGGGTGCAACATGTTGCCGATGTACCACTCAACGTGGCCGGCTCAACGTTGCCGAGCATTTCGCTTTCGTCAAATTGTAGTCAAGATCAATCAAGTGTATATCTTGTTCGGTGTCAGTTCGTCTGTGCATTGACGGCAAACGTTCTCAAACCTTGCACCATCGTTGCTCCCTGATGAGGCACAGACCCTCGTTGGCATTGTCAATTTCATAGCAATTGCCCTCACCAAGGCGAGTGCTATGAAATGAATGACATCAACATACAACCTTGAGAGAGTGCTTCAGTTCTGAGGCAAAAGCCTCCTGGTTGGCAACCGGGCCGATGTCCTTGCCTTGGCAAATTCCAGCTGAACTTATGTGGCTCTTTGCGCTGAGGATTGCACCGACGAGGGCCTGCAGTGCAGTGTGATCACATGGCTGTGGGTCACAACCCTGTACCCCTGGTGAACATCAAAATAGGTGGTACATGGGTGTTCATCCGGCCCAAAATGGAGCCATAGGTTATGACAAATGGCCACATGTCAAGAAGGGTACCGCTGGACTTTGTGGCCTTCTGCATCTTCTGGAAGTCCTCCAGGTTCTCCTTGTAAGGCAGCCTCTTGGGCTTTGGCCCGCCCTGAGTTTCCCAGGGATCTGTGGTGGCTGAAAGCAACCACTAAGCTCCAGTCGCCCAAAAGATCAGCAGATGCGATCTGCGCATTGCTCACACCTGCGTGAGACAAAGTGACCTAAGTGCCTCATGTTCGGCTCTCATACACGGAACAGCGGCGCCTGCAAGGCCTGCAACCACTGCAAGCATCTCCCGTCGCTGCACCCTGGCCGCTTTCCCGGAACTCCAGAGGCGCACGGACGTCGTCAGAGACGGAAAGCACGCTTCTGTCCAGCCTTCCCTCCGGCTGGACGAAGGCATTTTTCGTCCGCAGCATGCAAGCGACCTGGTGGGAAAGGCGTTCTCGATGCACATGTGTCCGGGTACATCGATGCACATGTGCATGTAGCAGCATGTGGCTGTGGGTCACAAACAGGTACCCAAAAATGGAGCCCTGGTAAGTGGAAACATGGACCAATATCTGCGGTCCTCTGTTGGTTTAATTTTGACCCACACCCATGTCGTGCTAAGGCCCCGTGCAAGGCCGCACAGGGCCAACTGGAGGGCTCTGCCTGCCACTCGGAGCCCGAAGGTCCGCCGTAAACCCTCCCACAAGACGTCCCACATGCCTTGTCGAGCCATTGCGCCACCAAGCTGATCGGGCCGTTTCAAGCTGCGGACACGCAAGCCAAATTGAATGGGGAGTCAATGGCCCAGAGCTCTTGGTAAACTTGGCAAACTTGGCAACCTTCTTCTTGTCTTTTGACTTGTTGTTCTCACTTTGGACACTGTGCAATGAGTCACCCTTCAGTTCTGCTCTCAATGCCAGGTGCAACAAGTGAAGCAACAAGCTCCACGCTCCCAGGCAACAGTCAGCGAGCTGTCCGTTGACCTCGGAAGCCAGGCAGGTCAGGCAGGCCAAGCACTCTACGCGCTCTGCACACTCCAGATGGCTGCTGAGGCCGCCACGCAGATGCATAGACAGGAGCCTGGCACACACCGAAGCCGGCCACGGCTGAGGCCGGCAATGCCGTGGCAGGGTGGCTGGTGCCGCAGGGGGAGAAGCTGCGATGATGGGCCCGCCGACGTCCGACTCTGTGCTGCAGCCGGCCTACGATCCACATTCGACACTCGAGCACAGCAAGCCAGGAGTGAGGCAAGAAAGCAATGGTGCAAGCACTACGGCAGCACGACTGGGCCACCAACAATGGAGCAAAGCTTTAGCTTCACCCGATAGTAGTTGCCGGTCACAATGCCAGATGTGATGGTGTACTGCAGGATTGTCCTTGGCACTGCGCACTCCAAACTTGTGTCTCTTGATGAGAGCAGAGCTGAACATCGGTGAACACCTCGACGTGTAGGCCAGCTGGGAGCAAAACGTATCGTACACTGGTATCTCGTCGTAGGTATTGTCAGCATCATTCGCGTCGTCGATCTCAGCACATACAGGCATGTTGGATGGCAAGTACTTGCCATTTCTCTGAAATGGAAGCTTCTATGTGTCCAATGCACTCAAGGGAGATATCATCCCTTGCGAAAGGGCCTGCTGCCTGTTCTGCTGATCCGACTGCCCTTGTCCCTCTGACCTCCCCACTGCATTCGGTTTTTGGTGCAAGGCGCCAGGATGCGCCAGCCGGTGTGCTGCGATGTGCTCAGCTGCACCGCGTTGGGCTGGTACAGCTGCACCGTCACCGTGGAGGCACTGGCGCTCAGGCCCGGGGCCTGAGAAGAAAATCCGCCGAGCGCTTCACGCGAAGGACGGGGGACGACACGCCAGACACGATGGTGACATATGGCTGTGGGTCAAAAATATGTGCCCAAAATGGAACCCTGGTAAATGGAACCAAGGACTAAAACCTGCGGTCCCCTGGTTGTTTGATTTTGACCCACACCCATACATAGCTTATAGCCATTCATGGCATTCATGGCCATGCTGAGTTTGGGGCTGCTGGTGTGACTGGTGGCGGAGCGCAGTAGATGCCTTGAGGATCAGACTCGGCCTGCGCAGCGGTGGAATCTGAAGTCGGTCAGACGCCGACGGAGCTGAGTAGACGACTCCCTCGCCACTCGCTCCACCAACACCATTGACAGCTGCAACCTTGAAGAAGAACCTGTCATTGAGCCATTCGTTACATTCATGCATTCATTGGTTCAAAGGCGTCGTCACAGCTTCACCAAAGGCGACCGAGGCACATCTGCGATGAGCCACAGTTGTAGGTGAAGCTGTAGACAGAAGCATCAGCGGTGCTGCCTGCCGGAGTCTCAGAGCTCAGGCACAGAGACATGACACGCCATGCACACCTGCCACAGCATAGGTGGTGCCGCCGTCCATGGAGACTTTGATGTTGTAGCTTAGCAATGGAACTTTGCCATGGCACCCACAATCCGATGGAACTAGCATTGATGCGCATCTCTTCCAGCAAAACTGAGGCCAGTACTGCGTCAAAGGAACGCCGCCATTGTCCTCACACTTCAAGTTGTCACAAAATCTCTGGGGGGGCTTGACAGCAACAGGCCTTGCCGACGAAGTCCCACCCGAGCGTGATGTCCGTCAATGAAGAGGAGATGACGTATGGGGAGGCAGGCGCCTGGTGCGCACATCGAAGCGGAAGCTTACCGAAGAGCAGTCGCCTCTGGCAAGCCGCCACATACCAGGTCCAACCTCGGAGCAGAGCTTAGGCGATAGGGAGCACTCGGACGTTGGGAAGCTGGCTGCGAAGACCAGCCGCCGCACTCGTTGATGTTGCAAGCACGCACCTCAAGAGGCATCGAGGCATCCACATACTATGGATGCTGAGAATATGTGAAAACAGCCTGGAAGCGGTATGTGTTGCCAGCGGTGAGAGGCACCGTGGGGCTCGCCTTCGAGCAAAGCAATGCGAAGGACAGCGTCAGGAACACACGCGCCGATACCTTTCGAGCCCTATCTTTGGCTGTCTTGCACTATGGCCCTGACAACCTTGAATGCCGGAGATGTGGTCATTGACTGGACGCTGGACATGATTGTCTGGTCGTTCCAATCCACCTGCATGCTTTGGGTCAGCAAGAACAGATCTGACCCTGCCACTCCCACCCCCACCCTCCCTATACATCTGCAGACAATGCTGGCCCGCAGGGAGGCCTCATAGCGGACGATGCTGGCTTCGTTGGTGTGGACGGTAGGAGGCGTGTCCCATCCAACCTGCGCTTCACTCACGGCAACTCTGAGCTTTGTCTCAACTCTCCCCCATTAAGAATGAAACAGTTGAAGTCCAAGAGTAAAGTCGCTCATCGGCCGCATGCTTGACTGTCCAGGCTCGTGTGATCATCTCAACTTGGCTGACTAGTCAGGGGCTACCCATGCTGCCACCCTACATCTAGCCTGTTGGCCACCTAGCCCGGAAGTGGAGACATCAAAAAGTTGTCATCGCGCAACAACGTCTGCCCTGGCGCGTTGCCTAACGTGCTTTGAGTTCTGTTTCTCAGGCGAGGCTCTGAGTTGATCTACAACCGCTCCGTCCAAAGGGCACAAAATGCTGCTTTGTCGATTCGTTGGAAGCGGGCCGCGAAAGGCCGTCTGGAAAAACATGATACTCATGAAATTCCGGCGCGAGCCTGTAGGGTGTAGGTGGATGATGTCACATACCTGCCATATGTTCAAATTCTGTGCCATTTCATGGAGACTACGTAACTACCTGCCTAAAGCTTTGAGGAACCCCAGGTGCTTCTGAGGCAGCGAATGATGAGATCCCGCTGAACGGCCCGAAGCCTCAGTAAGCGAGCAGAGAGCACAAGAGGCTAACTCGCTAACTCCAAGTCGGAGTTAATCTAAACAGAGCCGCTCACACTCTCGACTTGAGGCACGAGCCATTCGCATTTCTGGCACGTATCTGCACAGCCAATGTCAACTCCACTTGCCATGCCAACTTCCCAAAGTTCCCGGGAGGAGTTTGGCCTGGAAGCGATAGGTGGAACCGGTGTTCAGCGTGTCCTCCCTGTGGGTCAGCGCAGTTCCAGCCTTCGGAGTGCTTCCGCTTTGCTCGTAAAAAGCCGAGCCGAGCACATGGAACGGTGCGGCAAAAACTCGAGAGCAAGGCGTAGATTGAGGTGATGATGCTGCCACCGGTGCCAGCTCCGCTGTCAAAGAACAACTCGTACCTTTGCAAACACAAGTCCGTGCAAGTTGCTTTGAAAAGCTTGAGCAGCTTCACTCGCTCTCTCTCCGTGCTGATCCAACAAACCCTCCATTCCTCCCAGGGCCGCTGCTCGAGAATAGGCAGCCCAGAGGGCGCAGACCAGGAAAGCTGACACCAGTCAGATGAGAACCCTACGTGGCCAATTTTCATGTTGCAACAGATCTAGGTGAAATGAGGGCATCGTGAGACCCAAACCCCTGGCTGGCACATTGGCACGCCACAAAAAACAGAGAACTGAAGCAGAAAGAAAGTGTCCAACTCGCTCGGCCTCGATGGCTGTCTGCTCGGCTCGCACCAGCGTCAGAGGGTCAGCTCCAAAGCTGGGTGTATATCCGGCCTGAGATGTCAGGGATTTCAACTTTCCACATGTCCCTTCTTTCCTTCTTTCTTTCTTTCTTTCCTTCTTTCCTTCTTTCCTTCTTTCTTTCTTTCCTTCTTTCTTTCTTTCTTGCTTTCTTTCTGGTCAGCTTCTAGCCAGCTTCTGGCCAGCTTCTGGCCAGCTTCTGGCCAGCTTCATGGATTATTTCTGAGCCTGGTGCTGTGACCTGTAGGCCGCCTGTGGGGTACCCCACCTGGGCCAAACCCATGGACCGAGCACTCCGAGCACCCCTCCCCCTAAGGCTGAAACGTCGCAGTTGTCAGCAGAACACACGTACACCTCAAATGGCTTGCCACCAGTGGCCGAGCCCTCACTTCCAAACGGTCGCGACCCATATATGGCTGTCTGGCTTGTTGCTTTTATAGCACAGTTAGCAAATGATGCAGCAGGCCACACTCAAGTTGCTCTGGTTTGCGGATCAAATTATGAATCCTCCGAACAACAGAGAACAAGGTTGACAAGAAGCAAAATACAAGCACACCTTTCCTCAGCAAACAGTCACGGGATAGACGAGTAGTCAAGAAAAAGTGTGTGCTGGTCCGCGTGCAGTGTTGGAACAACGGGCATTGCAAAGGTAGCACGTCTGGGCAAGCCTGCTGTCCTGCAGTAGCACTACAACTGTTCTATATCCTCGCTGCTTGGCTTCCACTAAAACATATGCTCCACACGGATCCGAGGAACGTCTTAGCTGCTGCCCGAGAACTCTGGGGCCGACTTCACGTTCGACGTTCGAGAACCCTCGGGCCCGGGCCATGAAGCCGTAGGTGGTGCCTGCGCTGAGGCCCTGCTGCACGTGGAAGAGCACCTCGCGCTCGCCCGCTCGCTCCCATGACGCTCTCTCGCGCGCGTGGGTTCAACTTGTTGCATTTCAATGGATTCAAGGGGCTCGCAAAATCACTTAGGTGGTTTTCGAGCTTCCCCCCTTCAAAACATTTAGAGGTTCATTTTGACCATGTCGCTTTAATGAAACCTGTCCAAGCGAAGGGCAGATGGCCCACCGTTGTGCACCAGGGAGTATGGGTTGGTCCCCTGCCGCATGTAGACCTCTCGACGTCGAGCGAGAAAAACAAGAAACCATGAAAGTGCTCTTCATGACTGTGTGCAAAAGCATGAAAGCTCATTCTTGACAACCCCAAGCCCTGCCACAAGGCTGAGCAAGAATCAGTACTGGTGAAGCAATCTTGTTTGATTGATTTACGGGAGGCTGTGCTTCGATGTCAACTCTGCTGTGTGACTGCTGGTCTCCTGCCTTGTAGCCGGTGATCAAGGCTCCCACGCAGCCTGCTTTAGCGGAGTCAAAGCGATGAAGGTGCAATATGTCCATATACGTATACATACACATTTGTATATCGCCCCCCCCCAGGGACCTACCTTTTTTGGGATTGGCAGTGTTTGTTGCCTTTTTTGGGACTTGGGAGAAAGTAGTAAAAACGACGCATTTCCAAGGACATTCTGGAAGCTTCAGGCACGACTCACATGTCAATCGTGTATATACCTATATGTGTATGTATATATATATATATATATATTCTACATATATATATATATATGAAGATGCATGAATGTATACTCCTATACGCCGCACATTGCAGAAGGCAAAGTCAGCCCGAGGCCGTCCTGTTGAGGTGGGAGGTACCCAAGCAAGCTTCACCGAGTTGTCGGTGTGCTCAGAAGCTGTGAAGCTGTCCACAGGGTCCGGCCTTTGACCAAGGGATGTCATCCCGAGCTGGGAATCCATGGAGTTGTGATTTGTTTCCAAATCCAATCACAGGACCGAAACCTAAAGCAAATGAAGACTCTGCGGGATGCGCTGGGGCAAAGGCAAGGCACACACCTGTGTGCGGAAAACTGGGCTGGCCTGCAGGCAGCTGGCAAGAACAGAACTTCCGGAAAGTGACCAAAAACCAAACGTGCAAGAAAAGGTTTTGCAGACCAGCCTGGGAAAGGCCAATAGCATTTTCAGCATACACCACAAATCGCAGGAATTTCCCCTCTGGCCTCGAGTCCGTGACTCTGTCATGCAACAAATGTTGCAACGGTCAATCATGTCAGACGCGCAGTGAATCGATGGAGTCATACAAGGTAGTGCTGCTGTATGTCCTGAAGCGCATGCCATATATCATTGAGGAAGAAAAGGAGTGCATGCTCAAGTGTCTCCTATTGTTGGAGAAGTCTGTATAATCGCCGCTGTCATAGGACAAAACATATCCTGAATCAAAGTCCCACTGAGCAATGTCGTGAGATGGGAGTTGCATGGGGCCAGCAGCTCCTGTAACTGGGGAGCCCCCATCATTCGTTGGCGCAGACCACGACAAGGCCACAGCCCTGAGAAAATGAATACCAGAATGCCCTGTTGCGTGATGGAGCACTGAGCATCGAGCGTTGTGGTACGATTCACGCTGGTATCACGGACCACGGCATCCATCCTCGCAGTTTGGCTCGGTTTAGCTTCCAAATCAATGGCTGTGCACAGAGACTTCAATAAACTTCCGCACTGAGGCCAGTTCTGCGCTGGCACGGTCCCGCCAGGTACCAGTGTCTCGGTGGACCTTGGCTTGCAACTTGCAATCTGGAGCCTAATGGTCCTGGGATGGCACTGCAATGACTCGCCAGCAGAATTCAATGCGGTCGCCGCAAACTTGTAGATGAGCCCCCCTGAGTGGCGGTTTTGTATGAGTGCTGAGCACTCCTGTCCAGCCCTGCCTGTGAGCCCAGTCGCAGTGAAGGATGTGATCTGCGGCTGACCCTGACCTCGCCCGAGCGCAAGGCTGAGCCATACTTATGAGACTTGTGAGACGGCTGATCCCTCAAATACAAAATGACGTGGCAAGCTCATGGCACGGAAGCTTCTGGATTGGAGACCATACTCCGTGGGCCAACCTCCCCGTGCCATCTCATGAGGCGCACCGTTCCAGAGCACGATGTTGATGGGGTCGTTTGCTCCATTGTTCCTGGAGTTCCACTCAATGCAATCTCCAGCTTCGGCCCTAAAAGAAGTTGTTTTCCTGACAGGCTGACACTGGCTGGCGCATGCTCTTGTGACTCTATGTTTACTATGTTCACTTTCAGCGGACTCGGGAACTTCTTTTTTGGTCCTGTAGAGCTTGTAGCCCAGGAGTGGAATGCCGCCAGAGCTGGCCGGCGGAGTCCACGACACCTGCAGCCCACTCTGAGTGCGGGTGGACGCCACCACCACCGGCGCGCCAGGCGGATCCTGCAGCATTTTGCGGCGATGTGCGGCGATTTGCAGTGACGAAATGAGTGACAACCGGCACTGAGGTCCCCACAGGAGCAGCGGCGGAGTACATGTTGGCCTGACCGAATGAGTAAACTCTGAGCTCTATCCCTCTCCGACGATCACGATGCCGAAAAAATTGCCATGGGGGCCTCTGCGTAGTTGGGCACTATGTCCGTCAATGCATTGGTCTCCACGACACGGTTCACGGCAGCAACCTGGAACACAAAGGCAGTCGACAGCAACACCCTCACCCAACCTGGCCTTGATGACGTAATAGTAGCCCAATGTCAAGCCGGTCACTGTGTAAGTGGTCGTCGTAGGCATGTCTGTGCCGCTGGTGGCATCGATGAAATCAGTGCCACCCAACCTGGGCGTGCACGCTAGATGTCTGCATGCCTTGCACATCTGTACCCCTCAACCTCTGCTTGGATGGATGAGCAGGACTCACTTTTTTCCCGCTCGTTCACAGCTGCCCAAAATCTTTACCTCGGCGAAAGCGAATCTCTGGCACCTCTCGAGCGTCTCTGCGGATTTCTTTCCTGCGGGTCAGGTGCCATTTGGAGAGCTCGGGCTGCTTGGACACCCCACCACCGTGGGCGCCGGTTTAAGCTCCAAGGACTGCGAGGCGTTTCGCGTGAAGCCGCTTCAACTCTCCACTCTTTCCACTCTCTCCCTTCCAAGATCTCTATGTTTCAGGCTGATGCGCTTGTGCTGATGTTTGTTTGTGTGCACGTGCAATGGGGTGGTGGCATGACGTCCGGACAATATCTTGTCTATGCCGCATCTTGCCCATCTGCAAATTGGTTTGTCCTGCATCTGAATCCGCGCCTCGCCATCGCTTTGTTCACCTTCGCGCTCTGCAGCCTCGTAGGCTCTTGCTTTGGCAGACGGCTCAGCTTCCTCGGCTGGGTCTCTTAACGTCTTAGCGAATCGACCCGTTTGAACTGACGCAAACATTTCGATGCGAGATTCAAAGGTGGAAGTCCGCAGGAGCAGCAAAAGCAGCGGCCCGATGATGGAAAGCACAGTGACCCAAAGCCATAGGGTTGGGCCGTCGGCCAGTTCGGGCCAGCCTGCCATTGGGCCATGGCCATGGCTGGGCCATGGCCATGGCTGGGCCATGGCATGGCAATGGCATGGCCATGTTGCTCGTTTGCACAACGTCCTGCCTTCGCAGCCGCGGCAGCTGCTGGGACATCCAGAAGCTCCCGGCATTGCACACCTTGGACTGCCGACAGCACTCGCAGCACAGCAACCGCTTGAGCGGAGGACAATGACCTGTGCGATGAGCACACCATGCCTGCGCAAATCGACAGGATTCGACTCACTCACTTTGTTGAGAACGCCAGGATTGCAATCAAAAACCGATCCACACAATCCAAACCCCAGGCTGCGCTTCACGCAAGCTTTGCTCTCGTTGCGATGCTGTACGGGACTGTTGCTTCCCAACCCGCCTGTGGATACGTTGCAAGGCACAGGTGCATCAATTGCCTGGCGGCACATCTGAAGCTTGCCGTGCAAAGAAGCAAAACTATTCCTAGCCTGGCAGTCATATCTACAGAAGGCACCGGTCCCGCTTTCTCCTGGCAAGCGAGCAAACGGTGTCTGTGTTCCGCTATTCACGTCTGCTTCTTGGTACTTGGTCGGCTTGCATGTGGCGCTTCAAGAATATGCCGCAAGTTTCAGGATGGCAGCGGCTAGGTAGTATTACCTGCTCCGTGACTAACGCTACAACTAGGATGACAGGCCTGAATCAATGTATCCACATTGTGTCAAATCCCGCAGAAAGAATGTAGTGAGCAGTGGCAAAGGGCTGCAAAGAAACGCGCTGGAACTACATGCACAAATTGCACGCTGCAGCCAAGTCTCTGCAACTAGGGCAGTCTGGGCAGTAGTTCTGCAAAAGAACTCCCGAAAGCCAGCCAGTTGGCAGGCCAGCGAGGAACCTCAGGTCCAGTGTCCAGCAACTGGAGCCTTTGCCAGTGTCACCATAAAAACCTTCCCGTTCAACTCAGCACGCAGCTGTGGAGTGAATGCCAGGACCAAGAATACGCCCTCGCAAACTTAAGGTATTTGCACATGAGCACTCACATGCTCTTCGCCCGTCCCCATCTGCCCCGCCTCCTTGCCATCCGGAGAGAGGTTGGCGGAGAAGGTGTTGAAGCGTGGGCTCCAAATCACCTGCTGGATCTCGGCTTTCCGTGACATCCCATCAACAGTCGACTCGCTTCTCGCTTCACATCTGCCCAACCAGCCTCTCCAACACTCATCGTTGCAAGCCAGGCACATGTAGCACGCACCTTGGGCTCAAGAGAGGCTGACACAATAGGGCCTGCAGCAGCTTGGGCATCGGCTGACACCTCAAAGATCATGAACACGGGGGACAGTGACATGACGACCTCAGCGCTCTATGGGTGAAGGCAAATCAACGGAATCCAGCTTCAGAATACACAAACTTCTGCAATCTCAAGTGCAACCTGAGTAGGCGGCACTGCCAAGGAATATGGCTGGAAAATTCCTTGCCGCGATCATGCTGCCAAAACAAGGAGCGAAACAAGCAGTCACAAGCTCCGACTGTTGCCATGTGATCGCCGCGTCCTCCACTTTGCTGTGGCCATGGTCACCACAGGAGGAAGCGTCGCGCATATCCAGTAGTTGATGCTGTTCACCGTTCCCCACGGTGCATCCTCACCAAGCTCGCGCACCAGGTACTTGGGCATGGTGGCATTCATGTGATGCCACTGCGCTTTCACACCTCAAGACTCAATGTCAGCTCCCTCGAATAAAGCAGAACATACATGGCTGTGGATCAAAACCAATGGTACCATTTTGGGGTCCACCCATTTTAGTCTATTTTAGTGGGGATTGGGATGTTATCTGGGGGTACGGGCTTTTGACCCATGGCCACATTGTGTACGTGTGCGACGGGTCAGAAATGCGCTCAGCACGTGGCCTACTAGGCAGGTGGAGCAGGCCGCAACAATCCAAAGCCCACGGTCGTGCCTCATGCACACACCGGGCAGCATGGCAAAATTGACAAAAAGGGCCACGACCAACGCCAAGCTGCAAGCACTCAGATGTTGGTTCATGACAAGCTGCAGAATAGCTAAATTCTCGCGAAGCAGTGCTCCAAGGGATACCCCTGAAGTCAATGAAAGCACTCTGTCTAGCGTCGCTGAATGTTTTTAGTCTGTGTGGCCTGTCGAGGGTGACTGAGGTATTCCACTCTCGTCGTCATCCTGGGGCCAAAACAAACAAGTTGCCGCACAACTCATACTCGAATCCAACTTTGGAGCGCGCCTGAAAAGCCACATGGCTCTTGCAGCACCGTAGCTGCGGCGAAAGTCTGGAAGGCAGGAGGCATGCCAACATGCAGCATACCAGCAAGGCCACCTGAGATCAAAACGAATGTAGCATTGAGCAGATCATGCGCATATCAAAAAGTCGAAGAGTCGCTCAGTGCCTCTGAATTGAGGTAGGCAACCTCCGATAGAACCAAGCAGGCGCGGGAAGGCGTAGCCAGCGAGCCAAAAATGCCAGTGAAGCCGACAGGATCGCGAACTTGCCAGGTTCGGAAGGCATCGATCACCACGTCTGCAATGCCGCCACCTACAAACATTCCAAGATACAAGAGCGGGTACCAAGCCAAGATACGGGTGTGTGTGTGTGTATTGCTGTTGCTCTTTGCGCTCACTTTGCAGCCACTGCATTCGCTGCTATTGGATGTCGCTCCCCTGCAGCGACTGTCTGGTTTGCAGAGCCAGAGGCCGGCACCTGCGTTGTGGAGCGCATAGTTCACGCTGAAAGCCATCGGCCGGTCCTCCTCCACGGTGAGCCGCTTCAGGCCGACCAGAAATACCTACATCTCAGCAGCGTTGAAGCATGGGTGTGGCTCAAAACTGATCAGCTGGGTGTACGCGGGTTTTAGTCTTTGGTTCCATTTACCAAGGTGCCATTTTGGTACCACTTTTTTGAGCCTCAGCCTTATCACGACTGGCTCAATGACTCACTGGAACGACTGAAACGACTGGACTGCAAGCTGAAGCGCCGGCAGCAGCAGACCCTCCGCGATGGGCGAGAGCAGCAGCAGTGCCCAGCGGAAGGTCTGCTGGCTCCGCGCAAAGACCAGCACGGCCCGGGAGGAGAGCATGGCTAGCGTGGCAAAGACCGCCGTGCGCTTCACGCCCACATTGTCCTCGCAAAAGAAAAAAAAATGTGCCAAAACACGCTCGACGCGGTCGTGCAAAAAGAAGAAAAAACACTCCCCAAGTCCATGAACCAGGCCCGTGCCCAGGCACATGCCCGATTGCTCCCAATGGCCCGACCTGTGTGCCGAGTTGCAATGAAAAAAATGCTGGCCACGCTCGTCCAAACCGAAGATAGGATACCCCACCATCCATACAGGGATCCAGCCTCTCTGTCGCTAAAGCCGAATTCATCAGTGGCATAGATGACCAAAAGTACCGCCATCACGTGGTAAGAGAAGGATGCAAAGAAATTCAGGAAGAAGACCCTTGGTGGTGTGCTGAGGCTCAGCAATCTGTGCAAATGATCCGCGTGGTCGATTCTCGGGAAGTGCATCATTGCGCAGGAAAGCACGTCCGTTCCGTAACATACCAAGTTGCATCCAAACGCCTAAGGAAAAGCTGGAGCAGCATTTGCAGCAGCGCCATCCCATATCAGTGTCAAGGTACACTCGCCGCCATCACTGGCCAGGCATATTGCCCACCACCGAAACCGCTGCAAACCAATGCTCCGGGCAAGTCATTTGTGCCAAAGTTGACAAGAGTGACAAACTTGGCTCTATCGAATGCAGCGTACTCCGTGGTTGTGGACTTTCGAGCGCAACCCTGTGCACATGGTCATGCCAATTCAGAGCTTGTACAGAACTTGAGATGCACAGGAAAGCACGGCAATGGCGACTGTGGCGAAAGTCAACAGCAAGATTCAGAATTGGCAAGCAAGCAACAAGCAAGCTGTGGTGCCAGACCCATCGTTCCTCTCAACATAGTACTTGGTGATGGGTGAGCCGCCATCATCTGTCGGCGCAGTCCATGACCTCGGGAGAGGGTAGTGATTCAGGTCAGCCCCAAGAAACCCTTGAAGTCTTCAAGTCCCATTGTGAACATTGACGAGCTCTTCAGCTCTTGTCCCAAGGAGCAAGCAGTGAGATGCTGCCAGAAGAGCCGCCCGTGCGCACCAGGTTGGTAGGGGCAATTGGGGCCGCCTCGGTTTCTGACCGTTGGCAGCCCAATTGCCAAATGCCTCGAGGCTCACTGCACCGATGACGTAGAGATCTGTTCCGGCCCCGGAGAAGCTGGCCTTGCAAACAACAGCGACATATTTGTGAGTCAAGAAGGAGCTTCATGGAGCTTCATGCTGCCCATGCTGGCAATGCTGAGCTCTAGCAGCTAATGGCCCGGCTGAGACCTGAGTCTTGAAGTTCTCCGCCAGGACTCGGAAGGCGAAGGCCAAATCAGGGCTGGCGGGCCTCGGCGGAAGGCGCATCACAGAGTTCGGCTGGCCGGGGCGGAGTAAGGTGTGGGCACGTAGTTGAAGGCGGTTTCCAGCACCGAGGACGTCGTCCCAATCTGTCCGAGACGTAATCAAGACGTCCAAGTCTCTCCGAATATCTCCGAATATCTCTGAATATTTGTCGGCCTTGACCAAGGTGGCCGTGGATGTGCCAGCCATGACCTCGCTTCAGGTGGCCACCACACTGGGAGCTCGGCTGAGCTCATCAGCTCGTCAGAGCAGCTCAGCATTGGGCGATGTATCCCAAGATTGGGCACTCCCCTGTGTCCGTTGGCGGATCCCATCCCAGTCGGATCAGCGAGCCTGTCAATTCGACTCCTTCCACTCGCATGCCACTCATAACTCATTCCCAGGCTTCATGAACCAGTCGACTTTAGGATTGGGCGATTGAAATTGGGGGACGTTGATGGCTGTTCGATCAGTGCCTGTGCGCTGCAGGACGCGCAGGTTCCCGACGGCACCTGGGCAATTCGAGAGGTATGGGGTGCATCGCCGCGCATCGCCGTGCGTCGCTTGCCTGGCTCGTTGCACGGGGAGACGCTCATGACCTGCGGGTTCGGCGGCGGAGGAAAACATTCTCCTGGTGTGCAGTTCAGGGCCCCGACGGCTGGCAGACCTTCGCCCTTGGCGGTGAACGCTTTCACCTGACATCTGGCGATGCAAAATGGCCTTGCAAGCTGCAAGGAAACCGGCCTCTGAGCGGTAGGTATAGCCTGTGGCCAAGCCGATCTTTTGGAAGGTGGTCCTGGAAAATCGAAAACGCACTGGCGCATCTGTGTAACCAGAAACATTCCCCACCGATGGCTCTGGATGGCTCTGATGGCTCTGGCTCTGGCGCCACACTGAGGGCCCGGGCGCTGTGCCGGAGTACTCCTCCACCAGGGGCCCTCCCAGAGCGTCGTCCAGGTAGACCTCCAAAAAAAGAGTCGAGAAAGCCGAGAAAGTAAAAGAAAGTAAAGAGAAAGTAAAGTTAAGTAAAGTAAGAGTCGAGTTAAGTAAAGAGAGTCGTAAGAGTCGAGAAAGCCGACATGGAAAGCCGAAAAATGTCGGGTCGTCCAGCGCAAGTTGAGACACCCCAACGTGCCTTGTAGCCCAGCACCGGCAACCCGCCCGTGTCCGTGGGCACATCCCAAGCCAAGGTCACGGAGACCAGAGTGGAGGCCTCACTTCAAGTCTTCGCTTCACTTCGCTCCGGCCAACTCAACTGAGCATCTCACTGATAGATATAGATTGGCGGGTGCCGTGGACAGCTCGGCAGAGTAGTAGATCTGCATGCGCGAGTTGCAAAACAAGTCCGCCACGTCAAAGAGTCAAAACCACCGATTGCAGCAGGAAACCTGCACGTCACTGCGGGTACCCGGCAAGCCATGCTGCTCAGCCTGGCCGAGGCTTTTTTTTTGGCTGACTCCGTCGGCTCCAGAAACTGTCAGAGTCATCTGCATCCATGCAAGTTGTTGACCAAAAGCCACGGTGGCACCCTCATGCCTTGGAATGCCGTCTCAAGGAGAGGAGGAGGAGTATCGGGGGGAAAAAAGGAGAAAGAAAAAAAAACGGGTTGTTTGGCAAAACTTGCATAGTGTCAATGGTGTCATTGCCTTGCAAGCACGCATTTCCAAACATGACGAGGCAGCCATCAAATTCACTGCTGCCACCTCGCAAGTCGCTACAAGTTTGACTCCAAGCCCGATAGCAACACTTCCTTGGGGCTGGGCTTGGATCTGAAGAGCTGCTCCGATAATAAAGACAATGACGTCTGACATGGTCCCTGGCGTTCAAAAGCTGCCCATTGACATCAAGGCAACTTCAGGCATGGGCAGCCAGGCGTCCAGCAGCCTTTTTCATCGCTTCTCTAGTCTGCCTTGTATGATTCCAATGCCAATACATCCGTTGTCTGGTTGTTCAGCAATGCTGCCCCGCCATCGGCATGTCAGAGCTACTCTACTTGCAAGCGACCGAAGTCGCAGGTTGCATATTTACAAATGCCACAGACGTGCAGGCAGGCAAGTCTGTGAAACTCCCGCCTTACGGGAACATTGCACGCGACACCTCCTACCAAGTCACTTTCCTTACCTGAAGAAACCTCAAAATGCCTTCCTTTACTGTCAAAAGCTGGCACGTCCGTTCAAAGTTGTTGAGACCTGTTGCCTCCCCTCACATTGAACATTCTGACTGCTCAGTCTCCACGTCATACTTCTCAGCCACCAGAAATGTACTCTGAGGTTCAGCGCAATTCGATCGAACTGGATTCCGGTTCTGTAGCTCTTCAATGGCGTTGTTGATAGCGCTGAGAATCTCTTGGCAGTTGTCAAATTGGTCTAAGTGGACAAGACGGCCGGTGAGCCACTTCTCTGGTTGCTTTTGGCAATAGGACGAGGTGATCTTCCTGCCCTTCATGATCATCGCCTGTCGCCCGATTTCCTGAACATGCCGCAAGAGTTCCTCCCGATGATGCTGACCTGCTTGACACAACTGCTTCGCTGCCACCCTCAACTGCTGGAAGGTCGGGTCGTGCCAGCGCTGCCTCTTCATGATGCTGTCGCGGCGCCTTTGCCCTTGCCTTGGAGGGCGGTCATCGCCACAGCAGGCTTCTCCCTTGCATGGCCTGGATGGGGCGTGATGCAAACACTTGGCATGCAATTCTGCATGCTTGCCGCCAACCAAACACCCGCCTGGCCGAAGCATACTGAGGGAAGAGCAGCTCCTCATCCGTGTCGTAGCTGCTCATTTCGGTGACTTGATTCGAGGGCTGTAAAGCTGCGGAAGCTGTAAACCGTTTCAAACAAACAGCACAGCCTCACCAAGCATGTGGGCAATCTGCCGACTGCCGATACACGTAATGGCCTGTGCCGCTCCAAGCAAGCTTGTCGAGTGCTCCAGAGTCAAGACCATCGCGGTACCACACCTCCGCTTCATTCTCACTTTCGGGACATGAAACCTCTCTATGAGAAGACGCGATTTGGGCAGAGGGCACGGGGAAGACACGTGTCACGTCCCGACACTTTTGCTCGGCACATGTCTCCTTGCCTCGTATCGTATGATGGGGGATCCGCCATCATCAGAAGGCGGCGTCCAACTCACCACAGTTTCCGTGCCTCAGCTTTGAGATCTCTTAGACAGCATCCTGCTTGTTGCAAAACAGGACGCTCTGGGAGTGCACGCGTTTGCATATGTTTTATATATTTTCTAAAAGTCAGGACAGCTGACGTGACATAGTCTTGTTTGTGTGTTGTCCTTTTTGTTGTTGCTCGCTTTTTGTTGTTTGCATTTTCCCATGTTCGGCTTTTTGCAAGAGCGTCGGTGTTCAAGTGCACTTGCGTCGTTCACATCCAAGCACTAGTACAATAAGATAGAGATGGTGTCCTTGTGATTGCGATTCGTTCCTTATCAAATTCTATATATTATCAATTCAAAACTAAGTAGAACTGATACAGATATTGAGTAGAATGAGCAAGGAAAGAATTCAGAGGTCCCAAAATGGTTGAATAAATGGTGCTTAAACGTAGACTGATTTGTAAAGACAATTCGATCGGAAAGGTATCCTAATCATTACTTTTCTATAATCTGAGATAGCCATTCTGGTTGGAGTCGTTCCTTGCTAAACTTTGTTAGTGTCAGTTAGACATTGAGTAGAAGGTGATAAAGATATTAAGCAGAATTCATAAGGAATAAATTCGGAGGTCTCAAAATCGTGCTTTTACTAGTCCCGGTACTACCATGGTAAGAGACCACCGTCAAACACAGCGTCGTGTAGCATGTTTCATACTCAATTCACAGCTCCACCAACAACCGCTCTCTACAATTCGGCTTGATTTTGAATAGGATTTGAATGAGACTCAATAAGAAAATGCTTGTGAACTTTACAATTCAATTCAAGCTTCAACAGAACTTGATAAGAAAGAATGCAATCGCATGTTTCTATTCTTATTCAGAACTTAGATTAGAGTTTATTCAATTGTACAGTAGAAATTCACGAGTTTCTTTCCAATAGATGTTCTTCACAAATCACTACACATGTAAGCACAAATTAATCAAACATAGTTCAACTCCAATTTCCGCTCACAATGTGAACAAAGCGCACGCTCACAGCGTCCCGTTCTCTTGCTTTGCATCTGTAAGTCTATGTCAGGGGTAGCCAGAGACAGCTTGAAATGTACAAACAAGCGCACTCCCAGAGCAACCTGCTCTCTTCTTTGAGGCGGGTTGCGCCAAATGCAGAAGAGCCCTCTTGGACTCTCTTAGACGCTCTTCCCCCGCCCCAGCCCCTCCAACCCGAAGCTGGGCTGCGGGAGTTGTCCGCGAAGGTGACCATGGTGGGTTTCCCTGCTTGACCCGCACACAGCATCGAAGCCTCGCCATCCACGTCTCTGGCATGTGAACACAATGCGCAGAATGCGCAGAATGCGCAGAATGCGCAGAATGCGCAGAATGCGCAGAATGCGCAGAATGCGCAGAATGCAGAGGCCGATTTCAGTGAAGTAGCCGTATCTGATTGAGGTCCTTCACCTGCTGCGTTCAAGGCCGTGACCCGGTACTGGTACCTAGCACGCCAGCACAATTTGAGAGGCGGCTGAAGGCTGGGCATCACTTTGGTGACTTTGGGTGCTGGTGCCTCTTCATCTTTTGACATGCAGTTGAATTGGCCGTATGCCGTATGCCGAGCGCTACGAAATGTGTGGTTGAGACGGCTGTTTCAAGGCGCTCTTGCCATGGTACCATTCAAATTTGGCAAAACGTGGATCTGCGCACCCTGTGGGTTGAGGGAGCTAAAGATAGACTTGATGTTGGGTGTTGGGGTAGGTTTTGAGTTGTCTTCGAGTTGATTCAGAATTTGGTTTGGGGTGGGTGATGGGTTCTTTAGGAGCGTTTTTTGGGGGGAGGCCTTGGGCTGGATTAGGGGGTTGAATGAAGGGTCAGTTTAGAATCGGTGGGTTTGGATTGAGCTAAGAATTGCTTCACGGGGTTTAACTTAGAATTTGTTGAGATTGGATTTTGGTGTGTACGGTGGCTTCGGGCTGACTTGTCATTGGATTCTGGATTGGCTTAGCGTGACTGGCCTGACTGTCTCAGAGTCTGCAGTTTCTAACGAATCTGCGAGCGTCAACGGCGTCAACCCAGCCGTGGGATTGTTCGATGGAGGCAGGTGCGAAGGCTGCACGCAAATGCGTGCTCGCATGTCGAACTCAATGATGCTGAAGTTTGATGACGTTGGTTGAGCTTTGCAGCCGACGTGCTTAGCTTTGCTGGTTCGCGCTCCTCAAAGTGAAAAGCGCGTGGCTGAAGAACATGAGAAAAGTCGCGGCACGCACATGCCATCTTGATTGTCGGCCCTCGTGCAATTCCCAATGCACCTGCAACTAGACTCGTGACTTCTACGGACTTCTAGAAACTCTCAGAGACATCACACATCGACATCGATCACATCGACACCTATGGATCTGGGCACGTGAAGTTGGTCGTCAGGCTCAGAGACTCGTATGCCAAAGCATTGCCCTCGAAGATCAAGTAATAGGCGCCGCCCTCCAGAGCCTGAAATGCCGGAACATCGAAACGGTCTCAACTTTTTCACATGAAGCAAATAAGAGGTATAAATGACGTAAATGAAGTCAATGTAAGCAAAATGGAAGCGGGCAAAGCAAGAAGGCGCTTGCGGTCCATGGAGAGCGAGCGTGCGTACATGTCATCTGCCGTCTGCGCACCTGGTACAAGCGGTAGCCGGTGATAGAAGCACCCATGTTGTCAGGCGGACTCCACCTGAGATTCTTATCCTCAAGTCAAGTTTGAGACTGGAAGACCAAAGACCAACAAGTCGGGCCCCGAACACCACGGTGATCGATGTGCGAGTAGAGGTGGATCGAAGCGGCGCGGCCATCCTTTCCAACTCACATCAACGATTGAAACATCAACTGCATATGCGGACGTTACCAAGCCCCACGCTTTGCAGGATAAGATGCACACACTGTTGTCACCTGCGAACGAGCTCATGACCCAAGGGCGTCCTTGGACCTTGGACGCCTCTGTGCTGTACTTGCCCCATCCCACAGCGTTCCGGGCACGGATCCGGAACTTCAAGTCCAGGCCTGCGAAGGCCACAAGCGAAGGCCACAAGCGCCAAAGGCCACAAAGGCCAAGCGCCGCAAGCTGCGAGCCGAACGCCGAGAGCGCCGGAAGCGCGGGCCTTTGGTGCAGCCCTGCACAAAAGCGGAGAGGTGCGTGGCTGCGTTGGTGGCGACCTCAGCCCATCGGAGTGCACACCACATGCACAAACGCACGGGGGGGGCCCCCACCACGGTCCACCCTTGGTTGTCCTCGTCCATGGAAATTTCGTAGAGGTCCACCTTAAGATGTTGTTGGAAATTGGAAGCTCAAGCGGAGCATACCACAATGCAAGTTTCATAGGCAACAATAGACGGTGCCTTCATGCCCTGGCTCATGTGATTGGCAACGCACTCTGGTGACTCTGGTGCGGGTGCGGCACTGCCACACCACCGTGGTTGAGACTGGGAGGGAAGTCCACCTGAGAAGATCAGCGCCAGGTGGCATTCGGGCACTTGTCTCGTTGGCCTCAATGTCGCCGATGCGCGGAAACTTGAAGTAGATGGCACCTATGCATCTACAAAATGACCTGCATGTTGTGCCCAAATTGGCCGCTTGCCGCTTGCCTGGTGGATCTGGCGCTTGAGCAGCGTGGCCGCAGACCGCGTCGCTCAGCTGGGGCCTGGAGCCCAAGCTGTGCGTCACCAGAGGTGTCACAGGCGGACTGACCGGACTCAACGGGACTCGGCGAAGCGGAACGTCGCGGAACGTCGCGGAACGTCGCGGAACGTGAGAAAACCGCCACTCAGGCAGCAGCTGTTGATCATCCAAAGCGTTGGTCTCTGTCACAAAGTTCAATGCCGCCACCTTGAAGCAATAAGTGCCTGCCAGCCGTGAGGAAGTGCTGCGATTTCAGGTTCAAGCCAAAAGTGAGGCACGCAAGGCAATGCGGCAAGCAGTCTCCTTTTTGAAGTCTGATTGAAATGTCAATGTGCACGGCAATTGTACTTGGCGACATGCGAATTTGGCTCTGCTTTAAAGCAGCTGCTCAGGTGCGTTGGCATTGGCATTGCATGCTATCCACCAATCCTGAGGCGGGGGACCTACACAACAGTATTAACATCCTTCCAAAGCCTTTTTTGGCTTGGCTCGAACACCCAACATCCGAAGCTGCATCTGTCTGCCGCCAGGTGTCATGTGGGCGCCTCTTGCACCTCTACGTGCAAATCACGCATGCCGCTCGATCCCAGCTTGCTCTCCAGGGGCAGGGTGACCTGCAAGTGCTTCCTTCTGGCAGCGGGAAATCAATACTGCGCACTCAGGAACGAAATTCAACCAAACTGTTGAAACACGGAAAACAAAACAACCATGACGTAGAACTCATAGAACGTAAGAGGCTGCAACGTGTGCCAAAGATCTCAGAGACAGCGCCTCCTGTTCCTGACGTCAAGGGCCAAACATTTCTCCGAGTGCCCTCTGGGACTCACCGGGACCCGGTCAGTCCTTGGAGCTGGATGCCTGCATGCGCCATGCCTCGACTTCTGAACGGGCGCTCGGCACCACTCTGTCGGCATTGTCGGCACTTCAAACAGCAGGTAGCTAGCTCTTGGATGGAAGATAATCACAATAAACCCCCTGGTCTACGTAAGCTGTCTCCAAGTTCGCCAAAACACAACCATTTTGATGCGTAGAGATTGGAGGTTGCCGAAAGCAAGCAACCCGGATTCGGGATGTCACTGAGAACACGGAAGGCATGGAGGGCATGGCAAGGCATCCAGGTCAGACCATCACACCTTCAGACCGTCAGACCGTCATCCATTTCAGCGCTTGGCCCCTGGCGTTCTCCGTTCGATTCAACGGCGACGCTTCGTCCTCCTCCTTTCGCTCGCGATGCTAGCAAAGCAGCCAAGTGCGCTCTCGCCTCGTCGTCGTCAGCGGTAGAACAGCTGCTGTGCAAGCGGAAAACCAGCCTTAGATTGGGCGTGCACACCTCGCATGTCCTCGCAAGTGTGCTAGAATGAACAGTAGCCACCTGAGGCTCTAAGTGTTCAGTCATGCCATTGACTCAATTGACTCCCAGCTGCGGAGTGCACATCAGAAAAACAGAGCAAAGGACAAAGACCTGCCATATGAGTCGAATCAGCACATGCCCAATCGGTGTGCATGCCTGCCTTGCAGTATCTCTCTACTAGGATCATCTTTTGCCTGCAAACAGAAATCAAGACATCTCTGGGCTCACGCACAGTGCCCAGCCTCCCCGGCGAGAGGGACTCCTGCCTCGGGATCGGCGGTGCCTCAAATGCCTCGGATCCCAATGAAACTTCGGACTCCGGATCTGACTCGACTCCGACTGCAAAGGTGCAGGCCTCCCAGTCCATGTGCACCGAGAAAAGCCTGGCAGGCTGCGGAACTCATCCCAGCCCTTCTCAAACTGGATTGTTTACACCATGGTGTCTCCAAAAAAAACAGGGTGGTGACGTGCCTCCTGGACGGGCCAAACGGCTGCACCTGGCTGTTGGAGAGGTTCTGAGGTTGAGAGGGCAATAGATCGCAAGGCCACGTGTGCCGATGCGCCTGTCTGGCATTGCCGTGCACGGCATCTGCCAGCCGAGTCTCTTGGAGGAGGACTGACAGCCTCGACTGGCGAGCGCTGAAAGCTGAAAGTGCAGATGTGGCTGTGGGTCAAAAATAGGTACCAAAAATGGAGCCCTTGTAAATGGAACCAAGGACTAAAACGTGCGATCCCCTGGTGCTTAATTTTGACCCATACCCATGTGACCGTCACTGTCGAGGCTCTGCTCGATGGCCGAAGGCTGAGGCTCGCCTGGCCGCGCAGCTTTGCGCGCCGAGCCGCGCAAAGTTGCGCACGTCCGACCAACCCAAGTTCCGGCCTACGATGAACCACCGCACGTTAGGTGTGCAGGGTGGCCGAGGAACACTGCCTTCGTAGCCTAACAGCATGCCCGCAGTGTAGTCTCATCAGGTCAGAGTGCCACGTGCTCAATGTGCAACTTCTCAATGCTCATCCGAAGGACCGTAGAGGTCACTCCTGTCACCCAGTATTGCTTGTAGCTCGAGCGGGGGAGCGTCCTGAGGAGGTCATAAGGCTGCACAGCTAAGATCTAGAGGTCTAAATAGCTAAATTTCAATGCCAGAATCGAAGAATCAGTTGCAATAGTTTGCTTGGCCGTCCTGCATTTGATGGAAGGATAATGCCTCTCGCAGCCACCTGTGCTGATCGCTGGGGTTGGTTTGACTATCTACTGTTGCTTGATATGTGCTTGCCTTGAATCATCTGTTTGCACAAAACACATATTGTGGACAGAGTGCTGCAAGGGAAAGCATGCCCCAAAGGTTTGAGCTTGTTCGGACCATCCAAACTATGCAGCATCACATGCATTGAACTCCATGGCCTCACCAATGGAGTAGCCGTTCCATTCATCTCGCCCAGAAAAACTGGTGAGGCTCGCAGAATGAACATCGAGACCACCTGGGTCGCACTATGGTGCCCCGCCATGCCGCCATGCCGCCATGCCGTGCAGTTTGAGGCGGCTACGACACGGTGCCCTGCAAATTTTCGATTCTGTGCTTTCACCAGCTTTGCAACCTCAAGGAATCACATCTTCTGAAGCTTAATGAGTCTCTCAGCTCTCTCTCTCCGACCTCCTCCCGGAGTTTGTCGGTTTGCCCAAGCAGAGCCTCGAAGTTAAAATTCAGCCGCACGTGCGCATGGTCAAATGAGAAGTCTCCGGGATTCCACTCAAAACGGCAAAATGAGGCTGTGAAGCAAGCATGGCCAGTCGCCTTGGTATCCTGCTTGAGCAAGGAAGATACCTTGGCATCTTGCTTGGGCAAATGCGAGGAACGGTTGCCCTCTCTGAAACCAGCAAACCTGCGACAATGGCAGCCACGGAAGAGCTCAGCGGTGCGACGCATTGGAACTCGAGCCATGCACTCAGAAACTTCTCAGTGTATGGCAATTTGCTATCAGCCTCGCCCGACGAGCTCTTAGTGCCAAGGCGCGGATGCGACGTCTTCTTTGGCAGCATCCACCCAATCCAGAGCTTGCTTTGAGCTCGTGAAGCCTGAGCCCACTGCCAGCCCCGAAGCCCCGAAGCCCTCGGGCAAACGCGCGTCTGAGCGCCTGGCCAGCTGCCCGCGTCCACGGCGCGTTTTGCCCGTTCAGTTGCTTGCGGAGAGCTGCCTGAAGTGCTTTTTGCCCAGGAGCCTCTCGGCCTTTTCCATCTCCTCCCGCCCTCTCCCCCTGCAACCCTCCCACCCCCTGACGGGCCCCCGCCTCGGCCCTGCCAAGCGCCGCGAAGCGACTGTCCGTGTCGCCCAGGTCCTGACCCGCCGAGCCACCCGCCCGGAGCCATCAGCCAGCCCGGCACCTCGAGTACCTGCTGCGTGTGCTGCATGAGGTCGTGCGTGCGGCTCAGCGGCAGTGGCTCCTCAGGCGGGGCCAAACCTCGTACCCTCCCGGGGTCCCAGGCGCAAGGCGTTCTAAGGCCCGCTCGTGCCAAAATTGCACTTCCAGGGCCCAGCTGGCTTTCCGCAGCGTGTGCTCACTCGGAGCATGAACCTATCGGAAAAGCAGACAAGATCATACAAGCACTGCATAAACAAGCACCGGACTTGACACACGAAGGCAAGTGCGGCAAGAGCTTGCCTCAATGGCAGAGAGAGTGTACTCGTCGAAGTCATGGTAGCCCCGACCGACCTGAACCTGGGAACATCGCAAGTGGGCATGAAGCCGTGATGGTTTCGTTGCTGTGCGCAAAGCGCGCAGTTCGCACCTTGCCCACGGAGTGCCCTCCTTTGAAGCGAATGCGAGGAACGCCATCCTCCTCTATCCCAGCCCGCTCAACATCCTGAGACATCGAGGCTTGCCCACATGCGTTCTGAGGTTCCCTCTTTCTTCCCTACTCTCGCTTCGCTGCTGGACTGCTATCTCTGATGGGTCCTGAAGCCGCCATGGCGGATACTGAAGACGAATCTGGAAGTCGCCTGATGCTCAGCGAGTGAAAGCCCGTCCTGCCCACAACCCAGGCAAGAGCCACATGCCATAAGTTGTCAAGTCTCTGCTGACTGCATTCGTCGGCTCAATGTCGATGGGAGACTGGAAATGTCCCTCGCAAAGCTCGCCCCACGAGCTGTCCTGACTGCTAATCGGACTTACCCAATGTCCACTCGGCTCAACTGGCCTGACGGGTGTAGTCCCATGATCTGGTCTGTCCACGAGCCTTTGAAACACGGCTTTCTTTGGTAGGCTTCGCAAAGCAGGCATGCAAGTCATGCAAGTAATGCAAGTAATGCAAGTAATGCAAGTCAGCCCTGCCTGGGTCAACAGAGACAGAAGCACTATCATGAGGTGTCGCGGATCGGCGAAAGCTCATCGGGATGCAGTGAGAATTGATAAACACACATAGCTACCTGCCAAATTTTAATCCGTGTGTGTGTGTGCGCTTGTTATTGAGCTATCTTATTGTGGCTCACGACCCAAATCCATTAGAACATAGTATGTCGGTTCCTTGCTCCGTGTGCGTATTGGCCTGCTTTTGGAAAGGTGTGTGTGTGTGTGTGTATGTGCGTGCTTCCTCTCTCTTTCTGTCGTTGGCCGTTTGATCTGCCCGAGATCATAGACTCCAGACTCTCGCTCAAACCGCGGCACAGAGCGGCAGGCCAGCACAATGGAAACGCCGAAGGAATTGGGCTGTTGCTCTCCGAAGTCAAGGTGTCCGCGGGAAGGGCAAAGAGCGCAGCGAGAGCTCCCAGCCTCCCGCGACCAACCGGTCCACGAAGGCTTGGGTCGTGAGGCTGTTGGTCTCACCCCAGGACCTCATAGCCAGCGTCAAACGGGTTCAGTCGGTGAAGTTGCGAGGTGATTCAGACCCTCCAGGCAGCATGGCGTGTAGGGCTGGTCAACGGCCCCGATGTAGACGCGATACCCAGTCACGGGAACCTAAAGGTCTGCCATTGGAAAATGCACACGTCTCACATGTTCCAGGTTCTAGGTCCCCCCGGGAAGTGGATGTCGAGGTTGGTAGGGTTGTTTTGTTTGGTTCAATTCGGCCGGGTCTGGAGTTAGCTGAGGGTGTGGCATGCCATTGGTCAAGCAGCATGCACATGCACACGGAAGAGGAACAAGATCTCTAGGCTCCGCACCCCTCCGCTGAGATCGCTCGGCACCCCGAGCCAACCCAGCTGGATGCCGCTGGTGGACATGGAGACGATCTGGAGCCCGATGACCTGACATGACACAACTGACGTCGCATACATCGCATACATCGCGTCTCGACATCTCGGCACGGCTGGCCCCCGCCTTTGCCGGTGCTTCCGCTGCAACGACACTCATGGTGGCCGTGCTGGGCGAAACCCCGACCTTGAAACATGTGACACATGCCACACAGCTTACGCGCCTCAAAAGCCTGCACGTATCCTGAGACAAACACAAGGCTTAGGACCCTCCAAGTTACGAGCTTTAAACTCATGCTCCAATTCTACTCATGGGCTTGCCTTGCAGGCCGGAAGTTCTCCGCCCCCGGTTGCCTGTTTTCCTCCGACACGGCAAAACATCAAGGCCAGTTGAGCCTGGCCAACAGCCGAGAGACGAGGCCATCCTTTCCCATCTATTCCTTTCTCATGCTTCTTTCTCTTTCTTGTTTCCTCGCTTTTTGGATTGCTTCGTCAACAGGAAAGAAGCGAGACAAGGAAAGTGAGGGAGAAAGGGAAAGAGATGGCGTGTGGATGGGTGATCCTTTTCTCCTCACCCTTCCGTCTGGTTCCTTCGTTCATCTCACCCTATCACCCATCTCTGGGACCGTAGAACCCTTTTACCCGCTCCCTCTTCCCTCGGTCACTCCAAACGGTTTCACGGATATCCTTGGCAGTGAGGTGGGATGAGTCTTTCGGTAGACGAAGTGAGTTAGCGAATAGACGAAGCAATTCACCCCACCTTATCACCGTTCCCTCGCATCCTCAGTCACTTCTCTTTCCTAATGTTGGGTCTCTCGGAAATCAACTGACGAGAGATAGACCCAACCAAGCAAAGGAAAGTATCAAGTACGGCAAGTGGAAGCCCCTTGGTCACAATTGAGACATTAGGCACTATCCATCAGTACTACGCTTTCAAGATCCCCTGGCTAAACATCCGCAAGCCGGATTCCAAGTACGTCATGATGGGATCAGCATGTGCAATGGGAATGCTGCACTGACAAATGATAATACTTGCAGCATGCATTTGTGCCAACTACAAACAACCGTGTGTGTGTGTGTGTGTGTGCCTGTGTATGTGTGTCTCTTCATGTGTGGGATCATGCTTTGAACCCAACATTTTAGTGGGGTGTGCTTGCCTTGGATCTTACTATGCGTCGTATGTGGAAAACATGTGAGCTCATGTTGTGAAAAGCATGTAAGGCATTTGTTCAACAGAGGTCAAAAACAGAAACCGATCCAAAGCAAGCCTCGCGATGATATGCCAGCATCTTGAAAAAATGTCGAGTGGCTGCGCGAGGCATCTGCGGCTTGCACAGACGCTTCGATTCATTCGTGATCTGGGGAGCGCGCGCGCGTCTCCGCCAGGACACTGAAGGTATATGTCTGGCAGCGCATGCAGAGCTTGAGCAATTCCCGAGAAAACGTGACTGTGGCTCAAAAATCCGGTACCAAAATGGGTTGCCCTGGTAAGTAGAAACATGGACCAAAACCTGCGTAACCCCCCCTGTTTAATTTTGAGCCACACCCACTTGACAGCAAACTCCAGACCCTCAACTCGTGCGCCTGCGCTGGCACCACCATGGGTAGCGAGTACCTCAGAGAAGCTTGCCACACCTGTTGCTGACTGGGCCACCTTGGCCCCTGATTCTCTCGCGTGCCCACAACATGAGCACCACTGTGCCGCTGGCTCTGCATGTTCCTGTGTGGCAGCCACCGCGCCATCCTGGTGAATAGGCCGGGAACGCAGAGCGAACCAAGCGCATGGTGCCACTCAGTCCTGAGTCACCCTGTAAGCCGTGATCGGACAACCGCCTGAAACGGGAATTCTCAAAAGTCTAGCGCCTTGAGTCCGGGCTTGGCTTTGGCCCGGACCATCTGCGAGCGGGGCTGACCAATGGACTGTGACTCCCAGGGTTGACCTGAGCACAGCCCCAGCATGGCAGACGCGGAGACGTTGCTGGAGGAAGACAAAGGGCTCAGCCTGGACTTCACCGTGAAGTTGCTTGGCACAGACGGCCTCAGCTTGGTGCCATAGGCACCAGCCCGCAATCTTGTTTCATTCCATGCTAGAGGGGAAATCAAAAGGAAACCGTTGCCATGGGAGGATTCAAGTTTTGAGAAACACCTAGGTGCGGCCTGCGGCCATGGCCGTGCTGAGGTGGTGGCAGAACACAGGCAGCTGCTTCTCTCGCCGCACTGCGCTGGCCCTCACCTGTCTCTTGGGATGCCGTCCAAAGCCTTCAAAATCCAAATGGGAAGCTGGTTTCAAAATAGAGGACACCCGTCCCTTTAACACGTACCCCACAAAGAGTACCCTTTGAAAAAAAAAGGATGCCCAATACTAGGGTTCGATTGATTGACCAACAGCATAGCATTTGCCACATTGAGCTGCCACTGCTTGGGGCAAAGCCAATGTGGTTCACCGCAGATACCCGGAAGTAATACACGGTGCCAGTGGAGAGCATGGCCTGGGCAGTCGCTGAGTTGCCATTTCGCTTGCCAACTCGCCAACTCGCCAACTCGCCAACTCGCCAACTCGCCCACTCGGCTCGCGCCTTGGTGAAAGCCGTGTCCGGGCCATTGTAGATCTCTTGGTACACCTTCAGAGCTTTACGTGCCAAGCAAACCTTTGCTCCGTGAGGAGATGACTCCACCATCCAATGGGCCAGACATGTAGAGCCGGAAGCTCCTCGGCAATTTGGAGTGCAAAGTGTGGTTTTGAGTCGAGCAAATGCGGCCAGGCAGCAAAATTTCAGATCCCAAAGGGGAAGGCGGGGCCCACCTCGAAAGTGCTTCTACGAGTCATAGCGATAGCCACAGCCAGTCATGGGCCATAGTCAAAAACAAAACGTCATTGCCCTATGGCCATCATGAGCAACTTGGGCTCTTGGCTCCACGGTCAGTGATGTCAAAGCCCGTGATGCGATGATGGGCAGGCCGGGAGCCGCAGGGGCATCTCGGGAGACGCATATCCTGCCTTCGGCCTTCAGCCCTCGCAATGCCGTCAAGCCCTGCCAGCCCATTTGAGTCACAATCAAAACCCGGTAGTAAAACGATCTACCCAGAACCAGGTAAAGGAGTAAGAAGGCGGCCGCAACCATTTATGGTTGGGATTGCCCCTTTCTAACCTTCATCTATACCCGGGCTTTCATTGTGACTCATTTGAGGCCTTGAAGTGCACCGAGTCCTTCCCTTTTTTTCCTCTATACACCACACAAAGGCTGCCCTGGTTCCGAGGCCCGCACTTCCAGCCCGAATCGAGGCCGAAGCTGGAGATGGCTGCCTTGAGAACATCAACAGAGAGAGAGAGAGAGAGGAAAATACAAGTACCAATGCAAAGAGAGAGAGAGAAAGAGAGAGAGAGAGAGAGAAAGCAAAAGGAAAAACGAAAGCAGAAATCGTTTGACGCGGTCAGAGCAGCACCCGACGCCGATGAAGTTCACGGCGCGAACGTTGTAAACGTAGTCCTCACCGGAGCTGACCTCAAAATAGAGTAGCAAAACACGCAAGCGTTAGTGCGTGGAGGATGACGAGAGATGAAAGAAACGAGGCTGCTTTCCAACACAGGCTCAAGGCAGGCAAGAGACGTGAGGTAAAACTAGGGTCGTTTCAAGACGGTGGCCTCGTGCTTCTGCACAGCTAAGGCGATGGCTCCCAAGTCTGTGTAAGTTCGTGCCAAGGGATCCTGAGCGTGAGATTGCGTTCCGCATATTGAACAGCAGCAACACTTGCAGGAATCCACCGCATAGATGGCATGCACACAAATCTCCCTGAAGCAGTCCTCCACTTCTTCCACCAGCGGTGCCATGATGGGGACAGTGGACCAAACACCAGCCTAAGGAAAAAGAAAAGAGGCACTTATGCCATGGCAACCAGTGGCTTTCTTGCCAGCATGCCCTCGGTCTCCAGGCGACTCCTCCGACGGCGGCCTCAACGTAAACCAGCGCCTGGTAGCTGTGACCTGGAAAACTCTCCGCGAAAAAACTTCGATGCCGACCGGGCGGCCTGGCACCAGATCGCAGTCGTCAAGCTCCAGCGATTGCCTGGAGTTGTCGATCAGCATCTCGGAGGGCTTGCAACCTCAAAGCAAACGCAATCGTTGAACATTCGCATGCGCAGCCCTCAGATTCTCGCCAGCTCCACCCACAGAATTCTGCAAGAGTTTGGCCTGAACTTTCAAACTTTCAAGCTTTCAAATCAGCTCGCAAATGATTCCAAGGGCCTCCGCAGCACTGGCCGGCTGTGTCCCAACCTGTCCGGCACGCCAACCGATCTCGCGCACCGTGCTCCCGGTTACCTCCAGAACCATCGCCCAGGCCATGCCGCTGGCTGCATAGGCTGTGAAGCCAAGGGTAACCTCAAGCTGTGCATCTGCGCTATGTATGGTTCCGGGAAATGTCAATCACAAGCTTAGCCCCAGAGGGTCCCATTGCGCTTTTGGCTTGCCTTGATTCCCGTTGACAGCTGATTCACGCGAAAAAAAACAGGTTGAGGGCGGGCTGGGGCCCACACGCCATCCGAAGTGACGTTTGAGACCGGCAGCCTGGGGGCAATCGTGCTCAAGCTGCAAGACCTGTCTGGAACAAAGCCCTGTTGTCACCTTTTTTAGCATCATCTCCGTGCTGTGCTGAGGCTGCAGCGGGACTTCAACGAAGTAATTGCTGATACTGCTTGGAACCACCTTGCGAGAACAATATAATTCAATGGCTTGGGGCTTGGCCGGCAAAGAGCTTGAGCCCACCACTGTCAGAATGTTTGCCATTGAGCCGTCGTTCAAGCCGTTCATGTCCTCTTGTTCACAAGAGCTCTTGCTGCTCCACCCCTGCACAATGTCGGCTGTGAGTTTGTGTCAGAGCGGCTCCTCCACGTAGAGCACTGTGCTGTACTCAACGGAAGGCACAAGACCTCCAGTTCCAGTAGCAGCTTGCTTTTCGTTGCAAAAAGTGAACAGTGTAAGATCCGGGCCACAGCCGGACAGGCTCCAGTACAGCATGCTGGTCTGAACAAGCACCATATTCTTGACTGCCAAGCTATGGGTTGGGGCCCGGACGCCAATGTTGACATCGTCTTGCCGGCAGCTGGCAGTGCCAACTGCATAAGTTGCTGCCTCAGGCCCGGCACCGGTGCCATTGATCACAAAAGCAACGATGGTGCCTTGATGTCCGCTACAGTAGCAATGGCTGCATTGTTGAGGAGCATAATCTGGGCCTCAGCAATCTGCAAGTAATTCCTGATGATGACTGCAGGCTCAACTGGGAAGCGGCACACTGGGACCTGCACCCAAGCTCGTCCGATCACCGCCCCGGCAGCAAAGGAGAAGGACACGTCACTGGTCTGAAAGCACATGCATGCGACAAATACCCCCACGGCATCCCGGGCGGCAAGTGCTCTACGTGCTGTAAGTGCTGTAAGCGTTGCGCCTTGGGAGTGCTGGTCAATATCATCGGTGTGGCCAACCAGTTTGAAGCCGGCACAACAAATATGATGACCTGCGCACCCAAAGGTCTCCAGACTCTCCGTATACAAAGCAATGCCTCGCCAAGGGTGCCATCCTGATTGCCGTTGTTGTCTTCAACATAGACTGAGACCTGACACACAGGCCACTCTTCATTCCGAGGAACAGCTCGCCAGCCTCGTAGCTGTGGCCCTTTGTTAGGTTGCACCTTTGCTTTGAATCTAGCAGCACATGCTTCGCATGCAACATGATGGGATCCGCACCAGTCGAACACCATCGTGTGGATACCACGAGTGACGGTGTCAGCCTCAATCTGGCACGAAGGACCTGCACAGGTCCGACGGGTCACTGGCGCAGCCAAATCTGCGGGTCAATCAACGCAACCGTGAGAGATTGTACCACTCTTGCAAAACGTCACCTATCTTTTGCAGAGAATTGGTAAGCAACAGGCCTCCGACGGCAATTGCCTCAGTACGCTTGAAAGTAATATTGCTCGTCTTGTCCCCCATGGACAACTGCGTTATTCTCCATGATCTGTTGGCTTGACCCAGGAACCTTTACTTTCGTGACAATAAAAAAATATGTCAAGAAGCTGGGTTGTTGTTGCGAATGCAGTCGACGCCCATGTACGGGTGATGATCGTAGTTGATGATTCGGCCCCAGACCTCGCTTCGTGTCACGAGGCCAGCACACACATATCCTGCACCCTGGGCCTTCCCCGACTTGGCCACCTCGTACTGAAGAGAGCAACCATACGGGCTGACGTCGCCCATCATGACCACCTTGGAAAAACAACAAAAATAATGGCAAAGACTCGAAAGTTGAGGATGGAATCTATGGATTCGATTCCTTGGCGTCCCGCTGGTGACACGAAGGAGTTGGAGGTTGGAACTTGCAGCGACAGGTCCCTGCACAAGACGCCGCAGATGAAAGCACAAACTCTGGGCGTCGGGTCTGAGCAGCTGTCATGGACAGGAAACCGTCGTTGGAGTTGGTCGTGTCCTGGCCCAGCCCATCTCGAAAGGTGCGCCTTGCAATCCCGAAGTGCCAAGTTTGAAGCCTCCGAGTAAGCGATGAGCTTGTGCTCGGCCTTCAGGGTACTTTGGCGGGAGCAACTACCCAGCACAGCCTAACTACTCCAACGTAGCGACAAATCGGGGTTGAAGGACCAATACAAAGTTTATTTTCGGTAGATAACCTGAGCTAAGGGGAGCAGCAGAACCTGCCGAGCCCCAGAAAAAGGAATGCGTTGGCTAAGTAAGCCTTTCCAAAGAGACAGAGAGGGAGAAAGGGAGAAAGGGAGAGAGAGAGAGGGCGCAGAGAGGGCGCAGAGAGGGCGCAGAGAGGGCGCAGAGAGGGCGCAGAGAGGGCGGAGAAAGGGCGGAGAAAGGGCGGAGAAAGGGAGGGAGGGAGGGAGGGAGGCAGACAGACAAAGTCAGAGGCACACTCCCCACGGCATTCAGCAGGATGACACAGTTGGTGGCTTGTGCATACAAACAGACCTTGTTGCCTTGTCGAGCCCAAAGGAGGGGTCTAAATCGGGCGTCCAAACTGAGGTGTGCACGCCAATCTCCAGGTTGCACCCTGCAAGCGTGACTTCCAGCTCCGCGGTGCTCGTCAAAGTGACCTCCCGTCCAAAGTGACCTCATGCCTATCCTCTCCATGCCTACCCAGCAGCCTCTCCAGACTGGCAGCCATCGCAGCCACTCTTCACATCCTCAGCCCATGAGCATGGCAGGCATAGCCGTGGAACCCACCCGAGCCATCCACGGTCACGGTCATGCTTGTAGCATTTTCAGCCCGCACCACGCATGCCCAGGCCTTGCCTGGCACGTGATTGAGTCGCTCGACAGTGCGGAACGTCACCGGCCTGTGGCAGCGCTGCCTTGGAACTTGGTTTTCACCTGGTTGGTGGAAGGCACCTTGGCTGAGCAAAGGCAGGAAGCTTTGAAGTGCCTCGAAAGCCACCAACCTCCGTCAGGTATGGCAACACCAGGAAGTTGTTGGAAGGCCTAACGGTCTAACGCCCACAATGTGCCCTGCTCCGCTGTTGGCAATGGGTAACCCAGCCAGCTTAGTGCGACGCTCAATCCTCAAGGGCACCGCCGCAGAGAGGGCGCCGTCATATCCACCAGCTTGGTTGGCCACGTAGACCAGCACAGCATAGTTCCAGCCTGAAACTCAAAAAACGCTCAGACACTAGCTACACTCGCTCTCCAGCCCCACCAGCTGTGAAGCTGCAAGAGGACACCGGGTAGACCGTGGCGCCACTCCCGGAGATCGCGCTCGCAGCAGTGCCTGCGGAGAACCGCTGCAAATGTGCAGTCAGACAGAGCCACTGCTTTGAAGGTGCTTCGCTTTTGTGCAATACAGCCACTGACTTGGATCTGCGCAAATGGCTGTGGAGCCGGTCACGACAGTCATGATATCCGTGGATCTCGGAGCTTCAGCGCTGCACGCACTGGCCAACTCACGAACCGTCTCGTAACCGTCTCGGCCGAAGGAGCTCGGAGCTCCTGTCTGAGATTCTGACGATGCCTCGTTCGCCGGGATGGCAATGATCCAGGCCAGCCCTGCATTCGCGGCCTCGAGTCACAGAATCTACAACTCCCCTTCTCTCGGATTGGATCGGACTCTAAGTGAATAACGGAGAAGGACACGCTGAAGCTGTTCGTGGTCACTGACGCAGCTACCAACGAGGGCACCTGCATGGTGAGAGCCGTGCAGGTGCAGCGGAACTCCGGCAGCGCGCCTCAAGGAAGTAGTTGGATCTGCCAGGTATCACCGGCCTAAATTAAATCTCGGCAAGAAATCTAAAAGCAGCGGGGGTTGGGGGGAGGCGGCAGCCCCCGCCCATGATGTTTGAAGAAGTGATGACTCAAACAGGGGTCCAATCAAATCTTTGCAAACAATCCAAAAAGTTGCGGGGGGGTTGGGGGGGGGGGGGGGGCGGCCCTCCATGATGTTCGAGGAAGTGTGATTCAACTAGGGGTGCAATTAAGTCTCTGTAGAAAATTTGAAAAGTAGTGGGGGGTTGCGGGGGCGGCAGCCCCCCCCCATGATGTTCGAAGAAGTGATGAGTCGAATAGGGTGCAATGATTCAAGAAAGGGTGCGATATAATATAACAAAGCAGCGGGAGGGTTGGCGGGGGTGGCTTCCCCTATGATTTCGAAGAAGTGCACACATACAAACATACATAGATTACAGAGATTGCACAGATTACATAGATTGCATAGATTGCAGAAAAAGTTGAATTTTACAGCATTTTCTCGCGAAGTTGGATGCTCGAAAAAGTGATGAACCAAATAGGGGTGCAATTAAATCTCGGCAAGAAATCTAAAAAGCAACGGGGGTTGCAGGGGAGGCGGCAGCCCCCGCCCATGATGTTTGAAGAAGTGATGATTCAAATAGGGGTCCAATCAAATCTTTGCAATCAATCCAACAAGTTGCGGGGGGGGTTGGGGGGGGGGGGGCGGCAGCCCCCATGATGTTCGAAGAAGTGATCATTCAAATAGGGAGGGACCGGTGATGCTGAGGATGTGGGAAGCCAAAGCCAAAAACCAATGAACCGAAGAGGAACTGGGAAAGCAGAGGATGTGAAAAGCCAAAGCCAAAAAGCCACCAAAAGCCGCGAAGCCAAGAAGCCGAAACGGCCGAAAAGCCAAGAAGCCAAGAAGCCAAAAGCGGGGGGGAAAAACAAACGAGAAAGAAAAAGAAGAAGAAGAAAAACCTAAAATAAATACCCCTCCCTCTGAAAAAGACCCCTCGCATTGCAAGCATCGTCGGAGGACTTCAAGCCAAGACGCGAAACCAGGCCATCAGTTGCATTGTCTTGGGCCTGGCACCCAAGATTCTAAGGTGAGTCAGTATTAAAATGGTCTACCCAGAACCATGTAAAGAATTAAGAAGGCGGCCGCACTTCTGGCTGGGACTGCTCCTTACTAACCTTCATCTACCCGGGTTTTGTGGCTCAGGTGGAAGGTTGGGCCGGCAAAACCACACCGCATGGTCCAGGGCCCGATGCACCAAGCTGGAAACCAAATCCCAAATCAAAGCTTGGGATCAAAGCCCGCCTCGAGGGTGACGCCTCACCCGACGAGAATTGAAATCTCTTCAAAATATTGCAGGGCCAAACCCATACTGCAACTAAGCTGTCAGCCATATGCCAGCAAGGTTGCAGCTGCCAAAGAGCCTCAAGAGCAGCTCTTCCAGAGCTGGGACAAAGTGGTGCGACTGGCCCATGCTGCCAAACCAAGCAAGCAAACTATTTTTGGTCAGACTCGCCCTCATTCACGTTCGGCAAGAGCGTTTGGTACAAGCTGTCTCTCCAGCTGGTGCTCTGCATTCCTGGCAGCTTGAAATTGTAAACCCCCTTTCGAAGGAGTGGGAAGTTCCCGGCTGAAGTCACCTGAGGTAATGCGTTGCCTAAGAGTCTCAACCGTCTCCTCCCGGGAGAACACAACCACTTCCCACAGCTCATCGTCTGGCTTCCACTGTATCCTCCTGCTCTCTCTGCTCTCTGCTCGAGTCGCTCGCGGTGATCCGTCCACAAGCTCCACAACCAACATGCGCTGGTGCAGGAAGGAACCGTTCAGTCGCTCCACGGCACGCGCTGCATCTTCCCTGGAAGGAAGCAGAGCGAAGGCGGTTCCGCAGGACCTCCTCCGGCGGCTCTCCCGGGGAAGGGTGATCTTCAGAGCCGTGAGCTCGATGTCTTGCAGCAGCTGCTCCACATCGGCCTCCGTGCTTTCCTCGGCCAAGCCCGACAAGGTGACGCTGCAGCCGATGGTCACCTCCTCCGGCTGCTGCAGCGAGCCTCGCGAGTTCACCAGGTTGCGGCCCAAAAAGGCGATGCTCTCCGCGTTCATGTTCTGGAAGATGGACGGGTGCTTGCGGAGGAAGTCCAGGATGCCGGGCCGCTCCATCAGGACCCGGGCGATGCGCGGGTCCAAGCCGCGGAGCTCTGCAGGCGTCTCCTCCGGCGAGGCCCCCGGCAGCGTATCCAGTGGAGGCGTCCGCGGCTGCGCGCCAGCCGCGCTCGACGAGCTCACCGCACGGGCCGCTCCAGGCTGCACGCCCGCCCCCTGTGCCCCACTCGGGCCTTGCGGTGCTTGTGGCGCTTGTGGCGCTTGTGGCGCTTGTGGCGCTTGTGGCGCTTGTGGCGCTTGTGCTGCTGGTGCTGGCGGTTGCAGCCTCGGACCCTGAAGAATTACGTCAGGTTCGGCATCCAGGTCTACGGGACCTGGCAGATTCACCTCTGCAAGGCGAGGCTTTTTGGCAGGAGGGGCCAAGAAACCCGCAGAAGACCACCGGTCTAGCAGCGCTGAAGCCTGCTCGCAATTCTGCTGAACCTTGTCCTGCTTTTGAATGGCTTCCACAGCAGGAATGATGTTGGACTTGCGAAGATCCGGCAAAGTCACAGGCAGCTTCTGGAGAACAGTCAAACAAGCGTACCTTGCCTCAGGGTTTCTTCGCAGCCACTTCTCCAGGATGTCCAAGCCACCGCTCGCGAAGTGCAGCATGCAATGTCTTGGGGACTGATCCAAGGCGACGAGGCATCCAAGTCTCATGCGGTCGGTGGGGGCACTGCGCATGGCTGCGAGCAGGCGCTTGGCGTCCTCGGGAGTCGCCATTGGCCTCACCTCGGCCGCCTCCGCCTTGGCGGCAAGCCCCGCGCCAAGCCCGCCCGGCCCGCCCGGCCCGGCCGGCCCGGCCGGCCCGCCCGGAGCCAGTCCCCCGGAGCCGGTGCTCGAGTCGGAGACCCAGCCATGCTTCAAACGCCCCGTCTTGTCAAGGACACGCTGGTGCAGGCCGCAAAGAAACTTGGGGCGACGCCGTCGATTCTTGCACTGGGCCTTGGAGCCCTCCAGTGCCAGACATCTGTCCTCTGGTCCCAACGCTTTGGAGTCCGTCTCATCTGGCTGCACGTCTGGCACGTCTGGCTGCACTGGCTCGTCCTGTTGAGCAATGCGCTCCCGCTCAGCGGCTTGCTCCTGCTGGAACCGCATTCGCCATCTCTGAATGAGCTGCCTGGCTTTGCAAGCGGCATCGCTGTGGGGAAGGCGCTTGGCGAATGAATTCAGAACTTTGCCCACATGCGTCCGCGCAAGCACATCTGTGGTGATGTCAAGTTCGGCCAGTCGCTCAAGTGGCGGCACAGCCTCTTCTGCTGAAACGACTTTGCCGAGGAAGTCACACCAATGCTGCACTTCATCAAGTAACGACAACCGCTTCAGGTTGGAAGCCTGGATAGCTTTTAGCTCCGTAGCCCCGTTGATCAGTTGCACCTCATAGCGCTTTGAGTTTGCAACAAAGCGCTTTACTACGCCAACAATGCCGTTTAAATGTGCCGCGCCGGTCAACCCCACAATCTGCACAGGCACTCCAGCTTCATATCCGTCGGAGGTAGGACTTTGCGCGACCATCACACTGCAGTGCAAATCATCTGAACATCAATGGCTTGTTGTACAGCCTTGCAACCTCGCCCGCTTTGCCCGTTGGCACTGACAAGTTAACAGTTATCTGTGCGGTGTTTGTTGCATTAGGAAAACGCATGCCCCAGGCGTGCTTGTTGGCGGGGTCAAATTGCAAACTGTGCTACATTGACTTGCTCAAGCTAAACATACACACACACACACACTTGCCAGGTGCGCAAGCAAGAAAGCTGTGCCAACAAATGCTGTCTGATCTGACTACTGCTTGGTCTTGTACACAATTGCGCTGGCTGAAAAGCCAAAGGCTGACTTAGCTGAGTTCAGACTTGCAAGTGACGTGAATGGCACACGGAGCTAACTCTGCTGATGCAGTGCTGCGCGCCATCGTCATGCCAGCCGGCATCTGCCACGTATACCTGACAACAATGCCGAGCAAAAGAAGGAGGCCATGTGAAGGTGTAATCTGTGTGTATGCAAGTCAACAAATTTGTTCCTAGGTGGCTTACCATGACGGCGTAGTCCATGGAGTAGGACAATGTGCAATCCATGGTCACCCTTGCGCCAGCTCAGAATTGCTTGCCGCACAAACTGGTCAGAAGCGCTAACTGGCTGGGGCAGGCAATGATGCTGAGAGGCTGGCTGTTGCCTCAGCAACAGGAACGCTTTCACAGCGCCTCTAGAATCCGAGCTTGCCTTCAATGCTTCTCATGAAAGCATGAAATGTTGATATCACCACGCCAAGGATCAGTGTAGTGTCAATGTCGATGGTGCTCTGGCAGAGGGAGCCGCCCACCGCACCGCTGCCATCCCTGTGCTTGGCATAGAAAGCATAAAATGCGTACGAGGCATAGAAAGCAGAAGAAAAAAAAGAAAACAACAAAAAGTGCAAGGCGTAGGTCGCATATCTTGGTAAAACAGCCGAGGGCAGTGCATCACGGAGGTCGCAGTGGCAGAACCTGTCAGAGATGCCTGACCTGAATAACCTATCTCGCTCGCTTGGGCCTATAGACCCTGCATCCAAGACGATGATCCAGGCTCTTCCAGCAGTGCTGGCCGTGAAGTTCACCCAAACCTCACAACGCATCGGAACACCCTACCAACAAACTGCTATGCGCCTCAGTCTCGGCTGAGGCGTTGCGAGATGCCACGGGCAACTCTGTGAACGTGTTGGAAGTACCTGTTCGTCACTCCAAGCAATCCAACCTGCACATGCCAGTGGCCCAAACTCGTTGCAGCCTGGGGGTGTCTTGATCTTGGTGAAGTGCAAGGTTCCGTCCGTGCGAAGCTGCGTGTCCTATCGTGACCCCGGCTTCATGCATCGCGCATACAAGTTTGCAGCGTCCTCCAAGTATGTCACCAACTGGTAGGCCGTCCCGTGACGCAACTGGCAGTCTGAAAGAGCCACGGGCACCTGCCGGTCACATGGCATGGCATGAAGAGCCGCATGGACATCATTGCCTGGCTGAGCGTCACCACTGAGTTTCCACCAACAGTGCTCTGCCCATCAACTTGGCAATTGGAACCTAGGCAAAAAGGCTTGGGGCGCTATGGTCATGTTGTGTCTATGGCGCTCCACCAGTAGTGCATATTGTGCGCCCTTCCGATTTGGCCGGCTAGACTTTTTTAACCCCGCCCTTTCTGGAAACACAGACTTACGCACAAACTGATCAGCGGAGCCTGGCAATGTTGTCAGGATGTGGTGGCGAATTGGCGAATTGCAACAGCTTGCTGACCTCAACCCCCTCTTGTCCTCCAGTCCCTCAGCTCACTTCGGCAAAATGGGCAAGCCGGCAAGCAAGCGGACGTGCGGCCCTATTGTAGCTGGCTCGGTCTCTGAACGGCTGGAGCAAGCGAGAATTCTGAGGTCATCTTACAGCTGTGGGAAAGATTGACAAAACTGGAGTATCCCAACCGCGTCTCAGCTCTATATGCTTTGCCGAAAGCGCTTCTTCTCGATTTGGCTCGGGTACGCCGATAAGTCAAGGGCCGAAGCACACAAGTACTCAGCAGCATGTTGGATTGTCAGGCCGCAAACTTCACGCCGAGCTTGCGACAATGGGATTTGCTGGCAAAGCACTGCTCCCTTGCAGCTGCTTCGTTACGTTTGCCATGTTCTTTCGTGCCATTTCCTGGACACTTCGGTAGATTGACTGCTTCGCTTTTGCATCGGAACACTTCGCCCGCACGCAAGCCCGGCATTACACCTCGCCTCTGTGCCCCCAAGCCATCTGCGTGTTTTGCGTGCAGTGTGCGAAAGGACCTACGGCCCTGTGCCTTTCCACAAAGCGCACCGTGCATCTTACGCTTGCCTTTGGGGCCCGCACCTCCCAAGGCGCCAGTCAGATTAGTCGCTGCTGCTCGGCTCACATAGGCCGCCTGCGCATCTGTGACCACCTGGCCAGTCTTGGCACAGAAGTCCATCAAAGAAGCGAACTGTGGCCAGGGAGCACCATGGCCCAAAGATGTCCGGCCACCACTGCAGCAGCTCCTTGGTCTGTTGCCTTTCGGGCATCGGATGTCGAACACTCTGCATGTTCCTGTTCGCGTCCGGCCTCCCCAGTGAACTGGAACGCTATGTGGGAGGTCAGCTCCGATGCCGTCTAAGTCATACATCTTATGAGCATAGCTCTAAGACTCCAAGACCCGCACATCAGTCACATCAGTCACATCAGCCAGTCTTTCAAGGGCCTGAGGCCCCCGCCAGTGCTGGCTCTGACTGGAACTTCATGGAGACGGGCGGCACCTGTTGCTCACGACAGACCGACGTACGTTGAAAATGAATGAAAATACCTGCAACTTTGAGGCGTGACAAAGCTGCACAAGCGAGTTTCGGCACTCAGGCTCACACGAGCACCGTTACTGGTGTTGATGCTTGTCCGTCCGTCTGGGCAGCGTGAAAGAGCTTGACCCCACTTGAAATGGACATGAGCTATCGCCGACCTCCAAGTCACACAACATGTGGGACTCGTTGTATCCAACAACTGAGCAAGGCACGTAGGTTGAGTTCAAGCCCTCCACATAAACGAATGCCTGCAATGAGCAGAACTCTGCAGCTGCCAACGAAGCACAGATGGAGTCAGAGATGCTAGCAACTCAGCAAGTTCCGCCGCATGGCACCTTGTAAGACACTCCTCTTTGCAACGCACATTGTGTCATTGCGATGGTCTCGGCTGTCGCACCTCAGGCAAGGCAATGGAAAACTGAAAGTGGAGGCTCTGAGCGTCTGAGCGCCGCACCGATGATTTGACTCTGAACATGACAAAGTGCACTTCCCAACGAGTAGGTGCCAACCTGGCGCTGGTCGAAGCGGCTGAGCACATTCGCTGCGGGCTTAGTGCTTCTTTTTCGCCTCTTCCCGGGCAGGATCACTTTGTGCGCATTGATCCAGCTTTGTCAAAATGGTCGCGTAGAAAAAGATCACCGAGCAGATCCAAACTTGAAGCAAAGCTGGATCGCACCAGGCGCGCCAACCATTAAAGCTTCCCGGGAAGTGAACGCGACGCGACGGCTCACTGCAGCTCCAGAGAGTGTCAGACCACTAGACCTGATTCTCTGCATGTCACGTGCATGCGCCAAGTTTGAGCACTTCGACATGAAAACTTGCTCAGATCGGGCATGGGAAAGTCAGTGATTCCCGCTTGTTTGTGTGAAAAGTTTAGCGAGTACCCCATGTCGCTCTCGTCTGGCCGTAGACTGATACAAATACATATATATATATATATACATATATACATATATATATATATATATATATATATATTATACATATACATATACATATACATATACATACATATGCAGTTTGTAAGGCTATGTATACTTTAGAGCCTCCGGCTCTGTCAGCCGACAATGCACCCTTTCCCCTTCGTCATTTCCCTCCTACATCTCCCTCCAAAACCTTCATTTCTCCTTCATTGTTTTTCTGTTCCCTTCGTTTCCCCTTCATTTCCTGTTCCTTTCCTCTTTCCTTGATTTCCTGTCATTTCCGTTTCCTGTCCCCTGCATGTCCTTGCCTTTCCCTGCGCTTCACCGTTTGATTTCCCCTTCATGTCCCCATTCTTGTCCCTGCATTTCCCTTGCATTGCCTTTTGAACTTCCCCTTCATTCCCCCTGTCCTTGTCCCCTGTATTTCCCGTGCATGTCCCCCGTCATTCCCCTGTCCTTGCCCCCTTTATTTCTCGTGCATGTCCCCTTTCTTTCGAGTCATTTCCCTCCTGCATTTCCCTTTGATTTCCTGCGCATGTCCTTGCATTCCCCTGCACTTCACCGTCATTTCCCCTCCTTCATTATTTTCCCTGCAAGTTCCTTGCGTTTCCCCTTCATTCCCCCCGAAATTGCCGTCAGTCCCCCCTTCAGTGCACTGTTCTGCGTTTCCGCGCATGTCCCCCGTATTGACCCTTCATTTCCGATTCATTGCAGCTTCATTTCCCGCTCGTCGCCCAAATGCCAAGTGACTATCGGCCCTTCTCGCCGCCTGCGAGCTTGCAAGGCCCCGATTCGGGAGACACATGACCCGCCTCCGTCTCTGTCAGCTCTCTCACCTAGAGACAAGGTGAGCGGGGAGACCGAGATTGGATCGACAGCTTGGCAGCTAATGACTCAGGCAGCATGCGGCTGGCAGCATCTTTTCAGCAAGTCACTCAAACGGTCGAAAGCACTTGATACACTCATCCTCATGGCGGAAAATGAAGAAACCGCTGCCTTCAATTGACTCGCTGCAGTGCAGGATGTATTTTTCTGGTTGGACCGTATGGGCTAGGGAAGAGTAGAGGTGGTCACCTAGGTTCGCTTCGCTAAGGAAGCTAGGTGTTGTGACTGCTCTTTTGACCGGCCTTATCTTTCTTGAAAGCCTGCAAAGCACTCCTTGTGTTCTGCTCGAATCGTGAATCTGCTCCGCCAGACTAACACTACACGACATCAGAACTTGAAGCTCATTCCACAATGCATGCGGCGATCAGAGAAACCAAAGTGATTGTGGTCCTGGCCCAAACTACTTGGACCGCAACCGCCCCATTCCCTCAGCAATCCAGACAGCACCCTCGCCACTCCATGTCCAACAGGAACATCGACATTCCGTCACTGGAACGGTGGCAGTTGGCAGGCTCCCCGGTACAGTTGCAAAGGTCAGCCGAACGTGTCACAAAAAGCAGGAACTGAGAACGGCGTTCGTGATCAGCTGCCACAAGAGAGAAGGCCCTTGCATTGCCGCCTCCAGGACCCACGCTGTGGAATTGGCAATGATGCAACAAAACATGCGTTGCATCTGATGCGCGGGTCAGGGTCTCGAAGACTGCAAATGTCTGACCATCAGCACAGCGTTGTTGGCACATTCAGAGCTGTCAGCGTCGGGATTCCGTGACGCTTCACGCTGTATCTGCGTGCGGAGGTTGACAAAAATCAGCTAGGAAACGTTGGCGGCCGGTATAAAGCTAGCGTCAAAACAAATGCCAAAAGGCCATCTATAGGTCAGATTCGCACCTCGTCTGTACACCTGCCAACAAACACGTGCGTGCAAAGTCCTGTAAATTGCATCTACGTTCCAAAGCAAAGTGAGACCTGAAAGGGTCGACCCCCAAATGCTGAATCAGTGGCCATTCGCTGGCTTGCGCACACAAGGCCGCTCTTTCCAGAAGCAGCGTAGGTGTCCGGCGCACTAGCCCTCACATAGTGTCTGAGGAAAAAGCTGGCGGAGCTTCTCTAAGGCGCCCTCCAAAAGCTTCTCCATCGTCTGAAGTCAGCATTCAGCCTGCTTCACTTCGTGGCAAGGCAAACCCGGGCAAAAAACGCATGGAAGCGAAGGCTAAGGCGAGAATCCGGGCCACGAGACCCTATACCTTGAGCCAGATGGCACATGAAATAGTTCGAGGAGGCCGAAGCAGGTTCTAAGCAGAATGACAACCAAGCCGCTGTTTAGAACCTCATTCTGCAACAGGTTCCAAGCAATGATGATGCCGCTGTTTCCAACTTGGCCGCCTCTTTCTCGATCTCGGCCTCTCTCGCCTCTCTCCTTGCAGCATCTCGCTCGCTCTCGCTCTCTTGCGCTCTCTTTGGGGGCGCCTGCCGGACGCCCGGATTCGCAGCTCTGTCTCGGTCGCGACCCCTGCGACTCCTGCGCATCGCTGAGCTCCAAACACCCCACTGCAAGCCCCGCAAGCCCGGCGATGAATGCACCCCGCCTGCTCCGGGCGCCTCTTCTAGGACTTCCGCGGTCCCTGGCCAAGTTGGTGCAGATTTGGATTGGACGATTTGGGAAAAGCCGCAGCTCAAAGCGCCTTGAAGTCCGGTTGCTCCGCGGCTGGAAACCGCGCTCTCGCTCGCGCTCGCGGCTACGAGAGGTCCGGTTCCGGCTCTTTTCGGTCTCCTGAACCAAACTGACGCCAACTGACGCCAACTGACGCAAACTGAAGCAAAGGGAGGCGAAGGAAGAATAAGAGAAGGAAGGGAAGGAAGGCAGGCAAAGGGAGGCGAAGGGAGGCGAAGGGAAGCTCCTTCTTGTGGAGGTAAGAGCCGATGGCAGGCGTTTTCGTACAAGGAGGGATGACCTGCGTCCAAGCCCTGGACGGCCCAACGGCAAGGGGAGGCTCGCACCGCTCCAGTCTTTAGGTCTTTAAGCATGATCATCACCTCGGTATCTCTTTAAGCATGTCTTCCAGAGAACTCGAGGAGAACTCGAGGTGCGCGCCAGGGAGGATGGCTTGTTGGAGGCTGCCAAGTGCTCACCTCGGAGGCCAGGGCCGACGCGGCGGACGCGGACGCGAGCGCCGCGCGAGGCGCGCCGCGCGAGGCTCGCCCCGCGAGTCCAGTGCTGCCAAGGAGCAGAACTTGTCCAATGCCTCGTCAGCATCCTCCCGGTTCTCCAGCGCCTGCGAGGATACATGGCACATCTCACGACGTGTCTTGCTAAGGGTGCCCTCCCTTTTCACCGAAGTTTGAAGGGAATCCAACAGGAAAGCCACCATTTGTTGGGCCCCCCATTTTGACACATAACACAACAACCGCATGTCACAACTCAACCATTTCTGATGGAGCACAAGTACCAGCGCCAGATCCCAGCATCAATGCTTAGCTCAGGGCGCTGACATATGCTACGCTTACCAGTTCGGAGATTGCTGCAATTTTGACTCAGGTGTCGCGGCTAAGCGAAAGACGTCTGAAGCTGGAGCATCCGTCCCAGCTTCCGAATCACTCGTCCCAGCTGGAGCATCCGTCCCAGGAAGGCGAAGCGGCTTCGACTTGCCCATGCGTCTGAACAAAGCAAATGGCGCAACGAGGCGGGCATCCGCACTTCACCGCGCGCGCGAAGAATCGCGGGTCGAAACCACTTCCAAGTGGTGGAGCCCAATCAAGAAGAGTCGGCCTGAATGCTGAGCCAATTGGACAGTCTTGCTTGGTTCGTTGTCGCTGGCGCTTTTGCACTTACTCTCAGCAGCGCGTTTGCCACCAGCACGCACGCTGGACTGCTCTTTCGAAGCCTGCTCCATGTCTTTCACTTCTCAGTCGGACAATATGGCCGCTCAACCCAGCTGAAAAGTCACGCCAGCATAGACCCAAACAAGCGAGAACTCGGAAAAGCAATCCATTGCGATGAACAAGCATAGCAAACAGCGTGGATGTGTTGTGTCAAGAAAAAGCTATAGCTTGAGCAGTGAGAGACACATGTGTATACGCTCGCGGGACCCATTTGCAAGCTGCAAACACGCACACACAAACACAGGTGCAAACAACGTGAAGCACGAGCACACACGCCTCGTACACTCGGAACAAACATTGCGTGCACTCGGACCACACCCGCGTATATGTGTGGAACATGCACATGTGCACAATGAGACGGGTACAAGCACACGCTCGGACAACAATCTTAGTACAATTGAAACACACGTGTGCGACGCTGGGCAAACAGAAACGTAGCCCGACAGACATGCACACATACTCGGGAAGCACATGCGTGCAGCTTCAAACACACATGTGCACACGCGCGGCACACACGTGTCCCGAACCGCAGCCCGCAAGTCCCTGAGGCGTCATTCTCACCAAGCACATCCTCACACTCCCTCTCCCGTACTGTACTTACTGCTAAAGCCGCTGCAGCTTTGAGCTATCTTGATGGTGCATAATTTTGGGGGAGGACGAAGCAACACCTGTGACCTGGGTTGAAAATACAAGCGTGCTTGGTGTTTTCTCCTCCAGTTTATAACACCGAAACAGTGGATACAACCCGCAGACTCGATGCCCAAAGGCGTCATCCGTACACAACTTGTTGGGGCGTGTGCCTCGACAGACAAAAACGATGC